AATTCACTCAGGACTCCTTAGAAGTATCAAGTTCAAAGCCTCCCCAAATGATAAAAAACTTGCATAGTTATATTCTTTCCAGTGAAATCTCATATTTTTACATGAATATTAACATGTTAAGAGCAGCCAGAGCTATGCCCCAAAGGAAACATTATCAAACAAGCCTGTCACTCATTTTACAATGTGTGCTTCTGAAATGCTGTATGCCGTGTTGAATAGGACTGATTATCCATTAGACTGACAGGGTGAATCCTTTTATAAAGTATATAGGCTTGCTTTCTCCCATAATTTATTTCTTTATGTTCAATTTTGTTTTATAAGGAGAATAAAGTATTATATATAGTTCTGGGGTAAAAGAGGGGGCATACCTACAATTCAACTTAAGGGCTGATTAAAATTTAGACATGACCTTACAAGGTATAAGGTAGGGTAGTGTATTGAGGACAGTAGGTCACTTTGATAACATTTTTAAAATATGGATAATTGTGGGTAAATTGCAACTGATTTAGTAAACACTATACATGTTACCAACACACATAATTAAGATATGATATTCGTTTCACAAATTGAATGCTTATATGTGAATACAATCTTCTAAAAGTGCTTTCAAGTTCTAGAGAATAATTTATCTTAAACAGTAAAATTATTTTACTTTGAATGTTACTTACATGAAACACTACATATGTGCAAGTCAATTTTCTACTAACAGTTTAATGATAATGGTGTCAGTGCAGTTTACATCACCACATGTTCCAAGTTAGAATCATAAAAAAAAAATGACATTCAGACTACGGAGATTTTACAATGCTAGAATTTCCATTTTCTCTAATGGAAAGTAGCTTACTATGTAGCTTTCCAAAGTCAGGTCTTTGTACAGAATTAACCCTCTTTGAGGGTCCCTGTCACATAATTTGTTTCTTCTGTCTCAAATAAGGATGTGTCTCTAGGGCATAGAATTTCTTCATCCAAGATTCAGTGAGTTATAGTGTAACCAAGCGCAGTACTGCATTTTTTAAGGATGTGATGAGTAGCAAATGTGTCTTCAAGGGGAAAGTCCCCAGAACTCATAATTAGAATAAAATGACAGAGTCATAAATGGAAAAACACACACATTGGGAGCTACACAAAGCCATGGAAGTGTAAAGAGTGAGTGAAGACACAAACAAATACTTGTCATCTGCTTTGTTAGAACATGAGAGTCATTTTGCTGGATGGTCAGTGAAAAGGTTGGAGCTCAGAGCCTGAATTGTAACAAGAGCAAGGAAACAAAGTTAGGAAACAAAGTTATTAGTGTTAAGAAAACCCAAAGAGAAGAAATGAACTTCCTGTGGAGAAAGACATCCGAAGCAGCGTGATTTAAGGCAGGGGAGGAGGGGCTTCTTCGAGAATCCTGTTCATCACCACTCTTATTGTTTGGAGTCCCAAAGTCAAAATCCTTCATATGACCATTAGGTAATTTGCACCTAATGTTCAGTAAAGAACTGCAAGTCTTATAAGCTCCTTAGCCTGAAGTTTCCAGGAATATTTTTATTAGAGTGGGTTTTTAAATTTTGTTTTTGGAAAATCAAGATCCATTTTCTTTTTATTTGCTGGAAGAAAAGAAAAGCTGCCTGGCGCGGTGGCTCATGCCTGTAATCCCAGCACTTTGGGAGGCTGAGGCAGGCACATCACGAGGTCAGGAGATCGAGGCCATCCTGGCTAACACAATGAAACCCGTCTTTACTAAAAATAAAAAACAATGAGCCTGGCGTGGTGGCACAGGCCTGTAATGCCAGCTACTTGAGAGGCTGAGGCAGGAGAATCTCTTGAACCCGGGAGGCAGAAGTTACAGTGAGCCGAGATTGTGCCACTGCACTCCAGCCTGGGAGACAGAGAGAGACTCCATCTCAAAAAAAGAAAAAAGAAAAAAGCTGAATTAAATTAAAATGCACAGTCTTTCCTGGAGAGCCCATACAGCTGTTGCTCCTAGCAGCCACAGCTGGGTCTGCCTCGGAAGCTTGCATTTGTGCAGAACTACCTCTGCCGCTCCCAATCCTCAGGGAATGCAATAGTTGAGATCACACACAGAAAGGAGTGAACAGAACCCTGAGGCCACTGGAAAACAGATCCTGAGGAGGAAATGTTTGCTCTTTTTCTTTTGAATGGCTTTCTATAAAATATCCAAGTTCTGTTAAAGAAGGTGCAGATGACAGAATTATAGTCAAAGTTTAATACCTTCCCTATCACCCATCATTATGTAGTCCCTTGCAAAAGCATGTTTCTAATTCTGCTTTTTCTTTAGAATGAGTTTATGATGCAGGTTATCAAAGCCTAATATATGAAAATCTACCAGTAGAAGATGGCTCCTTACGTTAAAATGTTTCCCGTGTGATTAACCACTGTGTTAAATGTTTGGTAGAAACCACCTTAATTTTTACAACCTCCTATAAATAGACAGTATTATTTCAGCTAACTGAGGCTTAGATAGGTTAAATAATTTTGCCATCCCGCCTTAGCTGGTAAGTTTTCTGGTGAAGACTTGAACCCAAGCCTCTTAACATTCTTCTCTATGGCCTCTAAAAACAATGTTATGATAAAAATGAGAAAAAATAAAAGGATTCATACAAGTATCTTTTTGAAACACTACACTTTATCATGCATTTAAAATATTTTTATCTATTTATGTTTTATGCATACAGTTTTCTTTATAATACAAGATAAAATTATCTGAAATTTCTGAAGATAGTTAACAAACTCCTAGACTAGTAAATGTCAGCCTGATACAGTTTTCCTCTTTCACTAGTCTGGGGCTTGTAGTTTTAAGGTCAGAGGGCATGAGCCATGTTAGATGCAGAGATTCCCTTCTCGTTTGTCCCCAGCTGCATCTAGTTCTTTTACACGTTTCTAGAAGTCAACCTTGCGGACCTACTTCCGAAAGGCTTACTCCAGGGTCTTCCTTTGATTCTTTCATTGAACGATCTCCCCTCAATGCGCCTGCCTGTGGCATGGCAGTTTGGGGGCATTGTTGACTGAGGACATCTGCTGTGTAGCTATAGCAGCAGCTGCAGAAACCGCCTCCCCTAAAGTTTCACTCCTCTTAATAGCAGTAATTGTTGGAAAGTAGTTTTCTTGTCATTTGAAGTTGCAGCAGTGTCGACGTAGACCTTTAAGATTCACTCTGAGGTGGTCACACCTGCACACTGAAACTACCAAATTTCTTGTCTTAATGAAAGTTATCTTTTCATTTATAAAATGCATCCCTGAAGAGAACAAATACATATTGATGACTTTGCAGCAACTGACCACTTCCACATTCAATAGCATTTCATATGGAGCGTACTGACCAAGCAGGAACAGCAGATATGTACCCTGAGAGTTGGTGTGTGGCACTGGTGTAGATGATATGGGTTGCAGTTTTAAAAGTGGTGAACTTCTCCAAAGTCTAGAGGGTAAACTGACTAGCTTAGGAAAATAAAGTAGTATGTCAGTATAACTCCTACCGAAGTAGAACTCTCCTCAGATTCTCCCTCTCCATTATGTTAATAATCTGTTTCTGGCATACTGTGATTTACCTGTTGGACATCCTGTGCAAGGGAGTTGTTTGAATGATAATCTAAAAGTGTAGGACAATGTGGATCCCTTGCAACAGTTGCTCAAAATGATAGGCATGTTTACAAATATCAAATCAACAAGTTGAAAGTAAATGTTTGATCTACCCAAACTTCCTCATTTTGTAGAAAATTAATTAACATTCACAAAGTTAAATAGTTTACTTAGAGCCTTCAATTATCCAGACAGAATAATGTTATTAATTGTACATCTCATTAGAAACCTGCTAAAAATGTATGGATTAACTGTGATAAATAGAGAAGACTACCAGCATGTCCAGTAGGCTTTTTCTTAATATAGACTATATTGCCCACAAGTTATTTAAAACATTAATTTGAGTATGAATAAAGAGATGTGCTTTTAGAAAAATGTAGAAGGATGGGATTTGTTATGGTCCGCAATGAAATAAACTGTAACATCCCAGGCTGCTGAGCGAGCTCACTGGAAGCTCTCTCTGCCTTCATTCTTTCTCTGGTTCAAGATCTCACACCGTCTTCCCACGGCTGCCAATCAACAGTTAGCATCAGTAACTCTCAGGTGGGGACATGATGTGGACGTCTCACTCCTGAAACATTTAGCTTCCACGGCATATGCGTTAGATGGCAGAGTGGGATTTATCCACACAAAGGTTGACTGAAAGCATATATTCTTTAAGAAATTTTTAAAAACTTACCAAAAATGTGAATGACTTGATTCTTGCAAGTTGGTTTGTTGCGTTACTAAAAAAGCATGATATAATTTGCCTCAGCAGTTTCAATATGCTCTCTCCTTTACAAACCTGCAGTCCTGTCCACTCTCAGGTCAGTTGCCAAGCCTAGGGTTCAGAGCAAAGCACGCTATTGATGCCACCCTGGAATGCATTTGGCATTAGGGCATTACTGCAACTGGCATACAGGAATGCAATAGTGGTTGATATGTAGCATGATATGTGATCTCTGACATTTCTTATAATTCTTCTGTTCTCATCTCCTTTTTTTCCTTTCTATTTCAATTACTTTGAGCAGCATCAAGAAAAAATTACCAATCCACCAAAATGAGTAAGTCCCCCTGTGAAGCCATGAAATGCTTGCTCTACATGATGCCATTTCATGCTTCTACACCCTAAACTCTGACCATTTTCTCCTCCGGGAAAAATGTCAAGTTTAGGTGTTGATAGCTCTCATTACCAACTACTCACTAGAACCTGAATTGGAAAAGCTAACAAAACCTAACGGAGTTTACAGTTTGTTTTTAGAAAGAACTTAAAACAACAAACAAACCAACAAGAAAGTGGCGAAACACTAACACCCCACCTTGTGAGGCCTTTGTACATGCACTGATTTCGTTTGTGTTTACCCTCCTTTTACTTGCCCCTCACTCGAATCTCTCCTGACATCCTTTCCGCTTCTGACTCAGCTGCTCTCTGCCAACAGACTGGCCCACCCTGAAGGAAGTCTCCCGGACCTCACCATGATGCACCTGACCGCCAGCCTGGAGAAGCCAGAGTTGAGGAAGTTGGCTGAGACTGGGGAGGAGAAGCCCGAGGGCTACTCTGAAAAAGCCCAGAAGGGTGAGCTTGGGAAAGACAGCGAGGAGTCAGAGGAGGATGGAGAGGAAGAGGAGGAATCCGAGGAGGAGGAAGAAACATCAGGTAATCAGCCCACTGCCAGCAGCTGCTCAGAGAATGCTGACTGCCAGACTGAGTGAAGGAAGCATTGACTTGACCCAGTTCATGAAATAAAAATTGGAGTGGTTTTTATTTGGTTGCTATAGTTATAATATTCCTGTTCCAATTGCTCCAACAATTTTCTTTTAATTCTGACTGAGAAGAGACCAGATGGCTGGTTATCAGTGACTGACACACAAGTAGTGCTCCTGTCCGGACACTGGCAGACCACGATGCTGACCACGTGCTCAGTCAGAGCCTCTCTGATTCTATCAGATGCAGGTACAGCCTGCTGTGCAGAATCTCCAAGGGCTGTAGACACTGCCCTTACAAATGCATGCTCAAGAAATCATTCTGAGACTTTTCCAGGACACTGATAATTAAGAATATATTTCTAGCTCTGTTCTGATTCGTAAGGACATGGGAACTGGAGGAGAAAGTTAGCAATTGGATAATTATAATTTCAAGCAAACTCCTAGAGATATTTTTGTCAATATTATTATTTTAGGGGTTTTACTCTTTATTCTTTGGGCTCTTCTTTTCTACTTCTCTTCCTAGACTTGAAATATTGTTATAATAGGGCATGATAAACATTGAGCACCCTCAGTGATCAGGAAATGTTATCGGATAGAGAATAGGAAGTCTATGTAGCAGTTTCCAGAAAGTCTGGGACAAACCAGAGAGTATCATCTCTGGTGTGAGGTTCTGGGGCTATGACGTTAAGATACTGCACTTGTCTTTGCTGATCAACTGGGCTTAACAAAAGTAGAAAATTTTAAAGCAGCAGGAAGACCCCTTCCAAAGGCTTGTGCCCCTTAAGCCTGGCCTCCTTTCCCCACTTATCTCAGAACACAGGAGAGGACCAAAAATGCTCTCTCCATATCTGAGCATTGTGAATTCCTCAGTGTGAAGGGGAGAGCCCAGCTCTGTGAGGCCAAGTACTTAAGTGTAGGATTTTATTACAGTACTTTAAGATGGATTTTGAGCTTTACTAATAGGGTCCTGCCCAAAATTGCACAGCTTCTTTTCTCTCACTTCCTCATTTATGTGTCAGCTACACCTCTAAATCATGCTCATTTATTATCTATACCTTTTTATTGACTACTATTTGAGTCACTCTCTAAATATAGTAGTCCTGCCTGAGCCTCGGGGGACGTGTTCTAAGACTCCCAGAGGATACTAAAAACTTGGATAGCACTAGGATGCTAAAAACTTGGATAGCACTGAACCCTGTATACACTTTGCATGAATTTCTTTTTCCTTCTTCACAATTACACAGATAGAAGACTTGTTCTTATCTTAAATCTTAGCAACCTCAGCATACATTTTTTTTCTTTTCTTATTAATAAAATTGAGAATTGTTACCATTCACTTAAAGGCAGCATTTTATGGCTTCTCTTTGGCATATTCAAATTGCCAGCATCACTACTTTTTCACTTGGAGCCATTAGAAAGTAAAATAAGAGTGAATTGAACACAGCATTGTAATACTGCAGCAGTCACTCTGAGAACTGAGACAGTTGCTAAGTGACTGATTACTGGGCAGGGAGTGTAAATAGCATGGCTATGCTGAACAAAGGGATTCACATTCCAGGGGGAAGGACAGAGTGGGACAGCATGAGATTTTATCCTGCTAATCAGAATAGTGTGTAACTTAAGATTTCTGAATCATTTCTGGAATTTTCCATTTACTATTTTTGGACTGTGGTTGACTGCAGGTAACTGAAATCATGGAAAGCAAAGCCATGGATAAAGGAGAACTACTGTAAGCATATTTCACAATAACTAGAACCTTAATTAACTTTTAGAACCAGGTACAGTAACTGTTGCATCTACCCAGAACAGGTAAAGAAGCTATTTAGAGAGACACTTAGGACTTGTAATCTGCCAAGATAGATTTGTGAGCTTTTGTTCACAAACAGGACAGCCTGATATTACAAAAGAGTCCTGTTGTAACTTTCAGTCAGGAAAGCGAGCCAGCAAAGTCCTTCTAGACAGAAAGAAACATGACTCCTGTGTTAGCACAAGGTAGAAATAATAAAATGAGTAATTTGATTAAAAATTATTATTTGAATGAATCTGACAATGTTTCAGAAAGCCAGAGAGCTTTATCCACTCACCAGTTAAGCCTTGTACAAAGAGGCAGACCACTTATAAAAGTGCTGTTGTGTCAAGAAAGATGTCATTTAGAAGGAGTTAGGTTATTTAATATTCCCAGAATATTAGGAAATTACTGTTTGGTCTTAAGAGTAAATAACATCAAGGGGGCTGGGCATGGGGGCTCACATCTGTACTCCCAGCACTTTAGGAGCCTGAGGCCAGCAGATCATTTGAGGCCAGCCTCAAGAGTTCAAGACCAGCTTGGCCAACATGGCAAGACCCTATTTCTACTGAAAATACAAAAATAGCTGGGTGTGGTGGTATCTACTTGTAGTCCCAGCTACTCAGGAGGCTGAGGCATAAGAATAGCTTGAACCCAAGAGACAGAGGTTACAGTGAGCTAATATCATGCTATTGCACTCCAGCCTGGGCTACAGAGAAAGCTCTGTCAGAAAAAGGAAGGAAGGAAGGAAAAGAGGGAGGAAGGGAGGGAGGGAGGGAAAAGGAAAAGAAAAGGAAAGAAAGAAAGAGAGAGGGAGAAAGAAAGAAAAAGAAAGAAAGAAGAAAGAAAAGTAAATAATGTCAAAATCCTTCTTGACACTAATTTAATCAAAAGGTAGACAAAAGTCACATTGTCCCTCCAAGTCTCTGTTTATGATATCTGTGTCATCATGACTTGGGATTCTTACTTCATCCTTATTCCAGATCTGGGTTTTTTAAGAATTCATCCATTGTAATTATTTTGCAGCCTCTCATTCCAACTTGAAAGCTACAAGATATGCTTTAAATGATAATATTTTTAAATGTTATGCTCTCAGCTGTACTTCCTATTTTGCAGATTTAAGGAACAAATGGCACCTGGTAATTGACCGCCTCACTGTGCTCTTCTTAAAATTCCTGGAGTATTTTCACAAGCTGCAGGTGTTCATGTGGTGGATTTTGGAGTTGCACATCATCAAAATCGTTTCCTCATACATTATCTGGGTTTCTGTGAAAGAGGCAAGTGAACATTTGTCCTATCATCAGGCCGAATAGAACCACAGTAGGTCATCATTTTCTTTTTCCAACTGTCCATGATTTTTTTAATGTAATGCCCATTACATTAGGCTATCAAGACTCTAAGATAAATACATACACTTACTGAAATCCAAGGGTCAGCGGCACTGAGAAAAAGGATAGAGACTCGTGGCTGAGTCTCTCATTGGTTTGGTTGTATTACAAAGGCTACTTATTTTCATCTAGTCCTTAGGGAAGTGTGTGAGAGCAGGCTGCCCTTCTGCCCCTGCCTATGGGATTCCATCTCCCTAAATTATCCGAGGAAAATAGCATTCCAGTTTACATTCCCAAGGAGAAAAAATAAAATCTTTGGTAGAGTTCACCTTGTTTACGATTGGATTTCTTGAGCTACAACACAAAGTCTTCAGCCATGCACCTGTATTGCACTTCTGTTTCCTGGATTGTAAAGAAGAGAGTCATCATCCAGTCAACAGATCATTTAAAGTTCATTGTGGAGAAATTAGATTCTTTCCATTTATTCAGCAAATAGTGTCTGCATCCTTATATATGCCTGGACTATTTTTGAGTCGGTTACAATTCAAGGAGTGTTTGCCCTCTAAAAATTAATCAAGGAACTACTGCCTATAATCTTTAAAAAGTTACATATATAACAGTAAAATATCATAACTATAACACTGCAAACCTAAAATGTTTCACAAATAGGTATCTAACAGATGAACATTAATTTGAGCTCTGTAGTCTAAACTAGAACTTCTCCCCCACTTCATACAAACCATCTGAAATTGACAGGGGATCATTGCCAAGTGGGAATGAAAACAGAAGCCACTGTCTCTGTGAGATTTGTGGGGGACATGGCAGCAGCTCCATTGTTAAGTCACTGGGTGTATACATTAATTGGAGCCAAAATCTAGCCTAGTATTTATATTCATTGAGAGCAAATATTTAAACATTTTAATGGTAGAGGTGAATTGAACAGTTCAAATTTGAGGATTCGAATATATAAAGAGAAATGGAAAAGAACAAGAAAAGGCATTTGACAAAAAACGCACAAAGACCATTTCTGAACAAATCCAATCTGAGGTACAGATGACTTCTGATTCATGAGAAGCTGTGCTGCAGGTGTGAAGGCATGTTCAGGCAATGTAATGATGGGAGTGGACATTAAGGGGAACGGAAATTCCTGGGAGTCGGACACAGAGAATCTGCTGTCATAAATCCATCCTGCTGTAAATACGTCCATCAGAAAAAGAACCAAAGCATTAAAGGATGCAATTTCTTATAGATTTTAAACAAAAGGCAGACATAACTTCTTCATTATCATTAATGAGTCTCCAGACATAATCTTGTTAACAGACCAGCAAGTAACAAAGGATCTAGTTACTCTAGTTAGCCTTCCGCAGAGTATAACCACTCTCTTCTCTGTGATTCATACATCATGCAGACTTTCAGAATTTTCATTCCTAATTTAATCTCTCTCACCTTTAACTTTAAAACAAGTGAGAGACTCATGAGCATAGAAATCCTCGTCCTTCTGCTGCTAGCATCTGCCAAATCCCATTGCTGTAAGATTGTTTCAGCCACTCGTGTTGTGCGCGACATCACCCACCTGCATGAGGGATTTCCCGCCTTGAACTTTGGTCTCTGGGATCTTGGCAGCGTGTGCACTGCTGGCTCTTTCTAATGTAATTGGCACACCGAGTGACCACCTTGGTGACATCTAATCAAAAAACTTCTCTTCTGACCTTCATTGTCCCTTTAAAATGCATCCTACAGGGAAACTTAACCTCTGTGTCCCTAAACAGAGCGCACTTTCTGATCATTCCTAACAAATGCAGAATCCTACAGTGATGTTAGTGAGCCAAATCTGGCTTCATTCGTTAAAACTGTGCAGCCACAGAGAATCATCTGGGGCCTTCCCCAGAATCTCCTCCTTTCCTAGCTGATCCTTTCTTTCTCACTCACACCTCCTCCCCTCCTAACTTCCGTAAGGAAGTTCTTTATTAAAAAAAAAAATCCACCTCATGGAGGTTCTTTAGTCTTCTTTTATTTTTTTCCTTCCTGGGCTGGAGCTCAGACTCACAAGCTCAGGGCAAGTCCCCCTGGGATGGAGATGTTGTGACTTGGCCTGTGCCATCCCATGATGGCCTCACGCACTGGGCTGGTAGCTAGCAGGTAAACCTGCCCTTGCCCTCCTGGAGGCTCCTCAGTGGGGCATCCAGCAGCCACTCTTGGCCGGCACTGGGACCTAGACCCTGGTTTCCCAGCACCTTCTCCTTCTGGGCCCCGCTGTGGAGTCCTACTGCACTTCCAGCCTTCCCTGCAGTCTCAGAGCAGCTCAGCGCTCTGTGCCTCCCCATCAGGCCCAGGGACCACCCTCACGCAGGCCCCGCTCTGCTTGCACACATGGAACCCAACAGAGACTCTCTACACCCTGTGGCCAGAGGCCTTCATCTCTTCTGGCCTCATGGGTACCTGTGCCCAAGCTCCAGGGTGCACACATCAGGCCCCCTGAGTCGTCTCCGTTAGCTCCTCATTCGGGCGCTATGCAGAGGACGTTCTCCTGCCTGCATCCCCACCTGCCCCATCATCTTGGCATTGGAGAGACAGGCAGGACACAGCCCCTCTCCACAGAGAAAGCTCTTCAGGAGCTGTGGCAGCAAGCTTTGGGTTCCAGACATCCTTACCCAAGACCTCAGTAAGGGTGCTTGTTTTCACAACTTTTGGATTCATCTGTCCTACAAACATTAAACCTTTACAAAGTTATCATCATGAGGCATCTGAAAAAGAAGCCTCTGGAAAAGAAATTGTTAGAGAAAGCTTTATTTTACATCAGCACATTATTCAGGAGTGACACTGCTTTGGAATAATCTAGAGTTAAATATATACATATTCTACTATATACATACCACATTCTCTTCTCCTTTTGAAATACACAGCTATTTTCTAATTCCAAGGCTGCTGGACAGCTCTGTGAGGTCAGGTGATTCTCGAGGAAGAGGCCACACCTTCTGTTAGAACCTCAGCTCCCTCCTCCCTGGGGCCTGGCCAGTCAGAGAAGCTCCATGTTCACCGACTGAAGGAAGGAACAGAAGAACTTTGCAAACCTGAGGTTTCTCCTTCTTGTCAGCTGAGGCTTCAGTTTTTCTCCTCCCTGTCAGTTGAGGTTATTATTTTTACTCTCACAAAGTATTCACTGAGCCTTTATTAAGCACTTATAATAAAGTGAATGTGTACATGGTGCTAGGTGCTTTAAAGACACACTTTTTGTCTGAGCTCACAGCCTGATGGGAATGGCTGCTAAATAAAACTAAGAGTGACAGTGACTGCTGTGCTGGGGGTCCACAGTGAGCACTGGCTGCACACGGAGGAGTGTCCCTTTTGGGCGGTTGCAGCCTGAAGGTGATGGTTGCAGCTGGGATTCTCTGAGGGAGGGAGGCCAGGGACGGGTATGCACAGGCCGGCAGGCTTTGGTTCTGAGGCCCCTTCCCTCCAGACAGGGCCCTCGGGCCCCACAAGGTTATATTCAGATAGGATGGCAATCTGTGTGCGGTGCTTTCTTATGAAAGCATTATGACATAAAACTGTTACTCAAAATCCTTGAGAGTAAGAATCACCTGGACACTTGTTATATATCTGGACCAGCACCTATTTCCCTAAAATTCTATTTCATCAGGTGTTGGTTGTGGCCCAGGTGTTTATCATCATCCTCCTCCTCCACCTCCTCCTCCTCCACCTCCTCCTCCTCCTTCTTCTTCCCCTTCCCTCTCCCCTTTTCTCCCTCCTCTTCTTCCTTATCCCTCCTCCTCCTCCTCCTCTTCTTTCTTTCTTCTTCTTCCCTTCCATGAGATTCTTACCATCAGGGAAACGATGTGATCATGATCTCTTTAGATGATGGGGCTGTGAGAGAGCATGGGTTTGGAACAGGTGCACTGAGATTTGCACCAGCCTTGCTGTTTGTATGGAATGAAGTATCATATTTCACTTAGCCCCAATTTTTTTTTATTTGTAAAATGATACCTCACAGAGGCTCTTCAGTTCTCTTCTGATTTGACTTCTCTAGGATGCTGGGGACTGGGGAAACTTTCCTTGTCATTGAAGCTCCCTCTCCTCTTGTTTTGGACATCAGCTCGCCTTCCTGGCCCCTCCCCACAGCTTCTTCAGGTCCTTCCTGCCTCATTCCTGGGCTCCTCCTGCCCTTCCCACCAGCTTCCTCAGCGTGTTCCTGAGGCTCTGTCCATAGCCCGTTTCTGTTCTGGACTCTCATGGGTGAGCTCATGAGCTCGCAAGCACAGGACTCTGGTTCAGTTGCCCTCCACCAACTGTGAGTCCTAAAATCTGTGTCAACTCAGTGCTGTGAACTCCAAGCCCCTGTGTCCATGTGACAGCTGGGCCTGACCCACTTCTTCAGTGGCCCCAAAGCACTTTCAAGTGTCCTACTCACTGCCTCTACCTCCATTCCCCCTTTAGATTACTCTTACAGATTCCAAGTTTTTCTCAATCTTTTCTCCTTCCAATACGTATTCTACAATGCAGCCAGAATAGTCTTCCCGCAGGGTAAATATGATCATGAGAACCCTCTACCTGAAACCTTGCAGCAACTACCTCTCATCTTCACGGTAACATGGTATAATACCCCCATGATGCAGCCCAGATCATTTCACCTTTGCCATCCCCGGACACTCTAGGACACCAGGTGGGTTTTAAAGTCCTCTGACAGGTTTCAGATCACACTTCTCTCATAATTAATCACTTGCTTCTCCAGAAATGGCCAGTCCGTGCTCTCTCATGTCTGGAAGGGCCTTGGACCTGCTATTTCTCCTGCCTGTCTCACTCTTTTTTATTCTTCTGGTCTCAGTCACCTGATGCTGTCACCAAGTACCTGTGTGCCTCCATCTGTCCCTAAGAGGGACGTGCCTCCTGTGAGCAGGGAATCCTCAGGGGATGTGTCACCTTGAACCTAGTTAAGACCTAATGAAGGTTACTATCTTTATATCCTTTTCCCCATCACTCAGAAAACTGAAAGTTCTGAGTAAATGAATTGTGTGTCTTTATACTAAAGGCCTTAGATACATGATAACAGACATAACAGAGCTAATTTCACAGCATCTTTCATAGGGTTTGCTTTTTAATATCCAAATTGACGTTACACTTGCTAATGACTATGGAGGAAGAGTCAATTCACTAATCTGTTTTGTTAAAAGGTAACATTGGTTATGTTTATGAGTGAGTCATGGTTTCCAGAGCTTTTCCATGTACGTTATTTCTTTCATCTACAACTAATTCTGTAAGGCATCTTTTCTTACCCTAATATAGCCTGCAGAAGTCTTCGCCTCAGCACTTAATTCTCAGAGAGTTTCCTTGCCTTGGACAGTGACAAATAGTCGAGTAGAAGAGTAACAGGTAACCAGGTAACAAATAGCAGAATTGAATACTCTCATGCAGTCTCCACATTTTCTTCTTTTATGGTTTTATAAGTCAAGTAGGTAACTATGTCTCTTAGCATGCACAGGCTTAGCCCACAGTGCTTGGTACAGGCTCAGTTGTATCAAATTAGAGCATGCTGTTATTTCTACCTGATAATATTAAACATCTCTAGGATATTACAACAATATTCAAAATAAATGAGCATTTTCTATGCCTGAATAAGATGGTGGTCCTTCTATACTGTCCAACGAACTATTAACTGTAGAGAATTGCTAGAAATGTGGGAACATCTGGCCTGATCAGTGAACTCACATGCAGCCCAAAGCCAACAGGTTTAAGCTGAGCTCATTGCCCTTGCTGCTCCAACCAGCTTCCCTGTCAGCACTGCTGTCTCAATAATGGCACTGTCATCCACTCAGGCTCCCAAGTGGAAACCTGGGAGTCACTCCTTGAACTTTCTCCCTTACCCACCGGCCCACCAAACCAATCAGTCATCAAGGCCAGCTAATTTTGCCTCCCATCTTGAATCCTCACCTCCTCCCCATCTCCCTTCGGCTATTGCAGCAGGGTGTGAGTGGGTTTCCCACCTGGTGTCCAATTCCCACAATGCGCCCTCCATTCGTCAGTTACATTTATCTCGATGAGAGGCATATCTTACCTCCAAATTCCCGGTGTAATACCCTTCCACCTGTCTCAGTTTTCTGACGAATGGGCTCCTGTGCCATAGCATGGTACAAAAAGAATCTATCAAAACTCGGCCGTAGCTGCATCTCCAGCCTCACCTACTGCTGCACTTTATACTTTGAACTCTGAACTTTGCAGCTGTTTGTGGCCGCCTGTCCCCATCATGCTAGCTCATGCTTTCCTGCCTTTGCTCATGCCTCCTTTACCTGGAATGCACCTCTCATTCTTGGCCTGGCTCAGTTCAGGTACTGTCTCTTCTTGAAAATGTTTCTTGACCTCCACATTCAACCAAGGACCCTTCTGGGTGCTCTCACAGGAGCCTGCCCACTTCAATAGTTTAGCCAGTGCTACATGGTATTGACGTCACCTGATTATATGTCTGTCTGCCATACAAGACATAATGTCCTTGAGGGGTAAGACCATAGCTCGCCTATTTTAGTACCCCAGCACCTAGGGCAATTCCTTGCACATGCTAGGAATCCAGTTCACTCTTGCTGAACTGAGTAAATCAAGTCATCTTGTTTTGGGGATGGCCTGTTTGTCATGCCATGTTACGTATTTTTGTCCCTATTTCTGGTTTTATGGTTTCAGGTGTCTCTGTTCAACTATGTATTTTTGATTTCTTGGGCTTTTGCTCTGCCGTATGCCAAGCTGCGCCGTCTGGCTTCTAGTGTCTGCACGGTCTGGACGTGTGTGATCATCGTCTGCAAAATGTTGTACCAGCTCCAAACCATTAAGCCTGAGAACTTCTCTGTTAACTGTTCCTTGGTGAGCCTCGGTGAAGGGGGAATATTCCTGACTGCCCTTTAGTGAACCTCCATCCCCAAGTACCTTTGGCCTGGCCTGGTTTGTAAGTCACCTCTCCCTGACTGGACGTGCTCTGGCCCTGTGTTAAGCCTCCTCTCATACTGAGGGCTCCCCCGAAATGGACCTGTCCCTCCCATCCCACCATTGTCCCTTTGCTCAAAGCTGAAGAAGAAATAACCCAAGCTCTCCTCATCTGTGGAGCTGGTTTTTTTTTTACTCCATTTTCTCTCTTTTCAGCCAAATGAAAATCAAACGAACATCCCCCTTAATGAGTTGAACAAGTCTCTGCTCTACCGCGCTCCTATTGATCCTACAGAGTGGGTTGGCCTGCGGAAGTCTTCGCCACTGCTAGTCTACCTGAGGGTAACGGCTTTGCTGTGCTTAGTTTGGGCCTCCACACCATTGTATAACAATTCAGAATCCATTTCCCTGAGATGTTTGACATCCATTTGATAGTAACCTCATCTTATGTGGGATTTGGCATCACCTTTGCAACAAATTCTAGGTGTTACAATCAGTATTGTGGCATGTTAAAGAGAAAATGACCAAACGATCTGAGACTGCTTGAATAAAATATGATAAATACATTCATTGGAATGTATTTATTTGAATAGAATTGAAGCATGTCTAAAATATGTGAAGTTTTTTAAAAAGCAAATTTCAAAACACTGTGTATAGTTTGATCTCTTCTAGACACAAAGAAAAATATTGAATAAAATATACCACATGCTCAATAGTGATTATTTCTGAGAAGCGTATTAGCCTTACAAGACATTTGTGCTGTGTACATTGTTTCTCTATAGTTTTTAATAAAGAGCATCTATTACGTCTAGAAATAACAAAGCATATATTTTTCAAAGGAAATTTGAGTGCAAATAGTCATACAATCATAGTGAAAACCACATGCCTCAGATTTTTCACATCTTCTTTTCATGGATGATCTGAGTAGTCCTAATCATGTTACACTGGCATGCACTTAATCATACAGCCTCTGCACTTAGCACCTGGAATTTTAAGATGTATTAAGCATCCCATTTTCTCTTTTTACCTTCTAGTTTTTTCCTCATGTGGTAGATATCTATTGTGCCAGTACTCACCATAAATACCTGTTATGAGAATAAAGAAATTGATATTTGAAAAGGGTGATAGAATTGTGTCTGGAAGCTATGATTCCATAAATGTTGGCTATTTTCATTATCTCAAATAATAGTTACATCATCACTACTATTACTTTACTGTCAGCATGCTTCTCAATCTATTGCTCTCTGTAGCCAGATTTCAGGAGTATTCAAAAACTTCCCCCCAAGCAGCTCCCCACTCACCTAGCTCAGTGTGTTTCCCAGGGTGTCTCTATCCCAGGGTGTCTCTATACTGTTTTGAACTTCCGGTTGCAAATAATGCTGAACTGCCCTCCTTGGATCACTGGAAATTGCTTCCTTGTTATGAGCTGTGTAGTTTTGAGAAACAAGAATGAGCAGCAGCATCTTAGGTCTACAGATTCTAGATCCTATTATTTTGGAAGTTAGCCTGATTTCTTAATGGAGATAATGCGACAATAAATAAGACAGAGAAAATAAATATTGAGCTCGAAACTGTTTAATAGAGGTGAGCTTTTATAAAACATTGTCCTTTTAATTGTCAAGAATATGAGGATTGCTTGAAATTACCAAATCATAAAGCATCTGGCTGACACAGTTGTGTTTTCTTGCTTTGCAGAATAACCTCCTGATGCTGGCTATCTTGGCCTTTGAAGTCACCATTTACCGCCATCAGGAATACTATCGAGGTCGAAATAACCTGACAGCCCCTGTGTCTAAAACTATCTTTCATGACATTACAAGACTACATCTAGATGATGGACTTGTTAATTGTGCCAAATATTTCATCAATTACTTCTTCTACAAGTTCGGTCTGGAGGTGAGTTTCCTTGCTGACATGTTTTATTTCTCTTTTCCATGAAAATTCAAAGAACTTCTTCCAGCCAACTGACCACTGCAGCTTTGTGATACATCTCCAGATATGACGGCTCTCTCCTTGAGAACAACAGAAAGTGTTTGTACTGATGGTTAACTGGCTTGACTGAAGATTTTCCAAGATTGGGTGCCAAACACCCCCTCCACAGCAGTGCCGCGGCCTCCCTGGATCTCCAGAACCATCTAAATGCATGGCCATCAGTTTCTGTGTTAACAGGTTTCTTTTCAAGAATAAACTGTTAATCTTCTGGCCAGGCCCAGTGGCTCACGCCTGTAATCTCAGCACTTTGGGAGGCTGAGGCAGGTAGGATCTTCTGAGGTCAGGAATTTGAGACCAGCCTGAGCAACATGGTGAAAACCCATCTCTACTAAAAATACAAAAATTAGCCAGGTGTAGTTGTGTGTGCCTGTAAACCCAGCTACTCGGGAGGCTGAGGCAGGAAAATTGCTTGAACCCGGGAGGCAGAGGTTGCAGTGAGCCGAGATCACACCACTGCAATCCAGCCTGGGCAACAGAGTGAGATTCCATCTCTAAACAAATAAATAAATAAATATTCATCTTCTTTCTTTTTGTGAATTCTGAAAGCATAAGCTGCAGCCAAAATGAACTGTTTTAAGCTAAAATGGTTGTGATAGTGCCTGTGCCTTCATAGAATGAAGTAGCAACGGTCATGTTTCATGAAGAGACAAAAATTGTTGTTCTCTCTATTGTCTGAAGTGGTTATTATAACAGCTACTAGTCAGTTTTTCCCTTGGGAGTAATCTATACAGGATTTCTGTCTTCATGCTAAGACACTCTAAAGAGCAAGCGCTGGTGAATCTGTGCAGACAGTCTGGCCCTGAGGGATGTGGTTCTCTGCCACCTACACAGACCTGACACCTATCACCAGTCCCCTTTCCCATAGCCTGATTTTTTTTTTTTTTTTTGCCTCTCTTCGTCTTTACGCAGACCTGTTTCCTACTGTCAGTTAATGTGATTGGCCAGCGAATGGATTTCTATGCCATGGTCCATGCCTGCTGGCTGATCGCTGTCTTATATAGACGCAGAAGGAAAGCCATCGCGGAGATCTGGCCCAAGTACTGCTGCTTCTTGGCATGCATCATCACCTTCCAGTACTTCATCTGCATCGGCATCCCGCCTGCTCCTTGCCGAGGTGAGCCTGCCCTTCCCGGGATCCATCTACTTTTAGAAGAAGCCATTACTGAGTGGACAGCTGGGAGAAGAGTGGAGATGAAGAGCATTGACTGTGCTGTTCACCACTTCCTTTTCTGCAGATTACCCATGGAGATTCAAGGGTGCCAGCTTCAACGACAACATCATAAAGTGGCTGTACTTCCCAGATTTCATTGTGCGGCCCAACCCTGTGTTTCTCGTCTGTAAGTATTTCTACTGCAGGGCCACGGAGTGCTGGTATGCAGGTTCACTGCTAATCGCTCTTCACATGCTATGCGTTAGCGCCTTTGCGTCTTCCACCAGACTTCACAATCAGCTTGTCTTACACGTTAATATCACAAGTCATTAATGGCTTCTACTCACCCTATTACATTAGCAAAATTTACCCTGAACATGAGACAGTGGGTGCTGGAAGATGCTTCCCAGATTTCAGTTGCTCTAGAATTGGGTTGCAGCCCCAAGGTCTTCACAGGGCAGCTGGTGATCCAAAGGTCAGAGCAGCTCCCCAAAGACCAGAGTGGGTGTTGAAGAAAATGCAAATGACTGCCCTGCCTAAACAAGTTTAGGTTTAAGAAGCAAGGAAGCAGCTAGTGTGCAGGCTGCTAGGCAGGCTTGGCCTGAGGCCTCTGTGGGCAGTTGCCTGGAAGACAGCTCTCAGGCTACCCTGTGCTCTCAACGCACGGTCCCCCATCTCCAACTGCTCGCACCACATCTGCAGTGTGGCTTAGCTCTGGGGAGAGTCTTTTGGTTAGAAATGCAAAGGGGGATGGAAAAGATAAAGAAAAATGAATGCCTGCATCTGCCACATCCATGGCACTCTATGCCACATCTGCCACAACTGTGGTCACTCTATGCCCTACAAGGTGGAGAGGGTATGACTTGGCCCCGACGTTGGACTCCAGGATGAATTTTACTATGAACTTTGGGAACACAACTCACTTAGGAGCTGGGGTGTGGCTGTTGCTGTGTGATGACTGTGTGTTGCATTATGTAAATCAGAAGAGGACAAGGCTGATTAATGATATCACCTCTGTCTTGCCAGATGACTTCATGCTGCTTCTGTGTGCCTCCCTACAACGGCAGATTTTTGAGGACGAGAATAAGGCTGCAGTGCGGATCATGGCAGGTGACAATGTTGAGATCTGCATGAACCTCGATGCAGCCTCCTTCAGCCAGCACAACCCTGTGCCAGATTTTATTCACTGCAGGTAACAAGAGCTTCATATTTGCTAAGAGCCACTTTCATGTGTGTTTCCATTACATTGCTCCTCTATACTTTCTCTGCTATACTTGGAAAATAGATCCGCTGAATTATACATATTGAAGCTAATAAATGCTGGACAGGGTTGGTCAGTAGCCTGGAAGCTGAGTCTCTGAATTGTAGCACTGCACCTGCTTTTGTCAGTGTAAACCACGTCTTTATGGCCTCAGTTCTCTTCCTCTTCTTTGTGTAAAAACTGACCTGTGCCATTAATACCAGCTCTTTAGTGGAGGGCCCTCCTTCTCATCCCTCATCCCTCCTCCGCATCCCCATAGCTCATCCTTATCTTCCCTCCTCCTCCTCATCCCCCATCTTTCTTCCTTATCTTTCATCCCTCATCCTCATCCCCATGGCTCATCCTCATCCCTATCCCTCCTCATCTTCTATCTCTCCTAATCATCCTTCATTTTTCTTCTTCATCCCCATAGCTCATCCTTATCCCAACCCCACCTCCCCACCCTCCAGCCTTCTTCCTCATCTTCATCACTTATTCTCATCCTCCATCTCTCGTTCTTATCCCCATCCCTCCTAATCATCCTGCACTTGTCTTTCTCATCCTCCATTCCTCCTATTCATCCTTACTCCCTTATCTCCATTCTTACTCCTCATCATGCACCCTTCCATTCTCCATCCCTCATACTCATCCCCCTTCCCTCCCCTCATCCCTACCTTTCCTCTGTAAGTGTTCCTCATTCTCTCCTCCTCCTCCTCATCCTCCATCCCTCATTCTTATCCACATAGCTCATCCATATTCTCCATCCTTCATTCTTATCCCCATCCCTCATCCTTATCCCCATTCCTCCTCCTCATCTTCCATCCTTCCTCCTAATCTTTCATCCTCCATCCATATCCCCATAGCTCATCTTTATCCCCATTCCTCCTCATCATCCTCCATTTCTCCTTCTCATCCTGCATCCCTCCTTCTCATCCCCGTAGCTCATCTTCATTCCCATTTCTCCTCCTCATCCTCCACCCTCATCTGTATCCCCATTCCTCCTTTTTATCCTGCATCCCCCCCCATCTCCATCCCTCATTCTCATGCTTCATCTCTCATCCTTATCCCCATTTCTCCTCCTCATCCTCCATCCTTCCTCTTAATCTTTCATCCTTCATCCACATCCCCATAGATCATTCTTATCCCCCATTTCTCCTGCTTATCTCCATCCTTCCTCCACATTCTTCATTTCTCCTTCTCATCCTGCACTCCTCCTCTTCATCTCCATTTCTCATTCTCATCCTCATAGCTTATCCTTATCTCCCCTCCCTCCTCATCATCCCCCTTGCCTCTGCCTCACCTCACCCCTCCTTCTCATCTTCCACTCCTCCTACTCATCCTCCATCCCTCAAGCTCATTTCCTTAGCTCATTCTTGTCCATCCCATCCCTCAGCCTTGTCCCTATCACTCCTCCTTCTTTATCCTTCATTCTCTTCCTCCATTCATCCTCCTCATTCTTCATGCCTCATTCTCATCCCCATAGCTCATCCTCCATCCCTCCTTCTCATTCTTCATCCCTCATCCTCATAGCTCATTCTCATCCCCATCTTTTCTTCTCATCTTCCACTCCTCCTACTTATCCTTCATCCCTCATCCTCATCCCCATAGCTCATCCTCATTCTTCATTCATCCTCCTCATCCTCCATCCCTCATTCTCAATCCCCAGCTCTCATCCTTATTCCCATTCCTCCTTCTCTCCCATTCCTCATTCTCATCCTCTGTCCCTCCTCATCATCCTCCATCTCTTCTCCTTATCATCATCCCTCATCTTCATCCTCCATTCCTCATTCTCATCCTTCATTCCTCCTCCTCATCCTCCATCCCTCATCCTTATCCCCTATCTCTCCTCCTCATCCTTCACCCCTCATCATTATCCCCCATCCCTCTTCCTCATCCTCCATTTGTCTTCTTCATCTCCCCTCTCTCCTCCTCATTCCTTGTTCTTATCCTCACTTTCTGTATTCACTGGGCACTGAGGAGGGATGGCTCCCTAGATTCCACCCTGTGCAGCTTTTCCATCCTCCACCACTCCACCCACCCTCATGACAGCTGATCTGGGCCGCGTTTCTCTCACGGTGTCCGTGTTTAAACCATGCCAGACTTCTCCCTGTGCACTCACTCTTTCTGCATTCACTGTGTTTCCATGTTGAGATTTTGTCACCCAAGGCCCACTTCATGGAGGGCAGGCCCACTCTGCCTCTTCAGTCAGGTCTTTGGTCTTTAAATGCCTCTAAGACTCCACTCAGCTGCCCACTGTAGTCAATTGTCTGAGGGAGCTGCTGTGACTTTTTATATCCTCTTATTAGCTATATGTTGTGGGACTCATTTCATACACATATGCCATCCAAGTGGAGACAGGTCACTGATAGTACCCTAGCCAGCCAACCCCACACCTGGAGTTGCTCTCCAGCTTCTGGTCTTCTAGAGATTCCTGTTTACATTGTGTGAATATCTTCTGCCTGGTGTTGGTAAGCTGTAGCCTTAGGGTGAAGATCACACCTAACTTGCTTTTGCACTTGTCCCCATCCCCACTCGTACAGTTCTCAGCCCACAGTGCATATACCAATACAGATAGCTGTCAGTCACCTGGTGCTCCCTTTCCACCAGGCTCTGTTCCAGGCTTTGCACACATGGAGCCGTTTTACCCCAACCCTAGGAGGTCATGTTATTATGCCCATTGTGGAGATGAGGAAACTGTGACAACCAGATGAGACATAGGCAGCAGTAGAACTGGGACTGGAACTCAAGCAGTCCAGCTCACAAATCTGAATGTTTAAGCGCTTGAGTGCCTCTTGGTAGCACAAAAGGCTCAATATGGACTGAGTAAATCAGGAAGTGAGTTTGCTTCAAAACCATATGCTATATAGACTTGACCATTCTATTTGTGAATTAAGTACCAGACTAGGCACTGATCTAAGGTAGGACTTCCATTTTTTACTTTTTCTCTATGATGCCAAGAAGACAGTCAGTCTAACCCAATATTTTTACTATTGCAAAGAGAACATAAGTATTTCAAACATATTCATGAAAAACCTAAATCATAACTCAAATGAAAATCTTTTGTGTGCCTTGATTTTTAAAGCTGATTTTTTTTTAGTTATTTCAAATTTTTGTTCTATTTCTCAATGAGGACTGCCAGCAAAGTGACCCCCCTCAGGAAGTGGCCTGTCAAATGCCACAGCAGTGAGTAGGAAGGCAGTGCACACGCTTGCTGATCAGAAGCACAGCCGTGCTCGCCTCTTCCTCCCCCACAGGGGTTAGCTCCACAGCAGCCTGAGATCTCTGGAAAGTGGCCAGAGCCCTGATAGTTAGGTGGCCCTTAGCCACAGTACCTGTCACCAGGGCTCAGTCTCTCTACTCAGAGATCCATAAGGCTCCTTGTTGAAGCATGTTTACTGGGTTTTTTTTCCAACTTATCCTCATAAACTTAGTTTGATGAATTCTGGACTCAAAGTGGGTTCAATGTGAAGGCCAGGACTGGTAAAGCAGGGATTGACTGCTGCAGGCAAGGAAGGAGAGGTAAGGAAAGAATCACCTGCACTCACAGGCACACATGGGCCAGCACACATACTCGAAATGCCAGCAGCCCAGTTCCACTGAACTCAAATCACACACACTTCAGAAGGCCCCTAGGCTCATCCAGTTCACTACCTTTCTTTGTGATGATCCAGGGATACAGACAGATACTGACATTTCATTCCACTCTCCATTAGGAAGTCAAGGAAGAGTTTTACATATTTTAGAAAAAAAAATTATAAAAATATTTAAGTGTTTTCCTTTAAAAAGAGTAAAGGTTAAAAGTTCACTTGCCTGAAAAATGTACCAAGGCACAACTCAAACTGATCCCCTAATAATGCTGGATAGCTCAAGTGTAGTGCATATTTTATTAAGCAATTACTTATTAACATCCTACAAAACAAGAATTCATTAATCAAAAAATTAATCCAGAATTTATTCTCCTGTGCTTCTTCCCAAATGCGGCAAAAGAAATCACCAAAACAAAACCCCCAAAACCAAAAAGTTCTAATCAAGAAACGCAGCTGGGACTTGGCCTGCAGGTGTGACTCCTGTCAGATGACAATGCTGGCACCCGAGCGCGGGCCTCACCTTCCATCAGGAAAGCAGCAGGGATGGGTGGCCCCCAAAAGGGAATCCTGACTCAGCCAGAGAACCTCCAAAACCAGAGTACTGAAAAGAACAAAAAAGTCCCACCATGGCTGTGGATAGTTTGTCAGAATCACCTCTCATCTGTAGAGAAAGATTTCCACCTCTAATAAAAGCTTTGTGTTCAATATAAATTTGTTTAACTTCTAGTTTATCAAAGAAATTTGCTCATCCATTCTTAGCTTTTCTTTCACTAGACAGAAGGCATCTGTACCTCTAAGGTACAGAAATTCTAAATTTCTTTTGCCATGCTATGATTCATGCCTACCATGGAAAAATAAAGGAGAATTTTGAATGCTCAAGTAGTAGGCAGAAATTGTTGTTTGTGAGAAATTTGGCTTGAATAAGGTGGTAAGAAGCATACACACGGTTTCCACAGCTCATCTATTGGTCCATTACTAACTATTTGAGGGTTTCCTAGATACCAGGATTAAATTAAAGCTCGTAGTCTGATTTGCAAGTCATAGTAGAGAGCGTGAATTTCTTCCCTTGTTAAAGGAGACTTTCCTGATTTTGCTTCTGTTCTTTTTGTTGTTGTTGTCCTTCTGTCGCTGGCTTTGTTTTCCAGATCTTACTTAGACATGTCCAAAGTGATCGTCTTCAGCTACCTCTTCTGGTTCGTGCTCACCATCATCTTCATCACTGGCACCACCAGGATTAGCATCTTTTGCATGGGGTACCTGGTGGCCTGTTTCTACTTCCTGCTCTTTGGGGGCGATTTGCTGTTGAAACCCATCAAGAGCATCCTGCGCTACTGGGACTGGCTGATTGCGTACAACGTTTTTGTGATTACGATGAAAAATATCCTGTCAGTAAGTGTTTCCCATTGCATAACACATTTGTGATTTCCATGTAAGAGTAAACAATCCACTCGTGGTTATTAAAAGCCCAGTGCTTGTCATGTTGCTCTCTTAAAAGCCCCAAATAAGATGCTGCAGATTCAGAATTAAAAACCCATTTATTTCTCTCTGTCTTGCCACGTTAAACAGAATCCTTTTTGCTCATTTTCACCATTTCAAGGGCACATGGCTAAAGGATATGTGTTCATAGGAATAAATTCTAAAATGTCTTTTGCTAATTAAAATTCTGTCTCTTCTGAGAAATAATTTGTCATCACTGTTGCTGTGAGTTATGAAGTGGCCCTGTTAAAAGCTGAATTGGAGCCATTGAATCTTTTCAAAAGCTGTTTCATGTTGGCAAAAAGCAACCTTCTTATCTGGAAAGAACCGCAGAAATGTGCAATATAATGATCATGGCTCTCTATGACACTGGTTGGGGTAGGAATGAAGCAGAATGGGCTATTGCAGGCAAGAATGTTTTATGCACTCATAAGATGTGGGTAGATAGAAGAGAAAATTCAGCTTTCTTGTTCCGTCTGAGTATAGACATCCAGATTAGGACACAGCTAGAGCAATATAAGGTTAATGGAACCCCCACCAGGCCCCGGAAAAGCTTGGCTGCTCTGCTCTTTAAGTAGCTATGTTTCAGAGCAAACTCTTCCCCTCACATGACAGGTAACTCACACTGCCCAGTGGTAATTCCAGAGTCACATCAACCTATCAGGACACAAGGACACCATTTCAGTGATTTAGTGCTGCAAGAAATTAAGCAACAACCCCTCCTGAGCTGAAGGAGTTAATAGCTATCTGGCTGGTGCCCACCTGAAGTTTATCCCTGTGCCTGCACCTCCCAGGCTGTAACTGCTTTTGCACTGAGATAGCAGTGAGGAAATCTCCTTCCTAGCTACTTAAGGATGAGCTCCCCAGGCAATTCAACTGTGATAGCTCCTTGATTTTTGGCTGTGGTGGGGGTGGTAGGGGATGGGGGGAGGGTGTATCTCTGTGTCTAGAGGTCTTGGAAAGCCAAGTTTATGTAGCCATGAATAGGCATTTGGATAATTTATTTTGTTTGAAGTCCATTAAAAGTCCATTTTCTAGGTGACAGTGAAAGTGACTTTTACTGGGTGCTTTTACCCCTCTGACATCAATTTACATTTGGAGAAGCATTGAGAGTTGTTGAAAAGAGCATGAGAAAGAACAACAGACCGCTGGTTCGTTCTAAAGCCAGTGTGATGGTGAGGGATCTGTTGCCAGAGGCTGATTTCACAGCCATGCTTGGAAAATGTATGGATTCATTCATTTGTTCTGTAAACCTGTATTGTAGACCTGTTTTTTGCTAAGCACTATTTGATATATTGAAGAACTAGAGCTAAACAGCTCTCAGGTTTTGCCCTCAAGGAATTAACATTCTAAAAAGGAAGGTAGACCTACTTATAAATAATTATGATGCAGTATGTTAATGATAATTATCACAACATTTTTGAGAAACAAAGCAAAAAAAGGATGCCTAATATCTTGCTTAGAGAAGCTGGGAAGAGGCTTCCTGGGGACAATCCCATTTGAATGCATCAGAGACTCATAAATAGATTGAAGGGTCTTCAGGGAGACAAAGGGGGAAGGCATTCTTAGCCTGGAAAATGGAACAAAAGCAGGATATGACACTGTAGGACTGGAATATTCCTAGGGTTGGGGAATCCATACTGAGTAACCACTACTGTGTGAGCAAATCCTAATGATACTTTCCTTCCTCACATGTTCCCAGGAAATACACACAATGCAGTTGAAACTTTTATGTGTTGGCTTGCAATGATTCATACTTGTTCAAACATTTTCCAGCTCACGATTTAAACTTAACTATAACAAGAAATTCATTGTTATGGGGCAACCACCTGCCAATCTACAAAAAGCATTTCTTTACCAAGAGAATCAGCCAAACAAGACTCAAAACACATACTCTGTTCTGTTCTAAGAACCACACCCTGCCGCTTAAGTCTGGGATGACCTCTAGGGAACAGCATAGGTTATATTTATCTGGCTTTTAAGAAAATAATTCTACCAAAGTCAAAGTTCTAGGGTTCAGTGCACACCCATTCATTACCCCAGAGTTGAGATTTATTTTGATGATCACCCAAGATTTCCTCTTGAAAAAGTGGTGCTTCCAAGTACAGAAAACATTACATGAAAGACCTTTCCTTTACTCATTCTGTTTAATTTTCCCCAGGAATTTACATTGCTCCTGAAGCACTACCACAAGGTGACTGAATTTTTAGGTACAATTGGCATCTCCTAGAATCATTACCACTGAGACCCTGTGAATACTTATAAGACGCCACATTTTTTTCTGTGTGCAGAGCTTCAGCATTGTGCCCCTCTTTTGTTTCAGATAGGAGCATGTGGATACATTGGAACATTGGTGCACAATAGTTGTTGGTTGATCCAAGCTTTCAGCCTGGCCTGCACAGTCAAAGGCTATCAAATGCGTAAGTATGAAAAGCAAATGTGGGAGCAGAAGGGCAGAAGAGGGAGGATAGTTGTATTGTTCTAATTTTAAAATTGGGCCAAAGCCAATCAAGAGATAAAAGTAGGGTCAGTTATCTCCAGATGGAGGTTATAGAACTGTACATGGTGAATCTATTGTCTATAATGTGAGATGCCTCATGCTAAGCCTCTTTGATCATCCTCTTTAAACGTCTGAAACTCTGAGGACTTGGAGTCTGTGATCTGGAGATTGGATGTAGTGTTGTAGTAACTCCCCAGGCTTTTTGAGTCATAATTAGGAAGGATTCCAGAAGCCCACTCAAACCTGCTGTTGTTCCGCTTAACATCTTGGGTCATGAAGTAACTCTGACTTCAGGCTCCTCTTGTCCTTAGGAAGCTCAGAGAGCTTCAAACTCAGGGAAACAGTTGGGAGGAGCATGAGGATTTCCAGAGTTAGACTCCTGCTGAGACAAAGGCAGAAGTGTCATTGCCACCACCCTGCCTGTTGTACCAGAACCCAGGATGACATCACACGTGGTCTACCATGGCACCCATGGGTGTTACTTGGACACCGTGCTCTCTCTATTTATTTTTTATTATTTATCTATATTTTTAAAAAATATTTTGAGGCAGGGCCTCTGTTACTCAGGATGGACTACATTGGCACAATCATAGTTCACTGTAACCTTGAACTCCTGGGCTCCAGCGATCCTCCCACCTCTGCCTCTGGAGTAACTGGGACCACAGTAGCTGCCTCCTGAGTAACTGTGCCACCGTGCCTGGCTAATTTTTAAATCTTTTGTAGAGATGTTGCCCAAGATGGTCTTGAACTCCTGGCCTCCAGCAATCCTTCTGCCTCATTCTCCCAAAGTGCTGAGATTGCAAGCATGAGCCACCACATCCAGTCTTTTTTATAAAGTCTATTATTTTTTTATTATGTAGCTTCTATTTCAGGCTATACTTTGCTGAAGCCTCACTAAGACTTTGCTTTTCACTTAAGAGAAGACATACTATTGACATTCCTTCTTATAAGCCATGCTGTTTTCATTATTTTGCTGGTTACCCCTGTGTATAAGCCCATTCCCAGAATGGGTGTTTTCTTTTGTAGAAGAGTATTTCCTCTGGCACTGGACATTATCTCTCCGTGGCCCTTGCTGAGGGTCTCTTTCTTCCTAAGAGAGAGAAATACTCAGGAGGCCTCCATGTTAATGAGGCCCTCCGGAACCGTGGAGTATGAGGAGTTCAATGCGTGGTCAGCCTTGTGAATCAATGTTGATGTTGGATTCGTGGCCTCCTTGTAAATAAATCAACTCATAAATAAGTCAGAGCTTCAGAATGCTGCTTTTGTGCCTTTATTTCCCAAGCTTGACTATACCCCAGATTTTATAAAATGACAATGAAAACAGATGTTAATTTTAATTTGTGTTTTTCTACTTTGCTACCACAGCTCCTGCTAATTCGCCCTGTACACTACCCAGTGGGGAGGCAGGAATTATTTGGGACAGCATATGTTTTGCCTTCCTCCTGCTGCAAAGAAGAGTCTTCATGAGTTATTATTTCCTACATGTTGTGGCTGATATAAAAGCTTCCCAGATCCTGGCGTCAAGGTGGGTCAGGCCATGGAATCAAGTGGTTTCTCCCAGGAAACTTGCCTGAAACAATATTGCATTGTGTTTTCTGTCTGAGCTTGCTTTCAGAACTCACAAGAAGTTAAGAAATCCCTTCCAGTGAAACCAATCCAAGAAGAATTTAGCACAGGACCTTTAAAATAGAACAGTAACAGGAAGGCCTATGTAACCATCAGGTTTCACAAGGAATGGGGATGCCGTAGAAGGCCAGAGGTTCACTGGTCAATTTGAACCTCTCAAAACCCACCAGTTCTCTAGAAGTGGCTCAGCCTGGTCTCAGACAAACAGCAATGTATGCCACTTTGGTCTAGAGCTCAGTCCACTTACACCTACCTCCCCCTATTCACCTGCTTTTCTTCTCTAAGCCACTGACCTGCTTGCATTACTATCTATTTTTTCCCATAGACTCCATTCTTCTTTCAGTTTTTGCCCTTGATCTTGTAAGTTTAGGGAAAAAAACTGGGTAGAGGTAATAAAGTGAAGGGCGCTGAGGTGGGGGTGGATGTTGATGACCAGCTGTGTGGCCCCCAGCTGCTGTGTGTGCTCCTCTCAGAGACTCAGACCATGCCTAGGTCCCATGAGATTCTCAGTGTGAATCAGCTGGTGGATACTGGGTAGTGTTATATAAAATTACCAATATCTATTATTTGGCTTGAGGTTTAGACTAATACATCTGTGTTTACCTATAGTTTCCCTAGAGTCTGTTCTCTTTTCCTACCACGATAAACACAATGTTTATTTTGTTTATTTCCAAGGTCCATTTATATGATGGCAGTTGTCAGCCTCTGTTACCTAAGTTGGAGTCAAATAGAAAGATCCCTATTGTCAAAGGAGCCTTGTGGCATGCCCAGCCCTCATTATGTAGGTGACAATGACTTTATTTTATGTACAGCGTTGCTCTGGAATTCATTGTTATAATCATTTTCTAATACCCAGGACATCATTTTCAGAGCTAAGTACAATGTTTCATCCCAATAGTAACCTTATTTACTTGTACATAAACAGCTGGTATTTTGCAGGTAAATGCATCTGTTTTGCCTTTCCCAAAGCAGAGGTCCTTACATAACTTATCTGATGAACCTCCACTTGGAAGCAATCTTCCTCAGGCTCCTAAGGCAACGTGCTCTCCTAATTATCCTTTTCCTTTGTGGTTCAGTCTTCTAGGTCTTTTTTGAAATCTCTTTTTTTGCCCATCTCTCAAACATGAATGTTCCCCAGTATCTTTTCCTCAAAATTGTCACAATTGTTTAGATATCGTGCTCTTCATGTTATAGTGAGAGTGGTAACTGGCTCAGAGTACAGTTCATGCCGATTAAAGAAAAGCTATGAGTTGATCAGTAAGCATTGAACTCATAATGGTGTGTCCAAAGAATTCACAGTCATTCATTCATTCATTTCTTTCATTGCCTACTCTGTTACATAGAGGTGATGCTCACCTCTGCCCTCACAGAGCTCACAGACTAGCAGGAAAGTGGCACATGAGCAAGAAATTGTACTACAGTGTATCTGGTATTGTCTCAGTCCATTTGGGCTGACAAAACAAAAATACCATAAAACAGGTGGTCTGTAAATCATATACACGTATTTCTCACAGTTCCAGAGCCTGGGAAGTCCAACATCAAGGTTTGGGCAGATTCAGTGTCGGCCAAGGGCCCACTTCCTAGTAGATGGCCATCTTCCAAACTGCATCCTATTTTGGCGGAAGAGGCAAGAGACCACTTTTGGGGGCTTCTTTTATAAAGACAGTAATCCCATTCATGAAAGCTCTGCTTTCCCGCTCAATGAACTCCAAAAGGTCTCACCTCCTGTCCGTCACCTTGGTAGTCAGGATTTCCGCATGTGAATTGTAGGGGACACAGACATTGAGACCAGCAGGTGTGACAGTAGGAGACACTCGGGGAAACATGAGGTCACATCAAGGGAATATAACCAGCTGCAGGGGCATGAACCAGGTAGCCTTCCAGTCCCAGTGCAGGATGAAGGATGAAGAGGAGTTAGTCAGAGGAGAAGGCAGAGGAAGCAGCCCAGTGAAGCTACGGAAGGAAGTAGCCATCAGAAGCTCACAGTGACAGCATCACGGAGACTGGAAGATGAGGATAGTGAGTTGTGAGGAATAAGCTCCAGGTCAGGCGAGGCCAGGTCCTCCAGGGGCTATCAACCAGGATTATGTCTTTAGAAATATTCCCACAGTCTTAGGAAGGCCTTGCAGTGTTTAAACAAGCAAATGCTTTGACTGTATTTGCATTTCAGGAAACTCACTCTGCTTGTGGTATGGAGAATAGATGGGTACAGGCAGCACTGTAAGGCAGAGAGACAGCTAGGCAGCTGCCTGATAATCCAGGGTAGAGATACCAGCTAGACCAGGAGAGGTTCACTGAGAAAGACATTCCAGAGGCAAAAGAGGCACAGCTTGAAAACCGTTGGGAGGGCAGGGAGACGGTGATGGAAAGGGAAGCACAGAGGGTGATGTGCCCAGGATTCTGGCTTAGCCAAACAGTGGTGCCAGTTCCAAATATAGGAACTCAAACAGGGAGAGAAGATTGCCGCTGCGGAGTTGTAGGTGCTGTGGGCACATGCAACTCAACCAGTTGGGACGTCCACTGAGCAGCTGCTCGGACAGGTCTAGAGGAGTGAGTAGATGGAGTGCCACCATCACACAGATAGTATTGGAGTGGGTGAGTTGCGGCTGCTGAGAGGGAGTATGAAGCATGAGAAGAGAATCTTGGGGAACATTCATGTTTGGGAGATGGGCAAAGAAAGAGGTTGCAAAGAAGACCAAGCAGCCTGAGCCACAAAGGAAAAAGGAAAACTAGGAGAGCACATTGCCTTAGGAGCCTAAGGAAGAGTCTTTCCCACTGGAATCCATCAGATAAGTTATATAAGGATAAGACTAGCAACTGAACATTGAAATCGGTGACCTTGACAGGGGGGTCAAAGCCAGACAGCAGCGAGCAGAGGTTGAAGTTGTAAAGGCTTAGAGACATGACCGTAAGACATTTCAATGTGAAGGGGCAGTGATGTAAGTTCCTACATAGGAAAATGCAGGGGAGTGGGGGTGGGGGGTTCTTTTTCATTTTTTTAAGGTTATCAAGACTTGAGTACGCTTGCATGCTTATGGACAGAATTCAGTCCTAACGGAAAAATTGGAAATGCAAGAAGAGAGGAAGAAACAGGAATTGTTCCCCAGGCTGCGAGTGGGGAAGGGACCTGGAGCCCAGGGCAGACCTAGGCAGGCTGACGGTACCTCTTCCACTGTCCCTGCAGGGCAGGACACCTGTGGGACTGACGGTATGGGAAATTGAGAGACTTACTGCCTTAAGATTTGTGTTCCCTCTGGGAAGCAGGAAGCTAGGTCATTTACTAGGAGTGAAAAACCACTCGACAGACTTTAAGACTTGAGAAAAACGTAGCAGAGTTTGAAACAGCCACTGTAGAGAAGCAGAAGACTTTTCAAGGAGTCGGGGGCTCTGCAGAGAACCATCTGCCCAGGCGGGTGTTTTTTCCAGCAGCTGCCAATAGCCCCTCCCAGTCCAGGGCAGCATACCGTCAGGTTCCTACAGATTTGGGATTTGCCAAGCGTGTAACAGTGTGACAGAGTTGAGTATGTGAAGAAGGTTGAGGAGATTTAGGGGGACACTGAAGTTAGCCTGAGAAGTGAGAAAGAAGAGAAGGGAGTAGAAGGACAGGAAGAAGAGAATCAGGGACAAGAGACTAAAGTCCCACAGTTGGAGCGGGAACTTGGCCTTCACATACTCCCTAAAGAAATCCCCAGTTTCTGCTCGTTGAAGAGAAAATGAATCTGAACATACCCCTTTTTGCAAATTTCTCCTCTTGGTATAACTATAATAAGGTCAGGTAAGGACGCTTCACTGAAGTCTAATGTTTAGTGGGACAGGTTTGTAGAGGCTCATGGGCTTCAAAGTCTTGGAGAATGCAAAACACTTTCCCTTCACTGATCTTCACCACTGGGCTTGTGAGCAGCCCCCACAGTCCCAGGGGGAAGGCTGTGCCCTGTTCACTCACGGGGAAAGGCTTCTAGAAGGGGTCTTGTTGACTCCCACTCCGAGCCAGGAAACTGCAAGCAGCTGCCATAAAGAGATGTGATGTTTTCTAACCCTTAGGAATAATTTTCAGGGAAAGGTGAACAACAATAGCAAGAATACTGACTTGTTCATGTTTCCAATTTCCCTTTAGAGGAGCTGAACTTTTCCAGGCCACAATTGTAAAAGCTGTAAAGGCAAGAATTGAGGAAGAGAAAAAGTCCATGGACCAGCTGAAGCGACAGTAAGGATGCTGTTGATGCTCATCCTTCTTCCGTCTTCTGATTGTGTGATGACATTCAGCTGGCACTCCACTCTTGGGGAGCCCCAAACCCCTAAAATATTTATATGTATGGGCTTTCACAACTTCCTATATATTTATTCTTGTGCTGGGGCAGTGGCTCATGCCACTAGACTGAAAGTGAAAGCGGCTTAACAGGATAGCTCCAGCCTGGTGGGGTTGGGTGCTCTCCTGCAGAGGACCAGGGATCAATTGCTAGCTCAGTGACTTACTTCAGAACCTTGAGCAGATCATTTAAGTTCCCTAAATTTGAATTTTCTGTTTTTACATTACAGCTCACAATTCTGTCTTTCCGGATTTTTGTAAAGATTAAACTGGCTGATGAATGACACAGGGTCTTGCTCAGTGCCAAGCACTTGCTATAAGCATTCATTACATCTGTGGGCTAGGGGGGTAAATGTGGAGTCAATTTTGGAAGCAGAATTTTAGATAATATCATCCAGTCTTTTTTGGAAAGAAACTGATAACCCTGGTATTAGATGACTTAGTCAGCACTAACTAGAGGCAGCACTAGAAATACAAGCTAGAGTTCCCTATATCCCATCAAAATCTTTTCCCACCATCCCATTCTGGACAGCCCAAGGGGCAGACTGACTCCACTCAGGAAATTTGAGAATTCCATGGGAAAGAATTTTCTTCGAGTGAAATTTCCAGCAATAATGGAACCTCTGAGAACAGGTAGTACCTCATATGTTTGGGGGCCAGGTTTAAAAGGTGATGGCCATGGAATTCTAAGCCTAGACACTTTCCCCAAGAAAACGGAGACACCATCTGCCCACTAGGAAAGTTCCCTAAGTTTGTTAGGGCAGTTTCATCTCATTCTGACCTTTTTTCCTAGCTTTTTTCCCAAGCAGAAATATTTCCTAGTGTAAATTAGATGATTCCACAGCATAATTATTTTCATAAAGACGTAAGTTATATCTAAAAAATTATAATGTAAATGCAATATGGTTCAACTGTTTTTATTGTTGTTTCTAGTTATCCAAATTAAGTCTAGAAGAGTAACAAATTTGGATCCATGTTTAGAATGTGTTCCTAACTTCTGATAAGTGGAGTCTATTACTGTAATTCTGTTTGCTAAATCTTTCCATTTGTTTAAGAATGCAAAACTTGGGAGAATAAAGGACTTGTGTTTCTTAATATGCAGTGTTCAAACTGGCTATGATAGATGTGAGTGGACATCAAATATAGCTTGCCTAGCATAATTATTATTGGTCATATCGTTAAGACTAGCATCTATGCAATGCCAAATAACATGGGAACACACACCCAAACACACACACACACACACACACACACACACACACACACACACACACATATAAAACAAAGGAGATACTTGTGGCTAATGAGTAACCATTTTACAATTCCCAAATATTCTAATTTGTCCATGAATTTAGCTATATACATAACAGCGTAAGTCCAAAGTACTGACCACATGAGAATAATGAATGTGTTCTTGGCATTACTCATGTTATTTTCCTTTATAGGATGGATCGCATCAAGGCCAGGCAACAGAAATATAAAAAGGGTAAGGAGAGGATGCTGAGCTTGACCCAGGAGCCAGGGGAAAGCCAGGACATGCAAAAACTCTCTGAAGAGGATGATGAAAGTACGTCAAGACATTTTCCTCTTTTTCAAGTTTCTTAACATTGAATAATAGCATGATATTGAGTAGGGCTGTAAAATAATATTACTTTTTATTTTACCAATATTATCATTGCATTTTTTGACTCAGTAAGCTTTATTTTCCCATTGTGAATGGATATGTTCATTAGTTTCATAAAGTATATATTTGATGAATCAATTACTTTACAAGTGTCTACTCTTCAGCAAGATAGCTTTAACAAACACATAGCCTAGCTTTTGTTCCACAGACATCTGTTTCTGCAGTAGATTGTCAGAATTTTGCTTAATTTGTTTCTTTAAAGGATATATTTGTGATATACAGTTATCTTTTATTTCTATACATTTTATATGGAAATGAAATATGTATGTGTATTTTATGTGGCACCTGAATATTGGTAGCTAAAATATCATTCAATTATTGCCCATTCCAATGAAACGTACCATGAAATGTATGTTGATTATATCTAATTATAGATTTATTATATCAAATTAAAGTTTAAAGGATCTTTTATAGAGGCTTGCATTCTTCTCTATGTGAATGGAATGGAGAAATAATGCGTGATATTTTCTCAGTGCATAGTATCTATTCATGGTCAGTAAATTTATATTTTCCAGCCATGAATTAATATAATCACAAGAAAAAATTTATTGTAATTTATGTACTTTAACAAAATATTTGCCAGTAAGTGGTTCTATAAAATTTGGGGGATGCTTTGTTTCTGTTAATTCAATTGAGTATTCAATGTGAGATGTATTTTTTATACGTCTTTATATGCCCACAGTTACTAAGAAGAAAGTGAAAATGTAGCATATTGTTAAAAGAACAATTAGTATTTATCTTGTGAAATTGACTGTTAATACATGTATATTTTTCAGATTCAGTATAGTTCCTTTACCTGACCTCTGATATACTTTTGCAATTTATCTAGATTTGACAATTGAGTTGTTAAAGCGTGGTTTTCAAAATTTGTTTTCTCATTTTATACGAATTAATATTTGGACGTATTTTATTTTAGGAGAAGCAGACAAACAGAAAGCCAAGGGCAAAAAAAAGCAGTGGTGGCGGCCTTGGGTTGATCATGCTTCCAGTAGGTTTTCTTGATCCTCTTACAACCTCATCGACTCTAACCCTTATATCCTTGACCAGAATTCAGGCGTTCCCATGACCCATGTGTTCCATGCATGGTTTGATCCTTGTGACTTGATAGGGGGGTCGGAGTGTAGGAAAATTCCAATGTCAATGGGTCTCTGAGCCCCAGGTTCAATTCTTCCAGAAACATCAGCACAGACATTGCTGTGCTGGCTGAAGAAAGCCAAACACGTGACTTATAGATTCTAGAGCAAAATTTATGGGCTCAGAAAGGGAAGAAGAATTGAATATTATGCTACCCAGTTCTGAGGCCTAGAGCCCTATTCGTATGTATATTTTATGGCTAAATACCCTCACTAAAAATGAGATTGAGCTCCACCTTGGACTCTGATTTAAGGCTGCTCATTCTATTCAAAGTGTCAGTGACCCTCTTTGTAAGGCACTAGGCATGGATGCCAGTAAGCCTCCCCTCTCCTCATTCCCACAGCTTTGATTTTATTTGCATTTAAGAATTTTTAGCAATTTATTTAGTAGAAAGATGAGGGATAACTTAAAATGCACTCATTTTCTCACTCTGCTTCCTCCTCAATCTCAAAAAGGCACTCCAAATTCCAATGCCCACATGTGGCACAGCTTTGAAGCCACCCCATGCTCAGAGATGACCAATTAACAGCAAAACCCAGAAAACTATTTTTAAAAGCAGATCCTGATAGCCACATAGAATGCAGTGTGTTTCCCTCCTGGTCACAAATATGAATGAGGAATTCTGGAACTCAGTGGCTATACCTGCTCTGCTTAGCAAAGGAAATATCACTATAGGCCAATGGCATTGTAGTGGAATGACCCATTCCAATCCAGTCCTCTTTAAATTTCTTGGAATATTGAATAATTATTATTTTGCAAGTTGTCTTCAGTTTTTTAATATCTTACACAATGTCTCCATGCTTGTAGCTACTTTAACGGGACAAGGAATATCAATGAGACAAATAACGTCACACAGCTGTAGTAGTGAGTCTACCAGGAGGATATTTAGAATCACTAGGAAGTCAAATAAATCAGAGCTTCTTCCCATGCCTAATACTTGATTTCACATAGATCTGACATTGGCCTCTCTCTCCCAAGACGTAATTTTCTAATTCAGCAAGCTAGTTTAATGAAGCAATATTTTTAATTTGCTCAGTATATCTGGAGGTAATCAAATTTAATCGTAAATATCGAATTTCAACATGATGACAAAAAAATGAAAAACACATGATTATAAAGAGTTTTATTTAATTTTCCTCCCAAGTCCAAAGACAAAAGATTCTAGTCAGAGTCCAATGTGACTCTTCTATTTACTGTTCAGGGCATGACGGTCACGCTAACAATCTGGTAATGCGGTGCACAAGATGCCTGCCTCTATCAAGTCACAAGTAAACTGTGCTTGTCTTTGTGTTTTTAAAGGGCCTCTGCTAGTTAAGAGAGACCTACCCATTTCAAAATCGTGTCATATTGAATGTTTTTTCACTTCACTTGGGGTACATTCCCACTGCAATCATTGTGGTTCTCTTTCCTTTTCTCATCTAAAAATTGCATTTGCAAAGGAATTGGATATGGTCTTTGATAACTATCTTACAAGTTGTAAAAATTTAAAGAACTTTCTATGAAGGTTGTTGACTTTAGATTTTCTGGTTCATTTCACCCTCATTATATCAAGTTCTTGAAGACTGATGTTTAACTAAATGTGCCTTGTTACAGTACCTTATGATGCAATAATGCAGAAATGTGTGTGATCCATAGTTTGGATTCATTCAGACTGTGGTGTTAATTTTTTTCTTCAAAATGTATTTTTCCTTACAAGCATATGAAGAACAAAAGGGAAAGAATGTGTGCTTTATTTTTGTGTCTATGATGAGTTCTAGAGCTTATCTTTAGATATGGAAGTACTTTGTTCAAAGCCCTTAATTGGATTTTTTGAGTTACTGGGCTTTCAAATAGCTATTTCTTAGAGATGCTGAGTGTAAGAATTAGTGCAGTTGGATACACATGTGTAAATCTATTGACAACGCAAAAATATTGCAATGTTCTTTATATCATTGGTAAGCAGTGAAGATCTTAGCATGGTCTGTATAGAGACAAATCTCCTACTTCCATACCTATGTACACACGTAAGATTGCATTATTGCTGTTCAATGATACCTTCCATTCCAGTGCTGTATGTTTCAATATTGGTTCAGTACTGCCTAAATTTATAACAAGCTTCATCTTATTGATAAATATCTGAAACAGAGAGCCAAGTTCTGAGGATAAAAGTGGTAGAATTTAAAATGTTAATTTCAAACTTAGTAATTTAGCAATAACATCAACATCCATGATGTGCATGCGGACACAAGCTGGAGTAATCAGGATCTCCATCTGCACTAACAAATATATGTGTAAGAGCTTTTCTACTAAGTATTTAGCAGTTGGCATGAATGAAAATATGCTCTTGTTTTTCTAGTTTCATTTCAAGAACACTTTATAAGGAAATAAGAGACTTCTTTCATTTTATTTTTTATTATGTGATAATTCCACTAGCTCACATAAATATCGGTGGTTTCTAATGATAAAATCAATGTTACAACTGCTTGAGATGAAAAAACCTTTTGAACTTGTCCATGTGAATAAAAGTTATCGAAGGTATGATTGAATACAATTTAAGCTAATGTTGATTTTGGAACCTATAATGAGGGTAAAATGCTCAATCTTATAATAGTCTGTGTTTTTCTCAAACGACCACGTGATGTAGAGTCCATGTCACCTTGCTGCGAATCTCTCGGCTTATGTGAAGGCATTACTTTAATGGTCTTCTTCACTGTCAAATGTAATGCTGTAACTTTGGTTTGTTCTTGCTTATTCTTACTTATGTTGTATTGCATTTATTTCCTAAGGCCTGGACCCAGTACTCTGGGCCTGGTTCTTTCTTCAAAATGAAAATAATAAATGTCAGTGCTTCTGTTCAAGGATATAAGGCCCAATTCATTCACTCTGTATCTTCATGAATGGAGGCTTCAGATTCTTCTGAAATCGTGGGCAAAATTACTAAACTTTTGGCCATGTGAAGTGATATTCAAGCAACTAATTTTAAACAAGCCAAGGTTTTCCATTACCTTACAATGTATAGGCCCAAAAGATAACTTAAGACATCATGATATGTCGTCCAAAAGATGCTTGAGAATTTGAAAACCTGAATATAATTTGAAAGTATATTTTCCTGCTTTTCCTGCAATGATGGGACATTGCTTGTAGCATCAGAAATGTTATATACTGGGCCTCTTTTCTCTGATAGACTTAAAATAATGATCGAACTGATAAAGATTTAATTTATTAAATTTTCTTAAATCTCTGTACATTGTAGTTTTCTCTGTTCCCAACTCTTGACCACAGGCATGATGTTCTTGCAGGGAAAGTATCAGACAAGGCAAAGACAATCCATACTGTTTGTGCTTTGTGTCTTATGGTCAGTAGAGTGCTCCCCAAATTTCAGTAAACCGCTGGGGAGTTCCTTGTTGACCAGAAGCCTAGCAGTGCTAAACCCTATGGACCCTGTCTGCCATTCTCAGTCTGTCTCAGGGCCACGACACTTAGAAGTAGCCAGAGCGTTGTTGTTGGTGTTGGTGTTTTTGTTGTTATTGCCGTTGTTGTTGTTATGCTGTGTCATTTTGTTTTCAGTGTTACCTGCCAATTTCATCCTTATGGCAATGTGTGTGTGTGGTTTTTTTTTTTTTTTCACCTGTCTCAAATGTCTTGCCATGTATGTTTTGTCCGTTGTGTTACATGTGGAGAAGTCAGGTCTGCACAGTATAAAGTGAAGTAGGAGGTTGGTGACACTGACCGTGGTCCTGAATCATCCTGATTGGCTTATCTGCAAAGGTTTGGGCTCATTCAGATAAAGCCTAATCCTCCACCTCACTTTGGCCTTGTCTAAAGACCAAAATTGCCGAATTTTGAAATGATAATTTTCAGTTATTTTAGTCATCTCGGTAACAAAACTGGTTGCTGCAGAGTTGATCTACTTCATCTATGTAAAATTTATAGTGAAGAAGGGAGAACATCACAGATCCACCCTGTAGTGGCCAATTCTCTTATATGGCAAAAACAAGGCCTCATACTCTGTGGACTCAACATGGCAACACACGTAGCATCAGCCAAGATGAGTTCTCTTCATCTCGTGTGTTTTCCTCCCTGCCAACATCTCTCATTGTGCTTCTCTTATGGACAATTTGTGTACCTTTAGGGGACATTTCATTAATAAGCTCCTAATTTCCTCATATGTCTTTCAAGAAATAAGTAAATATTTTGTTTTGCTTAGTGGTCAGGAGTGGAGATTATTATTTGTTTGAAACGGACAGTGAAGAGGAGGAAGAGGAAGAATTAAAGAAAGAAGATGAAGAACTTCCCCGAAGGTCAGCGTTCCAGGTAATTATGGGAAAAACCTTTCCTTTGCTACTTGGAAGAGCTTTTCTTATTGAGAGACCTTGATTGCAGGCCAGATACCTCCTACCGTATTCATATGTTGTAGCTCCCTGAAGCTTCTGATTTACATCTGCAATTCTTTACTTCTGAATTAAATTGTAAGGATGCTTGCTCCCAGCAACACTGCAATTAGTACCAAGCAAGAACCATATTCAGGTCAGGTTTTCATTCACTTGCAATGAAACAGTTTCTGATATAAACAAAAAAAATAAAGCTTCATTGGGTGAGCTTAATGTTGCTCTTGCAAGCAGGAAGTGAAAAGACTTCTCTGGCATTGCTTTGGATTGCATGAATGGACTTCTATTTCAATATGTGAGATAGTCAATAATGAAAACAAAATCCTTGCTTTGTCTTGCAGTGAATTATCTTTTAAATGTTGCTTCAAATTTTGAAAACTGTACCATATGTATTGCTAAAGATTTGAGAACATATTGAACTAGTAATAAAAATATCTGGCACCGTTCTGTTTTTTTCAGCTTAGCTACCTTTCAATTTTGGTACCTTCTGTCCATTCTCAGCTATAGCTCACCACCCTAATATAGCATACTGGGTGAATGTGAATCAATGCTTGTTAAAGATGAGGCTTTGTCATTAGAGTTATGTATGGGATGAAAATCGGTCTGCATTTCTTTTATCAGTTAACTACATATGGGGGCTATTGGTTATTTCCCATCTGTTTTCCTACCAGGCACATAGAATGATGTCCATCAAGTCACATGATATGCCCACGATAAGGCCATCATCAGTTTTTTGGGCAGGTCTGCTCAAGTGGGTGGGGTCTATCCATGCTTGTTTTCCCAATGACATTGAAAAACTGAATTCTTCATGGAGACACCTTGGTCTGATGCTTTCTTTCTTCCTCCATTGCTTCTTGTGTATGTTTCTTCATGACTGGGTTTGTGTGCATGTTTGCAACTGGCTTGTCAAATACTAACAACTTAACTCATTTATTTTTATTCAAAAGAGTTTTATTCTAACCACCACTCATCATGCAGCAAAGGAGAGAACATGAACATCTTCACTATGTTGGATGGATTACATGCAATAATTGACTATTTACTTTATTCCTAACTTACAAACAGAGCACATTTTATTCTAGCTTCAGAGACTGTCACCTTTTAACCCAGTTTGTGTAATTGTAGAGACAAATTCATACTGACATCATATATTAAATTGCTAGTTTTTGGTTTTTTCTACTAATTACTCTTGCTTTGTCCTTCTTTGTAGAGAGCTATTGGGAAGTTTGCGTCAGCCATTTTAGCCTTGCCAAAGTCTGTCATTAAACTTCCCAAAACTATTCTTCAATATTTAATCAGAGCTGCAAAGGTATTTGATGTTTTACTGATGTATAGTGTGTGACTCTCTGCTCTGTAGAACTGTAGACAAACATACCTTCATTGCCCTATTTCTGCATTTTCTTGGTTCTATAGATGGTACCGTGAAGGAATTATAGGAATTTAAAGTATTAGAAAAAGTTTTCAAAAACAAGTTCTTAGAAACCAAAGTTCTTATTATTTGACTCTTGTTCTTAAGTGGACATCAGAGACTATCGAAAAATAGAAAGAGAAAATGCAGATACAGATATACTGTCTCTCCTTCTCATGGTGTTGCCTAAGTCACATCTCATTTTAAAAGGATCACATCTGGTTGCATGCATCAGTTCTGATGATTAAAAGTGTGATAATTTTTCTCAGAAAGCTGGTAAAATTCTGGATAAGCTAATAAAAGACGTCTTTTACTCCATCCCTCTTTCGTCTCCCTTTCAACTGCTGTCTTCCAGTTTCTGCACTTGGTACAGCCAGCTCCTCCCTAGGCTGATCAACCCAGTGCAGTCTGCGGGTCTCCTCACTCTAACAAATTCATGCTAGGGCTTTCGGATGCGCTGTCAAGAATTATTTGTTGATTTATCTAATGCACAAGTGAAGTTATTCAGCTACCTATGTTGCAGTCACTTTGTTAACAAAAAACCACTAATAATGAATTCCTAGTCTTACGTTTTATAGAAACACCTTTCTCCTGAATTCAGCTGGGGCAGCCACTACAATGCTTTGATCTGTATGTCCCTCATAGTTCAATAGTGATGTAGACCAGTGCTTCTCACATTTTACCCTGGGATTTTATTTAAATGCGTGTCCTGATTCAGCAGGTCCTATGGGACCTCAAATTGTGCATTTCCCTCAAGATCTCATGTGAAGCACAACCGTGGCTCTGCGTTGAGTAGCAGCATCCACACCTCTAGGTTCCTTCTATTTTTAAAATGCCAGGATCCTACTTTTTAGTGTATTTACCATTCCTGATTCCCCCAAATTCTTTTCCTTTTCTATGACTACCATATCACTTTCTCAACTCATATTTAAGAATTTATTTAAATGAAAGATTACAACGTAGCTATCCCCTGTCTTAATTTAAATATGTATATATAATCTTACAGAAAACATAAAGAAGGTGCTAGACCATATCTGAATCAAAGGACAGATGATAAAACTTCACCTATTTCGGTTAAGGATTTCCACTTCGATAAAGCTCTCCCCATCTTAAAGAATAAGTGCATTTTCGCATAATAAGTTGTTAGTAAAGTGAATCCTATTTTCCCCTGAAATACATGGTAAAATTTAAGATAAAGTCAGGAATGCATACTACTGGTAGTAGCTGTTTAGAGAGCTCAGAGGTCTTTCATGTAAATTTCCATGTATTTTTCTACTCCTGGTTGGTGGAGCTTGTGTCTGATTTTCCAGGGAGGCCCATCCAGCTGGCTGACAGGTGCAGCTGCAAAGTAAGAATTGGGAAGTTCGGTAAGAGCCTTCCATTTCTTGACTCAGTAAGGATTGGGACCTTTCCCCCTCCTCTTCATTGTCAACATTTTTCTAACCCGTATTAATAATTCCTGGAACTGTAAAATGTTTCTATTTCAAAACATCAAAGTTAAGATAATTTTACCTACAAATAAGGAATTACCCTATGACTCTCGTCTCTCCACTTTCCCCGATGTTTGCATACCTCCATGCCCATGACAGTGAGGCAGCACTGACGTGCTTCTTCTTTAGGGATGCTTTGTTGAGCCAGGAGTGCCCTTTTATAAGCCAAAATGTTAATGGAACCCACCCTTTCTACAAGACTTCTTCGATTCCACCCTTCACATCCCTTTTCTTCTCTCCTTTTCCTCCCAGTTTTATTTTTCTTCAGAGAAAAAGAATTCCTCCAACTCGTGCTCCTCTTACATTCACAAATCCTCAATTACCTTTTTGCTTTCTATTTTTGGGATTCATGCATTATCTAAAAGCAATATTGTGATAACACTTTTTTAAAGGAAATGTCACCATATGTTGCTTTTAAACCTGAAAATTTCTTACATTCAATAATTAGATTCTTTTAAAACAACCAATATTGTGCTGAGGCAAGTTTGCTTATTAATGTACTATGCTGCAAACATATTCTTGATAGAATTCCCAGCTAAAGTAGCCAATAAACATCTACCAAAAATTCCTTTATTCAGTCCTTCTCCTGCAAATCCCAGTTCATCTCCCCATTGTTTAAAATATGCTTTTGGCATAAAATAGAAGACATTTTTGCCTCCTAGAATTTGTTATTCAGAAATAATACACATGTTGCATTTGTTTTAATTTAGCATAAAATTCAGATTTCTACCAGTGAGAAAAAAGAAACAGTTTTTCTGTTGTAATAACCTATGACCCTTCCATTTCCATATATGGAAAAGTTGAATCCCTTTTTACTTTCTACTGATTTCACAATGCCACTGATTTGCTTATGCTGTGTTTTTAAAAGATTTCAGAAATCTGAAAATAATATAGAATAAGATGAAAACATCTGGGTTTAAAGAGCTCCCAGAAAACATTTATTTAACTTTATCATCATAATGGAAAACCCAGCTTCCCTGAGACCCAGGTGTGTTTGTGGTGCATGAGAAGCATGCCTGCTTGGCTTCCTGTTGCTAGATGGCTTTTTCTATCAAGGTCTTCTTCTTTTTGTTCTTTCTGCATGATTTGGGAGACTCTTGGTTGGTGGGCTGTTCATAATTGCTCTTTCTTGGTTATCAGTTACAATGTGCTAATACAACCATTTTCAGCTCTTGAATGAAAATGACAAAAGGCAACCAAAAGCCCCACAGTTTTTCTTTCATGCTATTCTGGAATAACTCCTTAACCTTAATATCACTTTTTTTTTTTTCTCGCAAAGTACTAATCAATCTACACATCCCTTTCTCAAGTCGCTGGTAATAGCTGTTATTCAGAAGAGAGAGTATTAAATGTGCAAAACTATTTTCCCAAAGTAAATAAGACTATTAAAGATGTTATTTTGCTTTTGACTCAAAGTTTATTTGTGATGGGAGAGACTACCCTACTAATATTGGATGAGGCTTCCAGCTTATTCCTATTGTGTACAGTACAAAAGCTTCAGTAAGAAGTATCACAAATGGTGGTGAGATGCAGGGACTTGGGAAGAATGATGGTTTGTATGGTATGTCCAAAGTTTATCTCATGATATCTGTGAAACCAGATGAAATATATTACTACAACATCTGTTGTCTTTAAAAAAAATTGAATTTCATGATAATAAAAATAGTACAGGGATGTTTAGTTTGTGTTGGGAGGAAAAATTATTTCAAAAGTCAGAGAGCTTGGTGTAGCTCCTTTTTTTTATTTCAAATTATTAAAAGGCCAGAAAATAATTGAACTTTCTCTCTTCAGTTTGTTTATCAAGCCTGGATTACTGATCCTAAAACTGCACTCCGACAGAGACACAAAGAGAAAAAAAGGTCTGCAAGAGAAGAACGGAAACGAAGGAGGAAAGGATCCAAGGAGGGTGAGTGGTGGGTGGGTGGCTGTGGTGGGTGTGGCAGATTTCAGAGGGTGACTGGTAGGTGGGTGGCTCCGGTGGGTGTGGCAGATTTCAGAGGGTGACTGGTAGGTGGGTGGCTCCGGTGGGTGTGGCAGATTTCAGAGGGTGACTGGTAGGTGGGTGGCTCCGGTGGGTGCGGCGGGTTCCAGGCTGCACTCGCCAGCCTTGTCTGCAAAGGACAAAAACTTCTGAGGGATTAAGATCTGAAGAATGCCAAGAGTTTTAATTTGTCTTTAATTGGCCATTTCTGACACTTGGAATAAATTAAAGCACAAATTTAAGATATATTTTTTTAAGTAGGGAAAAAAAGGGAGGTGCAAATGAACTCCCAAAAACTAGAAGAAAACTATTTTTAAGTGGATATTAGGTAATTTTAAAAAAATTATAAGACATGACCTGATCATTAAGTTAAAAATTGTTCTTAGTAAAAGCAAATAAGAAAAATGAAACTTTAACAATTTAATCAAGAAAAAGGGGAAAGCACACTTAATACTCAGAAACAAGCAAACAAAAAGAACATATATTCAACATTATACCAATATATTTGGAAACATAAACACATCTCTAAGGGTAAAGATATTTCAAACTATAACAAAAAAAACATCAAAAGTGAAGTTGAAGTGCAGGTGGTTCATTCAGGAGCAGTATTTTATTGTACATATCAGACTAAAGATGAGTATTCTGTATATGTTAAGAACTGCTAGAAATCAAGAAAAATTCAATTCAGTCAATGAGAGGGTATGAAAAACAATTCACAGACCAGAAAACAAAAATGAACAAAAGATGCTCAGTATAGTACAAGAAATACAAATGAAATATTTTGACATACTGTTTTCTTAACCCATTGGATTGATAGGAACCTAAACATTGGATAATGTCACTGCTTGGGAGCTGGTGGGAAGATAAGTACTCACATATACCATGAGTTGTGTTGAAGTGGTATATCTATTTTGAAGAGTGGTGTGTCATTATCTGCTAAAAGCTCAAATGTTACATATCATGCTACAGATCAGTCCCATACCTAGGTGTTTGGCTTAGCCTATAGCAATACTTGCATATGTGTACAAACACACATGTCTAAGAACATTCATCAGACGCTATTTGTTAATAACAAAAAAATTTGGAAATATCCTAAATGCCCCCATAAAGAAGAAGAGTTAAATAAATTGTTACCAATATATCATGGAATGTTATTTAGTAGTTTAAAAATGAGATGGATAGCTTTGAGTTGGCGTGGAGAACAATTCCTGATATTATTAAGTGAAAAACAATACATTGAAAACGGCTGGCACATTTTGAAACAATGAAACAAATGAAGTCAGAATAGTACCTCAAGACAGTATTTTGCATTTTTAATGTGTGCATATACTAGCTTATAAATGCAAGGGAAAGATCAGGAGGAATGCTCACTCGTCTTATTAATAACAGTGGTTACTTCTTGAGAAAGTGGAGATTAAGTGGCATGATTAAAGATAAGTTTCATCTGTTATATTTTGGCTGGAGTGCAGTGCTGCAATCTCAGCTCACTGCAACCTCCGCCTCACGGGTTCAAGCGATTCATGTGCCACAGTGTCCCGAGTAGCTGGGACTACAGGCACATGCCACCACACCTGGCTTAATTTTGTATTTTTAGTAGACACACGGTTTCACCATGTTGGCCAGGTTAGTCTCAAACTCCTGAACTCAAGTGATCCGTCCACCTTAGCTTTCCAAAGTGCTGGAATCTGTCCACCTCAGCTTCCCAAAATGTTGGGATTAGAGGCATGAGCCACCATGCCGGCCTATATTTTGTTTCTTTACAAAGGAAATGCATCCATAGATGGCTTGTGAAATTTAAAAGGCATTTAAAAATAAAAAGTAAAAGAAATTTCTAATAAAACTCTAATTGCAAAGTCTCTTCTTTTTGACCCTTCTTCCCCAATACATCCTAGTAACATGATCTTAAGTTATTGCTAAATTTAAGAAGACAAAATTAATACATAATTGCTGCAACAAGTCAGGCAGTAAAAAGGTAGAAGTATAATCTGCCTAAACTCAGTCATCTCAAATCCTGTCCTCTAGGGTTACAAATCCTAACAGCATATTGTGTTCACTTCACTTCTTTTCTCACGTGCAGACATGAGTATGCAGGTGGTTTCCTTTACTGTTTTTTTGTTTCAAAAATCAGTTCACACTCCACAAATTACTCTTGCATTTTCATTACCAATGTCATGAACATTTCTCTAATTATTTATAAAGTCATATCATTATTCTTTAATAGTTGCAAAATATTCTATAGTGCAGATATGCATAATTTATTCAACCCTTCCATCCTTAATGGATATAAAGTTGCTTCTGGATTTTTGCCACAGTGAACAATGCCATAATAGATATCATTGCACAAACATTTGTATGTAGTAAGACATGTGTGTGTTTAAATGCTTAGCAAAGGTGAGAAAGAACATCCATTTTCCACGGAACAGATTCTCAAAAGTGGGACTACTGACAGAGTGTGCCTGTTTTTATTTTCATAGATATTTTTCTGAAGGGTTTTAGGACTTTGCCCTCCTCCATGTGAGGGACAAGGGTGTCCAGTCTCCTTTAGCCTCACACCACAGGGTTGTACTGCTCTTTTTATCATTTTTTTTCTAGGGATGACAAATGGTTTTTATTTTCATTTGAATATAGCTGAATTCTTAACCAGTTAAACTGAGCATTTTTATTTCACATTTTGTTGGTGAGTTTTTGTTTTCAAGTCTAAGGTTTAAACACTTTTAGCATTTTCCCGCATTGTTCTGTCGGCTTGTTTGTTCTTTTCTTATCAATTCGTGCTATTTATATGTCCGGCTTCTTATCCCCTTTTCATATGTTTCAAATATTTTGTCCAGCCCAAGGCTTATATTTTGATTTAGTTTATGGTACATGTGATTTAGGCAATTTTTAGTTTTTTTCTGGTATCAAATGGGTCTAAATTTCCCCTTGCAGTTTCTAGGTTTCTGTCTTGCTTTTAAGAGCTTCTCTCAGCTGGGTGTGGTGGCTCATGCCTGTAACCCCAGAACTTTAGGAGGCTGAGGTGGGCAGATCACGAAGTCAGGAGTTCGAGACCAGCCTGGCCAATATGGTGAAACACCGTCTCTACTAAAAATAGAAAAAATTAGCTTGGTGTGGCAGCACACATCTGTAATCCCAGCTACTTGGGGGGCTGAGGCAGGAGAATTGCTTGAACCTGGGAGGCAGAGGTTGCAGTGAGCTGAGACAGTGCCACTGCACTCCAACCTGGGTGACAGAGTGAGACTTCGCCTCGAAAAAAAAAAATAAATAAATAAATAAAGTCTCTCCTCCCAAACGTGATGCAGATGCTTCCCAGATTTTCTATTAATTTTACTGACATCTTAAATTTTTATTCTATGGAGATCTAATTTGTTCACCTTTAGATGGATAGACAATCATGTTATTCCAGTTTATTAAGATGATTGATCCTGTTCCTACTGGACTTAAGTGCTTCTTTTGTCAGTGTTAGCTTCCCGTTTCTCAGGTATGTTTTTGGACTCCATATTTTGATGTGCCCTCATATTGCCTCCCTCTGGGCCAATGCCACATACTATTGAGTCCAGTAGCTATAGAGTTAGTTTTAATTTTAAGTGAGGCAAATTTCTTTCACTACCATTTTTTCTTTTTTCAAAATTGTGTTTGCTGTTCTCAGACATTTGTCCTCCCAAAATGTTTCAATCAGTCCTAAAAATCTGCTATTTGGTCATTTTGAAAATAGCTCATTTCTGTGTGTCATGAAAATTATTTATTGTGCACATACAGCACTCTTGACCTACCCACCAAAGACAGCAATAATTTAAAGATACCCTTTTAATGAATATTTACTCAGTACCTTTTTGGTACAAGGCATCATATCTTCCAGGTTTCTTTCAGATAGATGAAACACATGGATCCCATTCTTCCGAAGTGTCAGGTGTTGTCATATGTGTCTTATGTATACTGTAGGAACTAACTCAATCCTTGCAACAGCAGAGGGTCATTTTATTTTCCCTGCTCTACAGAGGAGCAAATAAGGTCCCAGAAAATGAAGCAACTTGCCTGAGGTCACACAGCCATTCAGTGGGTACCAGGTCTGGGATTCCTGCTAGATTTCTTTGTTCTAAAGTCTTTCATGGAAACTGGTAGTCAAGACAAGTATAGGGAAAAAGTTCCTAATGATATCAAAACTGCAAAGTTTCATTTTAAAAAGTAGAGATAAAATAATATGGGACTTGAGGGAGAATGGATTTCTTGTAGCCAAGCATGTCTTCAGGGAATGTTCCATGAAGAAGGGAGTATTTGCACAGAGCCTGACATTCTAGCTCAAGAAAGCAAGTCCCTGCATAAAAATATAAAGAGCAGGTCAGCTTAGCTGGTCAAGCCCAGATGTGGAACAGCAGTAGTAAAGAGGATAGCAGAAAATAAGTTTGAGAAGATTCCTGGAGTCAGATCATGAATGACTTTAGATAGGATTACCAGATAAAATGCAGGAAACTGAGCCAGGAGGTGGGGCTTACACCTGTAATCTCAGCAACTTGGGAGGCTGAGGTAGAAAGATCACTTGAGGTCAGGAGTTTGAGACCAGCTTGGGAAATATCTCTAAAAAGATTTTTTCTTAATGTAGTCGGGTGTAGTGGTGTGCACTGGTAGCCCTAGCGACTTGGGAGGCTGAGGAGGGAGGATCACTTGAGCCCTGGAGGTCAAGCCTGCAGTGAGCTATGATCACACCACTGCACTCCAACCTGGGCAACAGAGCAAGACCCGACTCTCTCTCTATATATATGTACATATATGTGTATATGTGTATATATATATATATATAGAGAGAGAGAGAGAGAATATATATGTCATATATCTATATAGAAAGAATATATATTATATATTTCCTGGGCTTCATATACATATATGAAGCCCAGTTTGAGTTTTTAAGATAGCAAATAATGCTTAGCTTAAGTATAATCTGGACATATTTCATGGAACATACTTATACTTTACAAATAGAAGATTTCTTAAAGAACTAAACATAGAACTACCCTTCAATCCAGCAGTCCTACTACTACGTATATATTCAGAGGGAAGAAAATCATTATATCAAAAAAGTACCTGCACTCGCATGTTTATTGCAGCACTATTTACAATGCATAAATATGTGATCGACCTAAATGTCCATCAGTGAAGGACTGGATAAAGAAAATGCAATATGGGTATATGTCATGGAATACTACTCAGCCATAAAAATGAATGAAATCAGGTATTTTGCAGCAACATGGATGGCATTGGAGGCTATTATCCTAAGTGAAATAATGCAGAAAAAGAAAGTCAAATACCTCATGTTCTCACTTATCAGTGAAAGTTAAAGAATGGGTGCTCGTGGGCATACAGAGGGGAGTCATAGACCTTGGAGATTACGATTTATGAGAGAGCTGGGATGGGGGTTGAGGGCTGAAAAATTACTGGTTGGGTACAATGTCTGCTGTTTGGTGATGGGTACACCAGAATCCCAGACTTTACCACACACGATATGTGCCCGTAAGGAATCTGCACTTATCTTTCCTAAATATATTTTAAATTTTTTCTTAAATTTAAAACTCTTTATCTTCAAATTTAACCGGCTATCCTGCTCTTTTATTTGTTATATCTGACCATTTTAGCCTTCAATAAGAGGATATGAAATGAAATGAAAACCTATAATGTCATTTAAGATATGACAAACCTTTTCTGTAAAGAAACTTACAGTAAATATTTTATTTATTTATTTATTTATTTATTTATTTATTTATTTATTTTAGACAATGTCTCCTTTGCCCAGGCTGAGTGCAGTGGCACTGTCATGGTTCACTATAGTCTCCACCTCCTGGGTTCAAGCAATCCTCCCACTTCAGCCTCCCAAATAGCTGGGACTACAGGTGCACACCACCACACCCCGCTAATATTTTGATTTTCTGTAGAGATGAGGTCTTACTGTGTTGCCCAGGCTGGTCTCAAACTCCTGGGCTCAAACGATCCTCTCACCTCAGCCTCCCAAAGTGCTAGGACTACAGTTGTGAGCCACTGCACCCAGCACTGATAGTAAATATTTTAAGGTTTACTATTCTCTGTTGCAACTCGAATCTGCCATTATAGGGCAAAAGCAGCTATAGATAATATATAGACAAATGGGCATGACTGTTAAATTTGAATTTCACATAATTTTCACATGCACCAAATATCATTCTCCTTTAGATTTTTTCAACTATTAAAAATATAAGCACCATTCTGAACCCACAGACCATTTGATAACAGTCAGCCTGCCAGTACTGGCCAGTACCCACCAGCAAATGCATTTTACTCATCCTTGGTTTACATAATTTTTATGCAGGCACAGAGTAAAATAATCTAAGAGCTATGAATTCTAACAACTTTTTTCCCAGGAACTCTTAAAATAGGCAGAATGTCCTAGAGTGCATTATAAAATTCCTTTTAATCTAGAATAATAATATTGGCATTTAATTTATTCTAAATGGAATTTAACTCATGTTTATTGAACACATTTAACAGGTCCTGTGGAATGGGAAGACCGAGAGGATGAACCGATCAAAAAGAAATCTGATGGACCAGGTAACATAATAAAGACAAATATTAGCTGTGGGAACTTTGAAAATGATACCCGTCCAGATGGTATATAATGGAAGGCTGCCTGAAGAATTGTGAACTGAACACTGCTCTCTAGACTGTGACTAAATAATCAGTATCCCTTGGAATCTCATCTCCACTGAGATTGCAAAATGACTCCTAAAAGCAGGCCCGGACTTTACGCAGTTGTATAAAATGTTGAATGAGAGTTGGTTTGTAAATTCCTTTATGCAAGCACCTATGAAAGAAGCTTTTAGGGATAAAATTCTTAATATCCCATAGAAGCCATCAGAATGGAGGCACACACACAAAAATACTGGCAATTAATTTTAAAAACACAGAAAGGAGGAGGTAAATAAGACTGGGGAAATTAGAGATATTCTAGAAAGTTGGGGCCAACCTCTTTATTAGGAGGGGAAAACCAAGCTGCAGTGAGTTTGTGACGTGTTCTGGATTCCACAATAAGGGACAGAGTCAGAGATAGAACCCTTGTCTTCTAACTCCCGGTCCATTTGTCACAGTGCCATTTGGGCTCTGCATAGTATGTGATTTGGGGGAAGGTATCTTTATGCAGGACGAAAAAAGGCAAAATAAAAGCCTCCAAGTGAAATGAACTCAATTCTCTCTAGCTCTCTAATCATGCCATTTCCTCGTCTGCTTTAGAGCACCTGTGCAGGTATCTATCAGTAGGCCAGGTGTCAGGCTCTTTGTCTCCCCACACAAATACTCCCAAGCCTGCCCTCAGCTGGCATGAAAGGAGACTTACTGAAGGCCACCGAATGCCCTCCACCATGCCAGTCCTCAAACCCAGGCTTCCATCTCTAGGTAATTGGACACACATGCGTGTGGACCTGGACACTCTATTATTGCTCCAAAGCCTCACACCATAACAGCAACCAACACTTCAGATCACATGTCTTATTTCTGAGGCACTTTTTCAAGAGTTTGGGGCATATTAATTTGTTTAACCCTCTCAAAACAAGGAACTGAGGCAAAGAGAGATTAACCAACTTAATCTCTTGGTTGTATTAATGAAGCCTATATAGCCACTAAAGGGTAGAGTTGGGATTTGAACCCAAGGAGTCTTAATCCAGAGTGTGTGCTTGTGATGAGTATCACATTGGGGTCACTACCTGAGATGTTGTCTCTTCATGCTGGAGCATCGGCTGTGGCATCAGTCACATCGGTGTCCCTGTTCAGGTGCCAGCTGTGATGAGTGTCATGTTGGGGTCACCACCTGAGATGTTGATCACCACTTGGGGAGGTCTGTCCTGCAGACCCTGACTCAATGATGAATGGATAAAATGTGCTCACACACACCATAATACAGTGAATCCGAGTGGGCTAGGGATGGTCATCAGCTGCTTTCAGAGGATGATTGCAGCTAACTGACAATCACTCGCTGCTCCCCTTCACATTTATTCAATATAGATGTAGTAACAGAGGCTCTAAGTTAACATGCTTGTGGATAATTAACATGGTTAAAAGAGTGCTTTTATGAATGATAAAAGGCCTTGGTTCCGAGGCCCAGAATAAACACCATTAACAGGTAATTCCCCTTCAACCCTCCCCTGAGAGGACCATCCAGGACAAAGTTTACATGAGTAAACAGTTAAAGACAAACGAATGTGAGATAAATTGACTTAACTGGGGAAGATTTATTATCCTAATCTTACTCTATGACTTGAAGTTCTAACTTAAGAGCTGGCTGCCTTCAGCCCATTCAATTAAAACCTTTCAGCCTTCCAAAAATTTGAGACTATAATCTATAGCTTTCCCTAACATTTCCCTAATATTTTGCCAGCCATCCTGAGTGAATCCCAACATGTGTTCTTAACCCCTGTGCCCTACTGTCCCTGTGGTTAAACTTGAAGCCTCATTTTCCCTGTTGGTGAGTGCACATGATTCATGTCTCCAGGGCAGCGGCTGTGGCCTTACCATCAGGCCCAGCATAGCAAAACTATGCAGTAATAATGTTTATCTTCATCCTTTCTATGAAAACAATTGTGAATATGAGAAAAATACGTGTCAAAAATATAAGGAGCTGCTAAAGTGCATTGATGGGTATAACTCCAAGTCTTTTATTCTCCAGAGACAAGCTTCCCTTCTATGTCTACACAGAGCAGCTAGAGACTCTATCTGAACGAGTGTGAGAACTACATACCTTGCTGACGATTTTGTCAAGAGTATGAGGAAGGTTGGGGAGGGAAATGTAGGTGCTTATGGCAGCTCCTGTTTAGCATCCACAGCGACTCGCTTCATTCGGCTTCAAGCAGTGGCTGTTCTCTTCTGTGTCTCCTCACTCAGCAAAAGATGCCCTCTCTTTTCCTTGCTTCCTAAATGTACCTCATGGAAGTCTCTTAGGTGTGACACCATTTGGAGGAGGTTTGGGTGTTGCCGGGCAGTGACAGCCCAAGTGGGAAGCAGTCTCACACAGAACATCAGACATCACTATATAGACATATTATATAAATGAGCTAGAGAAAATGTCATGAAGAAAATCAGAAAGAAGAGAAAATACAGTTAATATTCACTAAGTGAAAGTGGACCATCATAAAGCTCCTCATCCTTGGTATTACATGTGCAGGGCAAGAGCCAGGTCAGGCTTTGTAAAACATCCCTGTGCTACACAAAAGCAAAGTCAATGATATTTTCTTCCTTTAAAATCTTATTGCTTTTCTTCCTCTTAGATAATATCATCAAAAGGATATTTAATATTTTGAAATTTACCTGGGTCCTATTTCTGGCAACAGTGGACAGTTTTACTACTTGGCTTAACTCCATTTCAAGGGAGCATATTGATATATCTACAGTTCTAAGAATTGAACGATGCATGCTGACCAGAGAAATTAAGAAGGTAACACTATTGATGTAATTCTTTTTGCTTCTTCCCACGTTAAGAAGAGATGAAAAGTCAATGTCCAAAACTCCAGGTAGGATAAGACCAAATCCTTTCTTTCCAGGCAATTTTTGCGTAACCCCTTTGCTTTTCTGTATATTTAAATATATTCCACACTAGAATTAAAATAATCAAATGTACATGCACATGCACCTATACACATACACACACATCTCACAGGATCATGGCAACTTTTATTCACCCTATCCCTCCCCTCACCACAGTTTCCAGGAGTACAGACTTTGTTCTGGTTCTGTATCCCGAGAATTATAGTTTTAGTCTAGAAAGTGTAGCAAGTGTTTTTTTGTTGTTGTTGTTGTTTTGTTTGTTTGTTTGTTTTGCACATTGAAGTCTGGAAAATTTGATCTGAAACTTTTTTATAAAGTAGGACATATGCAGAATAACGAAATACGTGGTTTAAAAATTATATTTAAAAATAATAGTTCATTTCTTGAAAAGTTACTATGATTTAGCAAAATTGTCTACTTATAAGAAGACATTTATTTAGATCTAACTAGTAATATTGGAAACCACTTATTAAATGAGTCGACAACAATCCCCACTTGCCTAGCATTGTCCTAATCCTTATCCAGGCATGAATGGGTATGAAAAGCTGTCTGCGTTGAGAAAGGCCGGGTAGATATGCAGGCAGGTTCCTCCCTAAGAACTGTGCCAATGTCTCCATCTCCTCAGGGCAATGTTCCGACTCGGGAGAGCATCCACATGTACTATCAGAACCACATCATGAACCTTTCCAGAGAGTCGGGGCTGGACACCATTGACGAGCATCCCGGAGCTGCTTCAGGTGCACAGACAGCCCACAGGATGGATAGTTTAGATTCACATGACAGCATCTCCAGGTATTTCATGTTCTAACAATGGGTTTACTTTTGACAAAGGTAAATGAGGTGGATGCCATTAAATATAAGAAATGAATGTGTGAGGTGAAAGTTAATCAAAACCATGCATGGACCCCCATCCTCTTCCAGCTGTCTCCATCTGTACAGCAAACTAAAAGGAATATTGTCCTCATCCAGAAGGAACCAGATCAAAGCAGATATCAGTAAGACACTATTAGCTATACCCATATGACCCAAAGGCACAGTATAGAGATTTTCAAGCTGGAGGTAAGGAAGAATGATCCCTCCCAACCCCAAAGTGATTACTTGTGTCAAGGGCTACATCTTCAGTGATTTTCAAAATAGCTGATTCACAAAGTGTCTTCTACACTAGCATCTTCTGTTTCTATCCTTGATCTTTCCCTTCAGAAGTGTCACCTTAAGGTTTATAATAAAAATTCCCAAAAAGTATTCTGTTAGCTTCCATCTTCTCTGAGTTTACTATTGTATGCATTATTTCACAAGAGGATTGTCAGATGACACAGTGCTAATGGATTCGCCAGGGGCCAGCACTAAGCACTATACTGAGTTACCTCATTTTATCCTCTAAGCCCGTACAAGATGCATGCTCTCATTAACCCTGCTTTGCAAAGACAGAATTTAGTTACAGAGAGATTAAGAAACATACCCAAAGTCACACAGCTAGGTTGTATATAAAAGTGGACTCACAATCCAAAATCACGTGGTTTAGCTCAGAACCCAAGTTCTAAACCACCCTAGTATGCTGTCTCTCATTGCCTCTTCCTGCAAAGGCCAAGTTACTGCCTGTCCCAGAAAAGCCTCGAATTCTTTGCATTACAGTGTTGTGGATAGATGCTGACAACTGTACAGAGCTAGATTCTAAGTTAAGCAGGAGGCCCTCTCTTATGAGGAAAAATCAACTTGCTCAGAGTGAAGAGCTAGACCAAATGAATGACACCTTGTAGCCACCTTCACAGGTAAAGAATTGTGTCACTGAGAACATTCATGCTTCATTTTTTTTTTCATTAAACATGTTGAAAATCAACTATCCTGTGCCGAGCCCTGGGCTTGATTCTTGGACAGGCATCTAAAGATAAGAGCAGTCCCCTAAATGGTTTGAACCTAGGAAGAACTGAGATAAGGCTATTATGTCCTAAAATGCCTGCCCTGGGGAGTTCAGTAGAGATTGGTGTCTTTGACTGCTGGTCAGAAACTCCCGGATGGTGTTAGAGTCACAGTTTAGAGCAAGGCACTAATGACTCATAGAAGTAATTGTCCTTCACAAATTCTGGGTATATTTTCAGATGAAGTAGGAGAGGGAGTTGGGACCATTTTATTGATACCAAACCCAAAATAGACAACTGGATGTTAGAATTATAAACCAGGCCGGGCGTGGTGGTTCACGCTTGTAATCCCAGCACTTTGGGAGGCTGAGGTGGGAGGATCACGAGGTCAAGAGATCAAGACCGTCCTGGCCAACATAGTGAAACCCCATCTCTACTAAAATATAAAAAACTATCTGGGCATGGTGGCGCACGCCTGTAGTCCCAGCTACTGTGGAGGCTGAGGCAGGAGAATTGCTTGAACCTGGGAGGCAGAGGTTGCAGTGAGCTGAGATCGCGCCACTGCACTCCAGCCTGGCGCCTGGTGACAGAGCTAGACCCTGTCTCAAAAAAAAAAAAAATTATAAACCAAGCGAGGAGATGTAGGTAAAAAAAAGTTTTACCCTAAAGTGCTATTTAACTGTTGCTGCATTCCTGTATTTGAGCCTCTCTAATTATGCCTATTATTTTGCTACCCAATAAATATTATTGATGCAGATCCATATTTATTTGTATGAAAAGATCTTTGTGATATATATACACAGTAAAATTTATACATGTATTTAGTAAAAATTCAAATTTTAAAATAAGATGGATGCTAAGCCCAATTTAAAATATATATATTCATGCCTACATTAAATTAGAAGTAATATTTGTAGAGATTACACAGTGCATAAATATATCCCTGCCTGCCCTTCTAAAGTAGGTATTGATTATTTTAAAGTCTTGAGGGATGATAAAAGAGACTCTATTTTTCCTTTAATTTGTTAATAATCTTTGCTTATTTATAAGTTCCAAAGACACAGATATTTCATCTATTACTGTATATCTTTTGTGGAAAGAAGAAACATTTAGTACAGAAACTCTTTATGATTTCAAAGTCAAATATTTGTTTCCTAATTGAGATTCTGTTTAAAGTTTTAATTCGTAGAATAAAATAATTTATTATTAGAAAAATGTGTCATGATAATAAAACTTTATTTTTTAGTGTCTTTCTACCCAAGAATATGCATGTTTTTCAATTATTAATTTCTGAAACCATTAGTAAAATCAAAAGTTACAAAGAGAAAATTTAATGTCATATCTGTCCATTGGTGAGTGTTACCAGAGCCTCATTGTGTCTTCCTAAGAACTTCCTACAATCAATATTTTGAAAGGGGAGCTTCTGTCTTTCTCTTTGACAGATTCCATTCAGACAAAAGGCCATTCTTTATGATGAATTTAATTTTTATTTTTTGAAAACTGTTATAACCATTCTATTTAGAAGCTTTCAGATGTATTAAATTCATTCTTATTGCAACAATTCTCTCCCTACCAATAGATCAATGTATTTAAACTGAATCATTCTCTCTTTAATTTAATTCAATGCATTTAATTCATTTCAATGCTAAGCTTAAAATCTGTGCCTAGCTCTTCTTACCTAAGCTCTTACACAGTCCCTTCATTCTACAGGGACCCTGCATGGGCAAGTCTGTGAAAGCTGACAGGTTCATGCAGCAGGGTGGGCGAGAGCCGAGATTTGTCCGAGTGTAGTGGGCACTCAAGATGCTGACTGGTGCTGCTTCCTAGTTACAGGGTGAATGAAGGGAAATTGGAGAATCTAAAAGTTTCTAAATCTACCCACTTTAGGAATTATTAGTGATCAAACAACCAGTTTTCAAAAAGTAAGAGAATGATAGGATGAAAGGAATGCTGAGACTCTCTACACTTCCATGTCCCACATGATGTTTCTTTTATTCATTCATTTATTTTTACATAACATTCACATGCATCCCACTACTCTCAGCTTTGGACTGTGTTGCTCTGTATATATCCAATATGGCCTGGATCTAATATAAACTGTGTCTTTATTACTCCTAAATTCTAAAATAAAAGACTCAGACAGCTCTAGTGAACTTAAACAAAAGTCATGACCATATTCAACTGGAATCATTTCTTCCTGTGCAGTGAGAAATACGATCATATACATGTGTAGCATCGAGTTTGACTATTGCACCTTTGCATCTTTCTTCAAGAAAATATGCTGCCCCATCATGTGATTTGTAGAAATTTTCAAACGCCTTTTTTTTTAACCTCCCTTCTTACTTCATTTTATAATACAGAGATTTTTTTTGAATTTCCAAGTGTGGCAAGTGAGATTGGTAATGAATAGAATAGCCTTTCTTCATTAATTCGTGATGACACTAACAGTAATTGGTGACATTTTTTAATGAACTTCTTTTGAAATTTCATGAAGCCATATAGCCTCCCACAGGGAAAAATCATACATAGATACAAATTATTTTTCATTCAATCTCCAGGGTTTTGCAGGCCTCCTGAATATCACACATAGGCCTGGCTTGAAAAAAGCTGCTCTAGAACCAAACTCTGAATCAGTAGCCTCGGAGAGTATTTGAAGGTGAATTGAAAATAAATTTTTCATAAAATAAACATAGGTGAATCCCGTCTTTATGTCTTTTAACTGCATAATGGACAATATGCCCCATTAAGAAATTAAATATTATAAATCACAATTAAGGAGGAAAAAAACTGGTTAAAATGAAGTCAAATAACTGCCTCTAAATCTGACCTCAGATTGCAGACAGGAAACCATATTCACGATGAAAAATTGTGAGTTAGGAGGTAAACTCCTCGATTGCTTTTTGACAAAGACTGTCAAAATATCCTCCCAATTTTAAAATGGTCACTCAATAAATACAATGACTAGTAGGAAACCGGCACCTTTAGAATTAGGTTTCAATGGGTTTTTATTTTATTTTTCAGCCGAAAGAAAGGGGAGACAGAATAGGGCCCATCTTGTTGCCAGTAAAGGAGTTACCATACTTTCCCTTTTTTGCAGTGAGCCATATTCTTAGGTTCTCTGCTTTAGAAACTTTCAAATCTCCAAATAATTATTTGTCTACACTGGAGTCTCCAGGAAGCCATGCTGATTGTTGGAAAGGTAGTAACCTTCCCTAGAAGAGGCCCTGCAGTGGAAGTCATTGGGAAGGCTCTGGTGGCCACGTGGTTGCCACTCCCCAGTGAGGTTGCACTCACCTGGTGTGGCCATTGCCCTTCACGGCGCCTGCTCTGAGGCCAGTGGCATGAATTTTGCCTTTCAGCAGACAGTAGATGGGGTCTGGGTGGGAGCCTAGCAAGTGGATTTGTAGTCCCTTTGACTTAGAAGAATAGTCAGTTTCTTTCAAATCCGTATGTAAAATGGCAAACATTTTTTAATGGCTGCTTTATATAACCAGATAACATTACCATCCCAGAAAATATATTAGCTTAAATTGCTACAGAAAACATTCGTTAACATTCTCAGGGGCATTCCCAGATATGAAGGAGGTGGTTATTAGCTTAAATCTGTCCCCTGAGTGTTGTCCTGTCTTCCTGCACGCTGCCCGAAGTGCCTCCCAGTGGGGGGCCGTCAGGGGAGTAATGGCAGCCATTCCGTCGGGCCTGCTGTCTGGGCCTATTTTAATACATTTCCTCCCCGTCCCATTCACTTTTAAACTGTCCTGGACTGGGTGACTTATTAGTTGCCCTACAGGAAACCCAATTGTGTGGGACGGTGTAGTTTCTGAGAACTCCACCCAAGAGTTAACAAGATCAACAGGGATTTTGAATTAGAACCGTCAGTTCCCACGAAGAAAACCTAAGCAAAGTTTCAGGAGACTGCACAGGCTGTGAGGTTGCATATCTGCAAATATTAAATGAAATACAGAAGTGTGAAGTCTCTTCATCTCAGAAACATAAAACTGGGGCCCCAGAAAGGAGCACTGATTCATCTAAAACCCAACAGCCGATTAATGTCAAAATGTCAGCATCCCAGCCCTCACTTTGTTCATCCAATGCTTTTCTCATTTGTCTTGTTACTGTCTCCTCATTTTGTCCAGAATATGGTGACATGGTGACATCTAAAGGAGTTAGGGGGAGAAAACAGCCTCCATCACCTTCTAGAGAGTATTTTGGTTGCTCAAGGCTCTGCCCTCACTGCTTGCCCCTGTCTTGGCCACATAGCTGTGACATGGACAGCAGCACAGCCGGTCCCACTGGAGCAGTTATGTCTTGTGCTCCAGCATATGGGATAAAAAACTTTTTAACAGGTTCCATGAGAGAATAACTCAAATTCCCTCCTCCCAGGCGTGCCGTGGTCATTGCATCCTGAACGCCTTCCGCCTCTGCCCCAGGATCCTTGGCTGACAGTGTATGGCTGTGCAGGCCAGGCACCTAGTATTCTCCTAGTGAGTTCACTTGATGACAGAATTCAGCTTAGCAGGTTCAGCCTGGAAATCAGGCATTCTGTATCTCTAAGGGTCTGTTTCTGTTCCCTGGGTCAGCCAGCCCATGAGCACTCAAGTTGGAAGATAAAGTATTCCAGTTGCCTTCTGTAGAGGATCTTTGGGCTGTCTGTCCCTCTTTGGGGTTGAATCGTGTGCGGAAAGTGAAACTATGCCTGGGTCACACCTCTGTGTGCTTCCTCTCATGGGGCATCCTCCCCAGCAGCATCCTAGGCTGAATCTGCCATCCTCCCTCCCCACTCACTGCTCCGTTGGGTACCAGGAGATGAGGATTTTAGGCAGTGGGTTCTCGCCACCATGGCATCCACCAAGCCCTAAAACATGATGCAGAAAAAAATTAGGCACAATGAAAAGTTAACAGACAAAATGACCCTGCCATTGCTCAAGCTCCTTTGTTCTTTCCTTTACAGCCTTTTATTTTATTTCTGATGTTGGTTTATATACATGGCATATTAAACCAGCATCCCTACTACATGCAAAGCATCTCGTTTGGCTTAACTGAATATCACTCCAAAAATGGGGTGCAAAATTCAGTTTGTTGTCATTCCTGAGTTTCCCCTCTCTAATTTTGAAGACTGTGCTAAAAAGAAAAAAAAGATTGAAATCTTTTATATAAATTCTACATGAGCAGTTATTTCTGCTTAACCAAATTGGTTAATAAATGCTCTCAACTCAGGACTGCAAGCTCCAAATAAAGCGTATTTTCTTTCATTTAAAAAAACCCCCTGTTATGAAGTTTAATTATATAAATTCTACTTTGTGAGAAAAATATTGGGACTTGTCATTTTTCTATTTCTTAATCCCACCCAGAGAGCACCATTTTGTAATGTGTCACTAGCCAATACGTTTTTACAATCCAGTACTCTTGCGTTTTAAGGTCCTGCACACAGGTCCTTCCCTGTCCCCAAGCCCCGCTGCGGTGGCCTTCCTTGTCGGTGGTGTTGGTGTCATGTGTGGTTTGCTGCATGGCAGTGTGTTGGTCAGTTGATCCATGTGTAACCTGATGTACCACTTGGTGTTTTAACACTGTGTTTCTGTAACTGTTTGCGCTGCTAGCTGCTACACTGAAGCAACCATGCTGTTCTCAAGGCAGTCCACCCTTGATGATTTAGATGGACAAGAAATTCCTAAAACAAGCGAGCGCGCTCGGCCTAGGCTCCGTAAAATGCTCAGCATGGATATGTCCTCCTCTTCAGCTGACAGTGGCAGTTTAGTATCAAGGTGCTTAACTTGTGCATGCTTTGTTCTGTCATTTTAATCACCTCTTCCCCCGTTTATATCACTGCAAATATAAGTTCTGTTGACATATGTTTTTATTTCATTTTTATTTTAATAAACTGCATGACTAACAAAAGCATAACCACTGCCCTCTTTGAGATGTAATTGTTCTCAAGACAGCATTATATTAAACTAACAGCTCTTTAGTTTTTGACTGTTAGGAGTGTTTTTTTTTTAACTCCTTATCATAAACATTCTCCTCCATTTTTTCAGTATTTCACACTTTCCATTTTCAGAGACATAAGCATGTTTCCTTTATAATTTAGAGCTTCTGTGGACACCACTCAAAGGAGGAAATCTGTTAGCAAAGGTAGAAAACTTTTTCTCATGATTTAATCAAAAGATGCATGCAGTAGGAAGAAACCTAAAAATGTGTCATAGGTAGTCATTTTCAGTAAATATTGAATAAGTCTACATGTTATGTGCCTAACTGACATGACAGTCAGAATATAGTTTACCACTGGTTTTTAACAAGAAAATTATGCAGCACAATGCATCACCTTTGTAGCCAATAACTTGTATTTTGTGGAAAAATTACTGTGGCTTAAGTTCTCTCAAATCCCACCCTAAAACAGTATTCATTTAGAAATCAAATTATTTGCGTACAACCCCAAAACTCTTTTTGAATTGCCTTAGGATGGTCATAGAAGTCAGCAGCTACACTGTGCTTCTCCTGACATGAAAACAGCCCAATCCAAACTGAGTCTCATATTGTCGGCTCACAGTGGCAAGTCAGAGGGCATATTCTTTTCATTGGCAGCTGTATATCTCAATGCAGCCCTGCAGTACGCTGGCACCTGGCATTGACGGGAATGCCTTGCCATTTGGCAAGTCCTCTGGCAGGCAGATGCCTGCCATATCAGTCCATTTTCTTGGCCTCTGAAGGTACCCTCAGCCCCTTGGTGCCACAGGACATCCAAACCAGAGGGAGCGTGCTTAGGATTGATTAGTCCTACTGGCCATGAGATCTGTTGTGGGATTGGCTCCAGTAGTCTGGAAGTTCCCTGGGCAATGAGTTAATTGCATGGCTTTCCTAGGAGGGATATCTAATTGAGGTAAGTCTTAGCAAAAATCTGGTTTGGCCTGGCATTTCAACAGCCCCTCCATGATGTGCACACTCGAGGACACAACCCTGGGGATTCTGAACACCTGAGTGGGCATCAAAAGCTCGTGCCAATCTGGTTCTTCAGTTACAGGATGCCGGGAACAGCTCTGCCAAGGTTCATTCATTCATTCACTCATCTACATGTCTACACTGGCGTCTGTGACAAGAAACAGGGTACAGTCTATGCATTTGAGAATCTCAGTGTTTATGGAACGTAGGGGGTCACACATGCTATTCAGATCACAGTACATACTTCAGAGTCTAACACATCAACCTCCCACATCCTCCAGATTCCCAGTCTTCAGGTGGGCTTTGCCCCTCTCCCCTCCATGTGTCCAAGGTAGAGCAAGCCATGAATGTCACCGGGTGCCCTCTTGTCTGCATGGACCTGACAGGGAAAGTTAAAAGAATGAAGTAACAAAAGAAGGAGATGAAGGATATGAGAGAAAAGAACAGAATGCCAAACACAGGGAGTGAGGATAAGAGTAGAGAAGTTTCTGGGAAATGAGCACTTGAAGAGGAACTGGTAGAAGAAAATAAGTAAAGTTGTCGGGAAGAGAGAACAGAAGCGCACCCTGGGGTGGAGTGGGCAGCAGGAAGGGACAAGGATCTAGGAGAGCTCACACGGGGATAGTGGCTGGAGTCCCGTGGGGAAGGGAAGCCCTGGGCACAATACAGGGAGCTGGGGCCAGGGTGGAGGTTCCGCAGACATAATGCACAGAAATGCAAAAAATGCAAAGGATGGAAAAGCAGGGAGGAGGAACAAATGTGAAAGAAGGGTGGCATTTCTTATCAAGCACACAGCTGTTCAGTGTAGCCAGTATTTAATCATTCCTGGTCCCCACTTATGGTCTGGGCGGGTCTGTTGTGTAGGATGGAGGGTAGAATAGCTATGTGCTAAGACTTAGCCTCGGTCAAAACCTTCAGAGCATCTCCCCTCCAGAGATGCTCCTTAAAGCAGACGGAGCAGTGGGTAAGCTCTGCTGTGTTGATAGGGAAACAGACTTTGGAACCCGAGGCTGTGAATCTGGATACTCCACACTTGTTATGGGGGTGGGTTTTGCTCTTTGAGAGTCACGTGACTGGCTCTGGTTCTAAACTGTGTGTGTGCACTGTCAACATTTGCACTGGAGAGGCTGCTGTTTGCAATGTCTGCAGAACAGAAGTGATTATTCTAAAAGAACAAAGCAGATGGAATGCAATAAAAACAATGGGGCATTTCCTTAGGCGTTCTGATGAGGTCTCTCAGGCATAGGAAAGAGCCCCAGGAGTGTGGATGCTAAGACATGGGCTCTGTGCCCACCCTTTCTCCCGACAGCGAGCCCACGCAGTGCACCATGCTGTACTCACGCCAGGGGACTACTGAGACCATTGAGGAGGTGGAGGCTGAGCAGGAGGAGGAGGCAGGGAGCACGATGCCTGAGTCCGGGGAGGCCAAGGAGTATGAGGCTGCAGGGTACGATGTGGGAGCCGTGGGTGCCGAGGAGGTCAGCCTCACCCCAGAGGAAGAGCTGACACAGTTCTCTACCCTGGAAGGGGACGTGGAGGCCCCTCCCTCCTACAGCAAGGCTGTGAGCTTCGAGCACCTGTCCTTCGGCTCACAGGACGACTCTACAGGCAAGAACCACATGGCAGTCAGCCCTGATGACAGCCGCACCGATAAGCTGGGGTCCAGCATCTTACCTTCCCTGACCCACGAGCTGACGGCCAGTGAGCTGCTGCTGAACAAGTAAGGGTCCAGTGAGCAGATCAGACATGTATTCTGAAATCACCACTTAAACATATGCTTTAATTCTGCATACAGAAAAATTTGTATATAGAAAAAAGTTCACCTAGACACTTAGAGCAAATAGACGATTCCAGGACTTGGAATCGTCTAGAACCAGCAAAACCTGTCAGTAGAGCCTTGTGTTGACGTTTTTCTATAATAAAGTCTGATATTAGGTTATCTCTGAAGGAAAAATGGGGACATAGGAAGTGGGGGACACAGCAGGAAGGATAGTACTAAATGAAAATCAGCAATTTGAAGAAATTAAAGACAGATGTGGCCAGGCCCGATGGCTTACGCCTGTAACCCCAGCATTTTGGGAGGCCAAGGTGGGTGGATCACCTGAGGTCAAGAGTTCAAGACCACCCTGACCAATATGGTGAAACCCCCTCACTACTACAAATACAAAAAATTAGCTGGGCATGGTGGTGGGCATTTGCAATCCCAGCTACTCGGGAAGTTGAAGCAAGAGCATCACTTGAACCTGGGGGCAGAGGTTAGAGTGAGCCACGGTCACGCCATTGTACTCCAGCCTGGGCAACAAGAACAAGACTTCATCTAAAAAACAAAAAGACATATTATCACATGGTTTACTTTAACAGGATGTTTCACGACGATGAGCTTGAAGAGTCAGAGAAATTCTATGTGGGGCAGCCTCGATTTCTGCTGCTCTTCTATGCCATGTACAACACCCTGGTTGCCCGCTCGGAAATGGTGTGCTACTTCGTGATCATCCTCAACCACATGGTCTCGGCCTCCATGATCACTCTCCTCCTTCCCATCCTTATCTTCCTCTGGGCCATGCTGTCCGTCCCCAGACCCAGCCGCCGGTTCTGGATGATGGCCATCGTCTATACTGAGGTAGGTCTTGGCGCAGACTGCTGTGAATGGCTTCGGGCAGCTGTGCAAGGGGAAGCATACCTTGTGTCCCTGTGCCCTCTCTTGAGAGGGGCCTTCCCTCACCCTGGTCAGCTTCACATGGAACACGCAGTTCCATAGACATTCTTAGGTACACAAATCATACAGTACCAAGAGTTACCTAGCACTCGCAATTCTAAAAATCTTTTCACACTTCACACCTATCACACACAGTGGGTGCTGCCGTCATTCCCGTTTAACACAATAAGGACACAACATCAATGAGATTAAATAAATGGCCCAAAGTTGCCCGGCTGGTGAGGGGTAGGGAGGCTTTTGAAGCCTAGTTGCCTTTCCTAAAATATTAACCACTGAGATGATAAAAGGCTTCTGCAGAGCTGAGCACAGTGCCTGGCGCCGCAGGTGGTCCGGTGAATGGACTGAGGTAAGTTACACCGTCTAGCACTTAGAACATAGTTTGAATACATCATACATAGTTTTCATGTTTAAATGTAAAAGTAAATTTCCATACATTGCAACACAAAATTGTACAAGCACCCACTTAGCATCTGAAGGGTGGATGCCAGCCTGTTTACCTCCCATTGAGGTATGAGGAGCCTCTACTCACTCTTCTGGTACTGCTTTTCTCTCCTGCCCTGTTCAGCATAGACAGGATCACAAATGCCCATGAAAACCATAAAGGAACTAAAATAAAAGCTTGATATTCTTGGTGCCTGGAAGACTGTGGTGCTTTGTGTTCTCAGGTTTATGAAGAGACTGATTTTTTCCCCTGACTTGTAAGGAAAAGTTTTCCATTTCAACAGTGCTGTAATTACTTCTTAAACGACAGTGCTCATCCTAGATGCACACTCAAAGCCTAGAAGTTTTGCAGGTTATAAGTAATTCAGTAGCAAAATTAAAACAAAGTTATGCACTAAACCATCTCAAAAGTATTTGGTTTAAAGTATTGATAGCATGCATCTTGTTTCCATAAGGAAAATAAAGGGTGTGAAGTGAGATACATACCTATTGCTGAATTGGCTGATCCAAGTTAATCATTCCTAAACTTTGCTTTCATTACATCATTTCAGGATGTAAATGACTCCCTGTTTAGGGAATGGGTACCAGTCTATAACAATGTGAGTACATTAATCAGATTTCCTTTCCTACCTAGGGCTGAAATAACAGGAAGTACCAAGAATGTGGAAAAGGGAACAAGAGCTTCTTGTATTTTATTTTTAAGGTAAAACCTTAAAAATAAAATATTTCTGGCTATAATCCCAGCGCTTTAGGAGGCCAAGGCAGGAGGATTACTTGAGGCCAAAAGTTCGAGACAAGCCTGGGCAACATAGCGAGACCCCATTTCTACATCTGTAGTCCAAGCTACTCGGGAGGCAGAGGTGGGAGGATTGCTTGCACCCCGGAGTTTGAGGTTGCAGTGAGCTATGATTGTGTCACTGCACTGCACCGTGGACAACAGATTGAGACTTCATCTCTAAAAACATAAGAAAAATATTTTTACATAAGTTAAGTTGAGGCTTTCCCTTTTCTTGTCACATTGCACTGAGGACTGAAATAAGTGGGAAATTCTTGATGTTGATTTAGTCTATAATACAAACCACATGCCAGAAACCAAGAACCCTGCTAGGCACAAGTATACAAAGATGAGTAGAAAGCAAGTAGTAGCTTCTGTTTTTCAGTGGCTCCCAGACTAATGTGGCACGCAGATATGATGGAGGAAAGTGAAAACTGCATACATCATAACCATGTGTTATGCTCCTATAGTTTAAGAATTAAATATAGAAACTAGGAAGATGTTAATATGTTCTGTTCGGGTTTTCCCTAAATACCATATTTAATAGCTGACTAATTATATACATATCTAATTAAATCAGTATGAATGCCAACACCTCAAAAATAGAGGAATGACCAATCAAAGGGGTGACCTGAGGAGCCTGACAGGCTTTGCTTGATCCACAGTGGAAGACACCATGACAGCCAGACACTGCTTCTGTTTTGAAGTCAATAGTCTGCTTAATTTTTATAATGCTCTTTTCCATAGACAGGTGTATCTATTCCTAAAAGAAGGAGTAATTTTTTAAAACTTCTGTCATCTTTATGTAGGTGGCAATTGTAGTCAAGTATTTCTTCCAATTTGGGTTCTTTCCCTGGAATAAGACTGCGGAGCTGAACAAAGATAAACCGTACCACCCCCCGAACATCATAGGAGTGGAAAAGAAGGAAGGTTATGTTCTTTATGACCTCATCCAGCTCCTGGCTCTGTTCTTTCATCGATCAATTTTGAAGGTACAGCATGTTAACAGTTAATCAGTTCCAGTTGGAAGTTGGTCATCACAGCCCCTGTAATATTCCTAGATAACCCAGACACCAGGATTGCTGATGGGGCTGAGGGGCCAGTGGGTGGCGTCTACTCATATGCTCTTTTAAAAAAAGAAAAAGAAAAGTAAAATATTACACTCATTCAGTGGACATTTTTTCCAACACTTAAGGTGCTCAATAATGGAACTTACAATAAATCTGGGAGAATATTTACCCATGTTTCCAACCTAAGTTAAATGTGCAATGTTCCACTTTTGTGGAACATTGCTTGAATGATGTCTAATATCTTAATGCCAGATACACTAAATTCTGCCCCTGGTTTCAGCCAGAACATCAAAGAGCCACAATGTCCATGGATCATAATGTCTCATCTCCATGCCAGCTTCCGCCTCCCTTCTTCTAGTAGAATCGCTTTCATTGGGTGGTTTCTTGCCATCAAACCATTAGCTGTTGGGGACAGACCACATATTCAGTCGCCCAGTGAAGCCCAGAGCTGTGCTTCCTCCTGCTTGTTGCAGAGGAGATCACTCATGACCCTGCTTGAGGAAGGCCTTTACACAACATGGCTCTGCCTCAGCCCCAGGGACTCCTGTCCTTCTGAGCGACTTCGTGGGTCCTTCCTTCTCATATGCTGTGAATTATAAACTAAGCCTGTAAACATGCCATTTAATTCTAATAAATAGAAATTATTGCATAGCATACATTAAATGTACTTCTTGTCACAATCTTACTTTCTATCTCTCATTTTAACCTTGTCTTCTTATATAAAATATTTTAAATTCCTTTTATCAAGAAATATCTTTCTTAGTCCCTAGAAGTCTTTTTAGAACAAGGCTTGGTGTGAATTAATACATATACCTACATATACATACAGGCACACATAGATAAGTATCAGTGTGTTTAACTTCTTCCCTAGCTCAGGGAGCTATATCAAACTCGGTTTCATCTGAGTATACTCTGGTCAGCCTCCTCACTCTAGCTTCCATCACTTTGCAAAGCACCCAAGCCCTCCATTTGGAGGGAGGCTTATCTGGGTCATTGGGTTGTGGTGGGTTTTTGAAAGCTATGTTATCTAAGGAAGCCAGTTAGCCAAAATGGAATTTGCCTAAATTTTACAGTACTTCTAATGGATATGTTAATTACTTGAATTTATTTACTATACTGATTTTTGTTATGAATATATTAATAAGTGTATTGACCTTGTTTTTTTAGTCTTAGAAATTCATTTTTTGTAAATTTTGGTATTTAACATTTGATGGTATAATTTTGACCAATTCAGAATTCTCTTGAAACCTTTGCCTTCTTTTGCATCATTTAAAATTATCATAACTCTTTAGGGCATTTTACTATCTTTTCATCGATATTTAAATGGCTTAACTGCTACAATTTTATATTTTAAACATATAATAAAATCTTTGTGTTTCATATTGATGTTCTTACTCTTTTTTTGAAAAATTCAAATATATGAATATATGTGAGATTTGTGGTAATGGCATTATGTGAAAATTTTAAATAAGGATATAAAATACTTTTCAGAATGATAGATCTTTTCTTAAGAAGACAAGCTAACTCATAGTTTTGAAAAAATTAATCTTTCATATAATGTTTCCATGAAAACCAAACAATTAAAACTGCAGAAGTTTTAAAAGTGCAATAAATAAATAAACAAACAAACAAAAAAAGTGCTTGAAACCATCCTATTTAATATCAAATTGCTTTATATTTGATAAATAATTAGAAGAATTAGCAAACAAGAAAATATACTACTGAGAAAGTTGTGAAAGAATTTAAATATATGAATGTTGGCAAAAGAGGAAACAACTCTTAAAATAATTGGAAAGAAATCCATATAAACTGAAAAACCCCATTATGAAAAGCTAAAATGTTTGTTATGTTTATAAGAATACATTCATTGAATATGTTTAAGAATAACATATTTACAAATAAATAAGAAACATTTGTCCATTGAGTGATCAGTGGACTGATCATTCTCGGAGTTGGTTTTGACCAACTGATTTCTGATAAATTGGCCTGGAGCTCTTGTCCTCCACATATAAGTCAGAGGGAGGACCAGGCAATGTCTTGGGGAGCAAATGCGTGGCCAGACAAAGGGCTCAAGGGAGAGCTTTGTCCTACAGCAGCAAGGTCATAAGGGTGACTTTCCGTTCAATAAGTCAAGTCACTATAATTTCATCCTGAGTTCTTCTGCCAAAAGTTATCTGTCTCCATTTTAATTATCAGCTAAAATCTTATTGTCTACACTCACCCATCTGTCCCCTACTGGGATCCTCAAAAAGCACTAGACAAGCTTTCTTTTCTTGTGTGTTAGTCTGTTTTCATACTGTTGATAAAGACATACCTGAGACTAGGCAATTTAAAAAAAGAGGTTTAATGGACTTACAGGTCCACATGGCTGGCGAAGCCTCACAGTCATGGCAGAAGGCAAGGAGAAGCAAGTCGCATCTTATGTGGACGGCAGCAGGCAAAGAGAGGAGGGCTTGTTCAGGGAAACTCCCTTTTCCATACCCATCAGATCTGTGAGACTCATTCACTATCACTAGACTAGCATGGGAAAGACCTGCCCCCATGATTCAATTACCTCCCACAACACGTGGGAATTCAAGTTGAGATTTGGGTGGGGGCACAGCCAAACCATATCATCTTGTTTTTCTAATCTTGAAGGACAGTTTGTTGGATGAGATTTTGTAGGACGCAATACCAAAGGTTCCACCTGAAATAGTAGCCTCAATTGTCCCTGTCTCCGCTTCTCAGTGCCATGGCTTATGGGATGAAGATGACATGACTGAAAGTGGCATGGACAAGGAGGAATCAGATGATGAGCTTTCCCTCAGTCACGGCAGGAGGGACTCTTCCGATTCTCTCAAGTCCATCAACCTGGCGGCATCTGTGGAGTCAGTGCATGTGACCTTCCCAGAGCAGCAGACAGCTGTCCGGAGGAAGCGCTCCAGCACCAACTCTGAGCCATCCCAGAGATCCAGCTTTTCTTCAATCAGATCCCAAAGAGGTATCTGTCAACACAATATATCTAGGCTGTAGTTAGCTCCCAGGTGGCCTTTTTTTTCCGGTGCCTCTGGGTCTGGGGCAAGATGGTGTATTGGGTGCTATCAAGAGACAGACATTATTATGTGAAAAGAAAGGGCTTTGAAATCAGAGAGACCCGAGTCCAAATCCTGCCTCAGCTGTGTAACATCTCTGTTCAAAATCTTATTATCTCAGGACAAGGGTTTCAGACAATTGTGAAAAGTGGCCGGCACACTGCCTTGTCCCTAATAAATGCCAGGTTCATGATAAATTTTAATTTACATGCAAAAAATCTGCAGGGCTTGTCCAGAGTGCGATCAATCACAATGTATTTTTTAAAGATATTTAGATGTAATTGATGAGAACTTTTAACCACACTATGCAGTTATCTCCTAGTCAAGTAATTAATTCCTTCCTAAACAAGGAGTACGATCAGAAAGTAGATAGGCGTCACAGCTGCCCCTGTTGAAATCACTGGACTTTTGTATCTATGGGGCTTCTGTCTGAAGCTTTTGTATTTACGGGGCTCCTGTCTGAAGCTGTCCATGTAGTGGTGTACAGTCATTTTCAGAACCTGCTTTTGATGTAGATACTGTCAGATTATGTCATATTCATTTTACAATTAGAGAAATTAGGATATGAAAACAGACATGGGGCATCCTATCTGGAACATCTGCATCCTAGAGAGCATAATAAAAACTATCCTTCCAGTCTGTTTACTTCTGGAGCAAAGATTGCATAGCAATCCAGGAAACAGCCACCACGGTGGGAGCAGAGTTGAGGGGACATCCCAAAGGGCTCAGTAATCTTTCATAAATGCACCCTTTCGTACTCATCCTCTCAAGCAGCCGTGAGCTATCCCTCCACCATGTGGGCTCTGGGGGCTGCGTCTGGGCTATTTAGGTGAACAAACGCCAGGCTTCACCATACATCTTGTGATCTCTTTTTATTTCTAGGCAGCACAAGCACCCGAAACAGCAGTCAAAAAGGAAGCAGTGTTTTGAGTATTAAGCAAAAAAGCAAAAGGGAACTTTATATGGAAAAGTTTCAAGAACATTTAATCAAAGCAAAAGCCTTTACCATAAAGAAGTGAGTCCATGAGAATATTTGGCTTGTGTGCTTTATCTTAGGGTTTGGGGCTTTATTATTTCCTGTGAACCAGGGGCAAAGAGCAGAGGAGTAACTTCTCATGTCACAAATGTTATGTGCATAAGGCAGAATGAAATTACCCCTTTCTGTCTTGTTTTTAAAAATCATTTTTCCGTGTGATTCATTTTATATCCACTGCATTTATGCACATGCTTTTTCTATTTGAACAGAGAAAATGGGTCACTTCAATGGTTCATGGATGGTATTCTTAGGCATTATGGGGAAGTCCAGCCAAACTGAGAGGAATACAGTGTCAAAGCTGGAAGCGCCTTAGAGCTGCACTCTTATCCCGAGAAGGGGATGGAAGTGCATGGTGGAGAAATGCTTTGTCCAGGGTCATATGCCTGTTCCCAGGCAAACTGCACAGGTCCCTCCACCTGCTGGGGATGGAAGTGGTGCATAGGCCTGGGACTGCAGCGGGAGTGGAGCCCCGAACAGAAGCTGCGACAGCAGGAGAGCCAGCCGCACCCGAACATGGCGTTGAACCGAAGGCAGGTCTCAGAGCAAAGATAGGGCAAAGGCTAGACAAATGAGCAAGGGCCAAGAGGACACAGCATTTAGGCACAGAGCAAGGCACAGATAAAAGGCCAGGGCAGTATGTGGGAGCCAGGATGGACACAAGCCCTAAAACAGGAGGAGCAGGGGCTCGCACATTCAAACACACACGGACCAAGCACTCCAAGTCTGAGCACCCTCCCTCATACATTCCCTCATTTAGTTCCCACCTTGGTCCTAGGCATTAGGCCTTGTTATCACTCCAGTTTTACAGATGACGAAACTAAACACAGAGAGTTACATAGCATGTTCATGGGTCTTGTAGGTGGTGAGCAATTGAATCAGGCTACAAACCTAGCACCTTGATCCCAGGGCATCATACCATTCTACTGTGCTTCAAGCAGGAGGAGAGGCTTACGGTGCCATCAGCAGAGAGGGCGTCAGTACCTATCTTGGCAGTAAATGTATATACAATCTCCATTAGAGCAGGAGCCGCCCCCAGCGGGACTATCCTGAGGCGGAGAGGCTGGTGGGACCTGGCTGGGAAGGGGAATGCGGAGGAACGGCATGATGACAGTGTCTGGTCATTTCTGCCATCCTGCCCCTCCTGAAACAAGCGGGTTGGTGGGGGCTTTCCATTTTGCAGGACGCTGCAGATCTATGTGCCCATCAGACAGTTCTTTTACAACCTCATCCACCCAGACTATAGCGCTGTGACTGACGTGTATGTGCTCATGTTCCTGGCTGACACGGTGGACTTCATCATCATTGTCTTCGGCTTTTGGGCCTTTGGGGTAGGTTAGGGCAAAGGCCATAGCACCCACTCTGCCCCATGGTGATGGTGCTCCCCGCGTGAACTGCCTCTTGGGCATGAACTTGTTGTCTCTTCCCCAGAAACACTCAGCAGCCGCAGACATCACCTCTTCGCTGTCAGAGGACCAGGTCCCAGGGCCATTTTTGGTGATGGTCCTCATTCAGTTTGGAACCATGGTGGTGGACCGAGCCCTCTACCTTAGGAAGACTGTACTGGGAAAGGTCATCTTCCAGGTCATTCTTGTGTTCGGAATTCACTTCTGGATGTTCTTCATCTTACCTGGCGTGACTGAGAGGTAAGTTCTTCAGAAGCTGGAGACACCAGCCCACCTTTATGCAAATGTGTTTCCTGTGGTGACACTCACATGTATTGCACAGCAGAACTGCTGGCCGCAAGCAGAGCCTTGGCACAGCAGCACCACAAAGGTAGGAAAAGCTAAAGATTTGGATCCATAGTTAACACAAATCCAAAGTGTGAACTGATTACTCAAAAATATTTTAATTAACTTTTATCTATATTTGTAGAAACAAGGTTTCTATAAATAAGAAAGGGAACAGCCTTAATGACCAGAGCAAACCTAGGGTCTTTGTGCTGGATTTCTCTCTACACCTTAGCAGAGGTGGAGGTAAAGTGGAATGTGGTCTCTGGGGCATTTTTGAAAAGGAGAGAGGGCATAAGACGAAGTCATTCGAGAAATAGATGAATAATTGGAGGCTGCTTCCTGCATAGAAGAAAAGATAAAGGAAGAGCATTGAGGAGCAGATGATAGTCTCCATACAGGAGACTGGTGGGGGTCAATTGCAGCAGGGTTTGAAAGCACCTAGCAATGTTTCAGCTTACAGTGAAAGAAGCAGGTGGACCCATCCTGCCGGACGCTGCTGCTGTTAATACAGTGCCACTGACCCGGGCAGCCTGAAGCTGTCAGGAAAGGGCTGGTGAGATCCTTCGAAGTGGCTGCTGTGCTCCCCTCTGTCACCTAGAGCCCTAAGGAAAGGTGTTGACCTTCTGTTCCTCAGTGTGCCTGGCATCTCCAAGCTCTGCTCCCTCCCCTTCTTCTCCCCAGCCTCCAACCCAAAGTCTACTTCCTCCTTACTCTCTAGATCTCTGTTCAGATGACACTTCTCTGCGGAACGTCTCCCACCCCACGCCTCCAGGCAAAACAGTGCTTGAGACTGTTGGTGCTAATTTCATGAACAAATGGTCCAGTCAGTTTGGCAAAGAAAAACAAAATGGAGTTTTATAAATGGGGAATATCAGCTCTGTCAGGTCATGAAAGAAAAGGCTCTGCAGAAGGTGAATGTGGCCTTGTCCGTATGATGTCGTAGGAACAGGAACTTTTAATAAGCATATCTGGTTTTATGTATGCAAGCAAACGGTAACTCTTCGTCACTGGTCTGGAGAGCCACGTACCTTATCCAATGAAGTTGTCATCATCTGCTCTGACTCTGAAAACCTCTGCAACTGCACTCCCAGACTGTGACATGCTAGTTTTTTTTTAATTACTTATTTATTGCTTTTAGGGACAAAATCTCACTCTGTCACCAAGGCTAGAGTGCAGTGGTATGATCATAGCTCACTGCAACCTCAAACGCCTGAGCTCAGAAAATCCTCCTGCCTCAGCCTCCAGAGCAGCTGGAGATACACGTGCACACTACCACACCTGACTATTTTTTATTTTTATTTTTTTTACTTTTGGTAGAGATGAGGTCTTACTATGTTACCCAGACTGGTCTCAAATGCCTGGCCTCAAGCAATCCTCCTGCCTGGGCCTCCCAAACAGGGAGGAGAGGGGAAGGGAGGGAGAAAGGGAGGGAGGAAGAAAGGGAAGAGACAAATCCAAAATATGGCACCAAAAGAAATATGCTGCATGTATCAAAACCTTTAAGTGTGGCTCTTAAGTTTGAGGACAGAGAAGATTATAACAAACTTTCACCAAGGCAAAAGTTTTCCTTTTATTTCCTTTTTAAAATTTTCACTGACCATATTCAAGACATTTCCAGAATGCTGCATTTATCTAAAGTTTAAAGTGGTCCTACAGTTCATCATTCTTTAAAACTGTATTCTAAATTTTTTTTCTAGTGTGAAATTTAATTCTACTAAACTTTTCTCAAACTTGTGCTAGCAGTCATGAACTGTGCCACACTACCTGTCTCTTCACTCTCTGTTCACCTGGAGAAGAGACTACCGTCTGTATTGTTGAGGAGATCATTAAAAATAAATAAAGGTTAGGTCATGGAGTTCTAGATTTGCAGAACTAGGAAGAATTGTCAGTTAAAGACACTGACGTCTTGAGAAATGATGGCTTGGGAAATAAACCCCATAACATATAGACAGAACGGGAACCAAATCCAGGTGTCTGCAGGGTTTGTCAATCCATTATCTATTTTTATAATGTGTAGTAAAAAGAGATGGAGAGTCCACCTATCAGAATTGTTTCTCCTGCATATTCCAAATTATGAATCCTCTTAAGTAAATATACATATGTGTTTATATATATGTTTATAAAAACATATATCATGTATATAGTTTTTCTTTTTTCTTACAGGAGTGTAACTTGGACTATGGTAGCTGCATCATCTACATAGTGAGAAAATATTTATCAGTAAATTCACTTAATAATTTATTTTAACTATGGCTGAAACAATGGAATAAGACACATTGGAGGAACTATTCAAAGGAAATTGTTTTTATTACTGAATTTTTTATCTCACATTTTGCCTTTGAAGTGATCCACGATGTATAGACAATTCATTAGAATTGGACATGAGTGATGAAGGAGAAATTCTGTTGGCTTGTTTTAACTCGATACTGCCGTCCTTTTGTTGCAGATGGGTATTTCTTTTCTTCACTTTCTGCATTTTTACATTTTAGGAAATTCAGCCAGAACCTGGTTGCCCAGCTTTGGTACTTTGTGAAGTGCGTTTACTTTGGGTTGTCTGCTTACCAGATCCGTTGCGGCTACCCAACGCGAGTCCTGGGGAACTTCCTCACCAAGAGCTACAATTATGTCAACCTCTTCTTATTCCAAGGGTAGGGACACTGCATTATCACAGTCACTTGTAGGCGGAAGAACAGCCATGGAAAGGCATTTTATTTCCCATCTGGGAAGGACGGGGGAGAGGACAAATCCAGCAGTGTGAAGCATTGCAGAACTCTTAAAATGTTGGCAAAACTCTTTCTGTTTCTAATTGTCACACGCCTCCTCAGCACCAGACGGAAGAGGTGTTGAGTGCCTTCAGATGCTGTGAAGCGCTGTGTGTGGAATAGTGTTTCATGCAGTGCCAGGCTGGGACTGGGCCTGATGTTTCTTCCGAGGACCGGATTTATATTCACTTGATAGCGCTGAGGCAGCCTAGGGGAGAGTTTCTGAGTGGCAATCCACACTGCTGTGAGGGCTCTGGGAGAACCCAGGTTCTCCAGGCTGGGAGAAGCTCTGTGTCAGTCAAGAGACAAGGAACATTCTTTAGAGCCTGGAGGAGCCCAGCCCAACCCCTCCTGAGACAAAGCTGAACCACAGAGGCTGAGCCAAGACCATCACCCTGGTACTCCAGCAAGTCCTACAGCTGAGGAACCTCACACCCTGGCTCCCCACAACACCTCCTCCTCCCTTTGCCTCTATCCATTTGCCCTCATCTTTAACCTACCAGATGCACCGCCCCTACTAATTCATCCAACAGCAGAGGCCCAGTCATTCAGCACCCCATGGCCAACAGAGTCTTGTAATATGAACAAATAAATGTGAAAGAAGCTAAGTCACCTTCACATTTATTTAAAAGGGAGATCCCGGTTGGTTATGATCATTAGGGAAAAGGAAAACAATGAAAAAGATACAAATCTGTAGATTAGACTTATAATGAAAAGCAGTTGTGTTCCAAGTGGGGTTTTACTGAAGGGTCACCTGGATAATTTTTCCTGAGACATGGGCTTAAAGCAGTAAGGAACTGCTTGCGTTCCCAGGTCAGCAGGGTGGCGGGGGCCACCCACAAATGTCTCTCTGACAAGATGTGTTTCCTGCCAGGTTTCGCCTCGTGCCCTTTTTGACTGAGCTGAGGGCAGTGATGGACTGGGTGTGGACAGACACGACCTTGAGCCTGTCCAGCTGGATCTGTGTGGAGGACATCTATGCCCACATATTCATCCTGAAGTGTTGGCGTGAGTCGGAGAAGGTAGGAAGCCAGGAGGAGTGCCTTATTCCTGTTTGCTTCTCTTAGATACAGGCTGGTTATGAATGCCAAATGAATGAAGGCATGGCGCAAAAACTACAACAACCTATAAATGTCCCAGTGATTTCCACCCACTAGATTTGGGAATTTTAGACTTACTGCCAGCATAGTCATCAATAGCATCCAGATGTTTTCTTCTTTTGGCAACTTCATATTGTAGTGATTTTTTAATATTAATGATATATTGCTTGACATATCCCAACAACTCTTAAATGGCTCATTTGGGAGCAGAAAGGAATGTGATGTTTCAGAGAAAAATGGGGTTAGTGGTGGCTTGGATTTATGCTTACTTCTGACTCTTTGATGAGAGATGGACAGTTTAACCTCTTTGTGCAAAGAAAATTGAAGTGCAAATATCTGCTTATTCTGCTAGGCTGAATATTAAGGTTTAAATATGTCTAGATTACGATTATTTATTGGACTTTCAAAAGTTTAATATATGAAAGAAGAGTCTGTTGCATAAGAGCAATGGAAATACCCAACAAACATTAGCTAGGGTGGTATGAAATGCCCTTCTTTCTCGTCTCAAAATACCCTCCTTGAAAAAGGCCGCTCTGTATGATTCCTGGTATGTTCTGCAGCTTTCCTGGGAATTTCAGCGTTACAGTCATGGAGCCTGTTGTACTATGGTCTCCGTGTTTATAGGTTTGCGGAGTGAGGGAGATGGGCCTGGCAGTATACTTAAAATCATATTTGCGAGTCCTGATTTCTAAGGAGCAGAGGAGTTGACAGGACACCAGAATATGAGAGCCTCTCTACCAAAGGGAAATTGAGGGTAGCAACTAGGGTGACAAAGGATCTGGAAACATGAGAAAAAGTAGGAAGAACTAAGGATTGTTTGGTCTAAAGTAGAAAAAATCTAGGGGTATGCGTGCAGAAAAAGTAGATGTTTTTAACAATTTGAAATGTTGAAAAGAGTTGAGAAATTGAAATTCGTTTGTGGGACTTAAGAAAAACAGAATTAAGACAAGTAGGCAAAAGCTTCAGTATGTTTCAATGGAATATGAAGAATTTGAACAATCAAAGCTACCCCAAAGTACATGCAAAGGATCACACAGAGGAGACTTGTCATGAAACCTCTGCCCTAGGTCTACTTCAGACCCGGCCGTCACTCATTCAGCAGATATATCTGTTGTCTGTTGTTGCTAACAAACTACCTCCAAATACAGTGGTTTAAAAAAACAGACCTTTTATTGTGGCACATATACACCATGGAATACTATGCGGCCATAAAAAAGAATGAGATCATGTCTTTTGCAGGGACATGGATGAAGCTAGAAGCCATCATTCTCAGCAAACTAAAACAGGAACAGAAAACCAAACACCGCATGTACTCACTTATAAGTGGGAGTTGAACAAGAACACATGGACACAGGGAGGGGAACATCACACGCCAGGGCCTGTCAGGGGGTGGGGCACAAGGGGAGGGAGAACAGCAGGACAAATACCTAATGCATGCGGGGCTTAAAACCTAGATGACAGGTTGATGGGTGCAGCAAACTACCATGGCACATGTATACCTATGTAACAAACCTGCACATTCTGCACATGTATCCTGGAACTTAAAGTAAAATAAACAAAACCAAAAACCAACCATTTTATTTGCTCACAATTACATGGGTCAGCAGTTTGGGCCAGGCTCCAATGGACAGTCTTGCCTGGAGTCAGTCCTGTGGCTGCCATCATCTGGTGGCCCAATTGGGTGTTACTCGATGGCGTCACTCAGATGCCTGCAGGTTGCATCTAGCTAGGCCTCTTTCTCCATGTATTCGCTCATCCTTAGGGAGGCAAGTCCAGGCTTCTTCCCCTGGTGGCAGCACATTCCCAGAGAAAGAGAGGGAAACCTGCAAAGTCTGATGAGGACTAGGCCCAGAGTTCTGCCACCAGTACTTCCACCACATTCTACTACTTCGAGCATGTTTAAGGGCCAGCCTAGATCCAAAGGAATGGAGAAACTGATGGGGTTGGTAAAGTCATGTTGCAAAGGATCATGCATACAGGAATGAGGTGAATTTGAGGCCTTCATTTTTGCAGCCTACCATAAACATTGACTAAGCACATTCTTACGTGCCCAGAACTCTGCTAAGCATAAGAGTAGAGTGGTGACCCAAACATACAATGCCCCACCATCATGGAACTGATGGCTTAGTGGATGGAAACAGGTGTTAATAAAATGGTGACACAAGCTGAATGATGAACACACATGGACACATGGGATGGAACAACACACACTGGGGCCTGACACGGGTTGTGGGGTGGGAGGAGGGAGAGCATCTGGAAGAATAGTTAATGGACACTGGGCTTAATACCTAGGTGATGGAATGACATGTGCAGCAAACCACCATGGCACATGTTTACCTATGTAACAAACTTGCACATTCTGCGCGTGTATCCCTGAACTTAAATTAAAAGGTAGAGAAATCTAAAATGATGTGTCAAAGAAATGCGCTATTTATGACAATGCTTTCACAGAGGGGCACATGATACTTTGGGAGCATCAGGAAGGTGGGGTGTGGGTCTCAAACAGAGAGCTAATGAAGAGTATAAGTTGACCGGGTACAGGGCATGAATCTACATTTTTATTTTGGTTCCTGGGTCCTTTGCCCTGACCCTTGTCTCCGCTCCTCCACTCTTACAGGGAGTGATTCAGTGGCTCTTTTGCCTTCCATTTAATAAAGACCATATCTTTATTTGCAAGGCCTTGACACATCTTTGCACTGTCTGAAACATCCTGCTCACCTCCTCACTGCCTAACTCCTTCCCAGCCTCCAGATACCAACGTAGACACCTCTGTTTCCATGGACCTGTCCTAACCCCTCAAGTCTAGACCCCATCTTTCACTATGGGCCCCAACAACCCTCTAAATTCAGTCCATCTAGTACTTAACACATTGGGGCTTGTTGTCTCTTTATTTTTCTCTATATTATGGGCTCTGTGATGATAAGCTCAGTGTCTGTTCATCCATATATGGCCTAGGAATCACTTAATACTTTGAGCCTAGACATGCAATAAATGTTAGTTGAACAACAACAAAAAACAGTTAGTTATTTACAAATGCACATATCTCAGTGCCTCCCTGTGCTGTCCTGGCTACCTGAAATAGATCCACCCATCTTCTCCTGTCTCTGGCTCTCTGGAGCTTAATCTACTGACTCTTTCCTGGTTTACCTCCTACCCTACTCTGCTATCCTCATCTATTCATTCTTTCCACATTTTAAGACCCAGAGACAGAAGAGAAATTCAAGAAGCCAAATATGCAGAGCTTGAGATACGTGAATACTGAGAATAGATGTTGAATCTTATATTCACTGGATAGCTGGTGATCTTTGCACGGTCAGTTTCAAAGGTAGGATGGGCGCTGACACCAACACCCAGCTGCAGGGACTTAGGAGCTCACAAGAGGCAGCGTCTTGGAGGAACCAAGCCCAAGCAAGGGCATGGACAGAGAGAGATAATTCAAAAGAGAAGCAAGCCCAGAGGATAATTTCAAAATGGAGAGTGTTTGGACCTCTGTAGATGGTAAGGAAAGGCCCAGAAGAAAAAAGTAAAAATTCTAGTATCAGAGGAAGTTCCAACGGGGGTATGGAGATTGTAGAGTCAGAGGTATGAGTGAACAAGTCAGTTGTGGCAAAGAGCCATCACCATCCCGCAGAAAGCACGAGGAGGAGAGGCCAGCAAGGAGCAATCCTGTGCCCGCAGCCTGCGTTCTCCGTAAGATGGGTGAGTTCCTCTACCAGGAGGACGAGAAGATGAGGCCCTTTAAGTACAAGAGCTCCCAGAAGGCTGGGGAAGCTGACAGTGAGACACCGTTTCACTTGGGTGAACAGGTGGTGCTTAGGAACGGGGTTTCTGAATCAAAAACCCCTGAATGATCCTACCCAGTGTGACCATCTGCATGGATGCAAGGTCTTGTTTCTCGGAAGAAGGGGCAGCTCCCCTGCTCTTCGGCTCTCATGTGCCATTCCCCACCTTGGAGCCACCAGCTGACATTTTTCACACTGTCATGACGTGGTTGCAGCCACCACCTTGCCTCCCACTGAGGGAAAGCTCATTCTGGCCTGTAACTTGAGGCATTTCTGCCAACAAAGACTTAAATTATCTTTTTATTTCACTTTTAAGAAATAAAAAGACTCATTTTAATATATCACAACTACTTAAGTATATCCTTCCATTCTATGCAAAACCAATATCTACTTCAGGATATTAGCCTTTGAAATCATCCATGGCAAAACTTCCTGAGACATTTAGGGAAGTGAGAGGTGATACTGGGGAGTGTGAATGAATCTGGCACTGGTTAGTACTAGTCTGAAACATTGCTAGTATTGTCTGGAATGAAGTGGAATAATAAGCTGCTCTTAATAGTAGCTGTCCTCGGGTATGATTCTACATGGAATGTCACACACTGCAAGGGCTTTACAAACACACTTTATGAAGCAAGAGCAATAACCTGAAAGGCGAAATGCTGGTGTGAGCACACACAGTGCAGGCCACTCACTCTTATTCTGCTTATACTAGAAATTCCATGCACCACTTTCCAGAACATTTCAGGAAGCTGATTGGAAGTGCAGTGCAACAGGAGCACCAAGTGGAAGCATAGTGAGGAGTTGAGTTCCCCGTGGCTACAGCGAGCCATGATCATGACACTGCACTGTGATCTGGGGTGTAGAGCAAGACACTATCTCAAAAATAAAAAATAAAGAGTTAAATGGCTTAGGAAAGGGGTGATGGAGCAGCGCAGGATGGGAAGGGGACAATGCCTTTGAAAAGGAGAGGAGGGCCGGGTACCGTGGCTCACGCCTATAATCCCAGCACTTTGGGAGTCTGAGGCAGACAGATCACTTGAGGTCAGGAGTTTGAGACCAGCCTGGCCAACATTGTGAAACCATGTCTGTACTAAAACTACAAAAATATTAGCTGGGCATGGTGGTGCGTGCCTAGAGTCCCAGCTACTTTGGAGGCTGAGGCATGAGAATCGCTTAAATCCGGGTTGCAGAGGCCGCATTGAGCTAAGATCGCACTACTGCACTCCAGCCTGAGCAACAGAGTGAGAATCCATCTCAATTTAAAAAAAAAAAAAGAAACGAAAGGGAGGGGAAATTTGGCTTTATAATTTGAGTTGGGTCAACAGGGCTTTGCCCTGTTCTGCCTGGGAAAAGCAGCGAGAGGGCTGAGCAGAAGGAGAGAGGAGCCTCTGGGTGTTTTTGAGATAAGCCTCAAAGAGACTGACCCAGGAGAGGAACCGACATGGTCCCACTTCAGGTGGAACAGAGTAAAACCGTCCTTGGCAGAGATACATTGATCTTCTTTAACTTGCAAAACTCTCATGATGTAATGTGGGTGCTGCTGGAGTGAGAGGAGTGGCCTGTGATCTAAATTTGCTTCACTGAGAAAATAATGAAAGAGCAAATCTATACACATCTGTTTGCGTGTGTGTGTGTGTGTGTGTGTGTGTGTGTGTGTGTATTTGTGAATATGTATTTCAGATTTTTTAATGAGACCCTAGTCTTCTTTCAATATAGAAAATTGGGAAAAAATCAAAATACACTGCTACTTCTCTCTGTATTTGACGCTGTAGGAAATAGTTAACAGTATCAAATTCTAGTGCAAAAATATCAAAATGCTCTGCTACCATCCGAACTTTGTGCAGTTTCCATAGTGCAAAACCACAGGGAGCATTACCTTATGCACACTGAGTGCGGAGTGCACTGGCCCTGGCTCAGCACCCGGTCAAGCCTCCATTCTCCTGTTTCCAGCACCATCTTTGGCACTCAGTGTCCATGCTTGAAAGCTACTGCATTCATGTGCTGTATTGATTCCCAGGCCTCTCTCTTGGTTTGTAACCTATAGCTGGTGCCTATGCATAAATGGTAGATTATTATCCCTTACCTTAATCTGCTGAAATGAATGGATCTCTCCTGAAGATAAATCACAATGCAAAGTTGGGGAGTAGGTTGACCCTATGTTCTGCATAGAGCTTGGCCTGAGGGGTAACCCTGAGAGGACAGAAGGTCATAGAGCAGCAATACTGAAGTAAGGAACACACATGTAGACCAGAAGCAGGCTCAATGCCAGACAGCACAGCTCCAACTTCCACTTGTCCATAGACTCTAGGCAGGGGGCATAGTGGGTCCTTCGTGAATGTGTATTAAAGCAAACAGAAGCACACCCAGCCTTACCGGTGCATGGGCTCCTGTAAGAGAGCAAGCGCCTGCAACACGCACCTGCCCCCCCACACCCACTCCCTGCAGCCAGCGTCCAGAGGGGACACTTCTAATCATACAAATCTTACTTTAGGACTAGGACAACATAGTCTTTAACAACACGTATAGGCTGAGCGCGGTGGCTCATGCCTGTAATCCTAGCACTTTGGGAGGCCAAGGTGGGTGGATCACCTGAGGTCAGGAGTTCAAGACCAGCCTGGCCATCATGGTGAAACCCCATCTTAAAAAAAAAAAAAAAAAAAAAAAAAAAAAAAAAAAAAAAAAAAAAAACATGTGTCATAGATTAAATTAAAAATCATGTTTTTCTAGCCTCCAAGGGCAGGGAGGGATCAACTGAAAGGCACAGATTCTAAATATTCAGGAATTGAAAGTAAAATATCTTTCTCTCACATAATCCCTTAAAACCAGAAGGTTCATTCGCTCAGATATTTGATCCCTTGGTCCATGAGTTCATCACCAGCAAAACTCACCCACAGTCTTGAAGGGAGAAGGCCCCTCCAGTTCTGCTGGTTCCTGTGGAACCGTCAGGGGGTACATGGAGCGAGCTCAGGAGAGCATCACATCACTACCTAACTTCATTTTGAGGTTGGGACAAGGTTGCTATCCCCATTACAGAGCAAACAGAAAAAATTTAGGGCCAAATCCATGCTCCCAGCACCTCAGGAAGAGCACTCGCCCTCCCCCAATCCCACTGCCTGCAGGGACGGTGCCGGTGCCTGAGCCTGAGCCTGAGCCTGAGCCTTGTCTGAACTCTCTGTTGCAGAGATATCCTCAGCCGCGGGGCCAGAAGAAGAAGAAAGTGGTGAAGTATGGCATGGGAGGAATGATCATCGTCCTGCTCATCTGCATCGTCTGGTTTCCTCTTCTCTTCATGTCTTTGATCAAATCCGTGGCTGGGGTCATCAACCAGCCCCTGGACGTCTCTGTCACAATTACCCTGGGAGGGTATCAGGTGATCTCCGTGCACACCCACCTACCAGAGCCTTGCCCACACCGCCCTCCTTTATGATAACTGCCTGTAGGGTATTTAGTTATGGGCTGCTGACCTCGCTATCCTATCTACATCTTGACTGCTCAGCAAATGTGCAATATATGAAATGAGGAGATGTTGAGAGAATAGTTCCCCTCTGGTCTTGAGCACCGGAATAATCACTCCAAAAAGAGATCTCAGATGCTATTTGTCATGGAATAAACATATCCTACAAAAATGGGCAATATCCTACATAAATGTTTTTCTTTTGACTCAGGATGCAGAGAAGAGCTGGGGAATACTGACAACACTGTTCTCTTTGTTTTCCAGCCTATTTTCACAATGAGTGCCCAACAAAGCCAGTTGAAAGTTATGGACCAGCAGAACTTTAATAAATTTATACGAGCTTTTTCCAGGGACACCGTAAGTAAATCCCTGCAGTAGGTCTCCATGAAGACCTGTCATCTAGATGAGCTCACTGGTTGTCATCTCATTTGATACTTTCCCATGGCCTGAAGTGGCGGGAAGGAGGACATTTCAGGGTTTATCAGTTACATACAGCAGATTCCTGGCCACTGGCTACTTTGATAATCCAAGAAGTTATGTCTCTGTTATTGGACATTAGTGGTAGTAAACATTTAAATATTGATCCATTTTTTAAATTGTTTAACTTTTTAAATTGTGATATATATTGATCTCTTGACTAGTAGGACTACTCTGGGAATCTATCCAAAGAAGTACTTCAAAATATGAGAAAGCTCTATCTAGGCACCTACTTATAAGTGCATTCTCTGTATTAGCAGAACTGGAAGCAATTTGAGGCTCACCAAACAGGAGCTGGTTGAGGAAATTAAGACAGATGAATTAAATGAATTTGATTAGTACTGGATACCCTTGAGTGGTCATAATGGGAGAAGGGGCTTCCATTTTCCATTTTATTTACATGTCATGTTGTCCAAAGATTTTCCAAGCAACTTATTTTGTAATTAAAAAAAAATTACAGAGACTATAAATGACATGACAATTTCTCAAGCTTAAACATAAATTAAAAAGAGTCTACTATATTTTAAATTATAAAACATAAGAAATACATCCCCCACCACATAAAACAATGTTGATGTTCTGGTGGCAAGTTGTGGCTGATGTTATTCTCTTGTCTATATTCCACACTTTTCATAAGAAAACATCATCCTCATCATTACCATGTCTCTTACAAATTTTTTTTTTTATTTACGAGAGTGAATAGGTAAGGAGACGCTTCTCTCTTCTGTAAAATTATCACCTATAAAGCACACTGTCAAAACTAATCTTGAACGATGAGCAACTCTTCAGAGAGCATTGGGATGTTCGGGGCAGATTAAGTTTTGTCTCTGTCATAAAAGGGACGTTTCCCCATAGGTGATAACATTTCCTTTTTGGTGGAAAGGAAAAATCACACTAAATTATCTGTTTTTCCATTATTGCTTAACTGGAATGATTCCATAGCTGTATTGCTGGTAGCAACCACTGGGTTGGGCAGTGTAAATGGAAACTGTCCGTACCTGTGGATAAGGAAGCTGAATTATTGCAGTGGAACACTCAAGACCATCCATTATATATATAAAAATTTTTAAAAATCCCTTCAAAGAGAGAAACTTCTTCCATACTGCCAGTTAAAAGGAAGAGTAACTGCTTGCTTTATACAGCATGATGCGTATAATCTATTTATGCATGTGCATTTGTGCACATACAGGGTGCTATGCAATTTCTGGAAAATTATGAAAAAGAAGACATAACAGTAGCAGAACTGGAAGGAAACTCAAATTCTTTGTGGACCATCAGCCCACCCAGTAAGGAGAAAATGATACACGAACTCCTGGACCCCAATAGTAGCTTCTCTGTCGTTTTTTCGTGGAGTATTCAAAGGTAGTTACTGTATTTCCATGCTTAATTTCTCCCTTTCCCCAGTCTAAACTTGGAGTTGGGGTGGAGGGTGTGGTAGGATGGAAGAATGGAAACTTGAGATAAATGTGGATCTTGCTTTGTCATTACAGCCTTGGGAACTTACCTTCAATGCCAAAGCTAACATTTTTGTTTATTAAATAATGGCTTGCCCAGGAATCACCAACCAGACTAAGAACTTCTCAGTTTCCCTTTTTTGTTGTTTTTAGCTAACTTTAGCATTTTGGTTTTGGGTTTTTTTGTTGTTATTGTTTGTTTGTTTTGCATTTCAAAATCCACTGAATTTTGTTACCTTAATGTACAATTGGTGAAACAATTAACATTTAAATTTCAAATGGTTCTCTTACTATAATGCAAAAGAGTATTGCTCTAACACCTCCCTCCTGTGCATCACTTACAGTACTATTATAAATCTACCACAGGGAGCCTCTCCACTTAAATGTTCCTCATGTGTCTTACATTTTACTCTCCATAATCTTCCATGGAAAAGGAAGTGAGTGATGCTCACCTGAGACACAAGGGCCTCTCCTAGCTCGGATGCAGCAAGAATTGACCATGTGCCTTCACATGAACACTAGAAATGAAGACAGATTTCTAGTGGTTTGAAAGCTGATTTAAATTAATATGTGGTTTTTAGAAAATCTAAAATTGTTTCAATGCAAAAAAAGAATTTGAATGTAAGTCTCCAAAAAATCAACATCCTGATTCTTATAAACTGAAATCCAAATAAATTATCTATTTTAATGTTGGATTATTCTAGGTAATAACTTTAGTTTTTAAAGAGAGGCTAGCAGTGAGTTCTGCGAGCAAGGAAGAGAGGTAGAGAGATGAGAGGCAAGGTGATGATTTACAAAATGAAACAGTCTGGGTGAAATTTTACAATTTTCACGAAACGCTGAAGTTTCATCTTAATAACAAAGAAATTTCAGGTCAGGTGTGGTGGCTCACACCTGTAATCCTAGCACTTTGGGAGGCCAAGGCGGGCGGATGACTTGAGGCCAGGAGTTTGAGACCAGCCTGGTCAACATGGCGAAACTCTGTCTCTACTAAAAATACAAAAATTAGCCCAGAGGTAGTAGCACATGCCTATAATCCCAGCTACTTAGGAGGCAGAGGCAGGAGAATCACTTCAACCTGGGAGGCGGAGGTTGCAGCAAACCAAGATCACACCACTGCACTATAGCCTGAGCAACAGAGAAAGAGTTCATCAAAAGAGAAAGAAACAGAAAGAAAGAAAGAGAGAGAGAGGAAAGAGAAAGAAAAAAGAAAGAAAGAAAGGAAGGAAAGGAAGGAAGGAAGGAAGGAAGGAAGGAAGGAAGGAAGGAAGGAAGGAAGGAAGGAAGGAAGCAAAGAAAGAAAGGAAAGAAAGAAAGAGAAAGAAAGAGAGAGAGAGAGAGAGAGAGAAATAAAGAAATTAATTGCACCCTCTGGAGGCCCTGATTATCACTTGCATTCCACCAATGTTGGGGAAACCCTACCTGACCCTCTCTCCAAGTGTGACATGAGAGGGCAGCTTGGCTGTCTCCAAAGGCGGAGACTTCCTGAGGGTCCTGCCCAGGCTGAGCCAGTGGCCCCTTTTGTTTTTCCTTGGGTTGGTAGAAAGATCATATCTTAGCAGAAGTTCTTACATCCAAATACTCCAACCAAAGCCCAACAGGTTAGTGATGCAGTTTTGGGAACCTCAACATAATACACTAGTTGATTAGCTTAGTTCTTTCATTACTGTTTTGAGATTTAGGACTCTAAGCAAGCTTATTTGGGTAGGCAGTAGTAGATTCATTTGGGTTTATGAGACCAGACCAGCTTCTTAGTTAGAATTAAGAAGGAAGTGTGATAGATGCAGAATGCCTTCTAGAATCTAAAATATACAAGGAAATAGTAAAAAAAAAAAAAAAAAAAAAGGAAACCAAAGTGGGGCTGTTTTCAATCTCACTTTCTCCTTTTAAGTGTCCCAAATTCCTCATCTCCAATTCAGCACAGAATTAGAGCTACCAAAACAACAACAACAACAAAACCATTAAAATTCAAATTCTGATTGAATATTCCTTTTAACACATAGAGTCTGTTTCTTGTCGTGAAGACTGACATCATTGGGTTAATAAAGTAGTATTTTAGAAACTCATATTAAAACATCAAGATGGGAGGCAGCAGGCACCTCCTCTTTCTCACCTTCAACTCTGTTTTAAAAGTGTTTGTAGCCTCCCTGGGTTCTATTAACTTGATTGTCTAAGAAGCTGAGCATTGAGGTGAAATGGACTGAAAGGGTCGAAACTGACAATTGTAGACCCAATGAAAACTTGGTGAAATTAATCAAATTAAGAGTTAAATATGTTGTAAATCTCTTTTCTGGACTTCTGAATAATATTGAGCTTTTTTTTTCTTCTTCACAGAAACTTAAGTCTTGGTGCAAAAGCGGAAATAGCAACAGATAAGCTTTCTTTTACTCTTCAAAATAGTACTCGAAAGAACATTGCTAAAATGATAGCAGGCAACAACACAGAAAGTTCAAAAACACCAGTGTAAGTTTATTTTTCCTGTTTAAAATAGAGTTTTGTTAGGTATATGCAGTTGGTACAAAATATTCGATTCGTGTGTGTGAATAATACAACTTCATTATTTGGTAACACAAAGTGAATTTCTATTTGGAGGCCTCATTTTGCAAGATTAAAGAAACTTAATCTCAGCTGTTGAGTTTTCTGTCCACTGTCCCCAGGGTTATATCTATGGGTTTGGGCCAGGCATGGTGGCTCATGCCTATAATTCCAGTACTTTGGGAGGCTGAGATGGGTGGATCACCTGAGGTCAGGAGTTCAAGACCAGCCAGGCCAACATGGTAAAATCCTGTCTCTACTAAAAATACAAAAATTAGCTGGGCATGGTGGTACATGTCTCTGTAATCCCAGCCACTTGGGAGGCTGAGGTACGAGAATCACTTGAACCCAGGAGGTAGAGGTTGCAGTGAGCCTAGATTGCACCACTGCACTCCAGCCTGGGCTACAGAGCAAGACTCCGTCTCAAAAATAAATAAATAAATAAATAAATAAATAAATACATGAATGAGGGTTTGTATGGTGCCAGGCTCCAGGAAGCTCATCAGGGCATGGAAAGTGCTGGCTCACTGGGCTTCCATTGAGAGAGACATGATTCTTCCAGGTCTGTCTTAAGTCTGCAGAGTGGCTCTCTCCCTCAGCTATTGAGACCCATTTTGGGGCACACTAATAATCGTCATGCTGATTCTCATGCCATTTGGAGGTACGGGAGCTCTGGCAGGTCCACCTGGGTTCACTTGACCCAACATGTGACCAGTGGTGCCCCATTCTCCCTGCCCCAAGGGGTACTGGGCTCTTGCTGCCTCCAAGGTCCCTACTCAGGAATGGGACATAGGGCTGCACTAAAATGACCCAGACCCCTTGTCATTCACGTCTGCCACCTGATCATGGGTACCCACTTCACCTGTCCACCGTCAGTTGAAGGAGGTGGGACTCAAGGTTCCTTCTTAGGAAGCCACTAGTGTCAAGCACATTCTCCTCCCACTCTCTGTCCACCTGGCACAGAAAGAATTGATCGCATCTCTGAATAGCAAACTTTGCTCTTATCTGACCATAAATCACCGAAACCCAGGCAAAGACTCTCCGAGACCCTTTTCTACTATTATTCCTGCCCCTGGGTCTCTGAATGGGGGTAGAGAGTAGAGGGTTGAAGAGGACAGGGATAAAAGAAAATTTGGAAAAAAAAAATAGTATATATCTCAAAGTATTATCCTGCCACTTATGTACTCCGCTTCCAACAGATGCAAGCTGAGATGTTTAAATTCTAATATATGAACTAGCAAGAAAAAAAATGATATGGGTCTAAAACTGCTAAACAAAATAGTTCAGACATCCACCAACAATGCCCCCAGTTTTGTCCTCTTGTCTGCCTTGCCCCATTTTAATACATGGAATATATGGACCACCATGGTGCAGGCATTAGAAGTGTTCCCAGACTAAGATATGTTTTGCAATTCACTAAAGTTGAAGGGCCCTTGGAGATTGTCACATCCTTCCCCATCACTTTCCAGATGAGAACATATTCAAGGTACTGGGCTTGTGGGAGGCAGAGGTCACTCGAGGTCCAGGTCACCAGCTCTCTTTGCCCCTCACTGTCCTCTAGATCAGTTCATGCAATCTATTTGTTTATTAGTCCATTCTCATACTGCTAATAAAGACATACCTGAGACTGGGTAATTTATAAAGGAAAGGGGTTTAATGGACTCACAGTTCCACATGGCCAGGGTGGCCTCACAATCATGGCGGAAGGTGAAGGAAGAGCAAAGGTACATCTTACATGGCAGTAGGAAAGCATGTGCAGGGGAACTACCCTTTATAAAACCATTAGATTTGATGAGACTTATTCACTATCACAAGAACAGCATGAGAAAACCTGCCACATCATCCAATTATCTCCCACTGGCTCCTCCCACTATACATGGGGATCATGGGAGCTACAATTCAAGATGAGATTTGGGTGGGGACATAGCCAAGCCATATCAGGTTGATTATAGATATGTTTGAAAATCTAAAAATTAAAATTTAAAGAGTGCTCAATGGTATGGATAAGAATTAGAGGATTCAAGCAAGAAAGAGAGCACCTTGGCTTCACAAACAAGCCACAGAAATGGGAAAAGGCCAGTGGCTGTTTGTAAGCCATCACCTAGCTTGTTGTACAGACTTACATGTAGATCCAGATAAAGCTCAGTGAATTTGCTCAGCATCAGAGAGTTTTGATTGTAACAGAAACCTGTAAATTATGATGTCTACACATTGTACAGATATATGAAACTTTCACCATTATTTGGTGATGTGAGGTCAAGAATAACAAAAAAATCAATTTTAGGTGGACAAAACATAATTATATCTTTTTTTCTTAATATACAGGACCATAGAAAAGATCTATCCATATTATGTGAAAGCACCTAGTGATTCTAACTCAAAGCCCATAAAGCAACTTTTATCTGGTAAGAATGAGAAAAATTTGTTTCAGAATTTTTTTAAATCCTACTTTCATTCAATGTCAACAGTTTGTGTTTGGGGCCTTCATCAAACTACCTTCTAGTTATTTCTTCCTGTGTGTCAAGAATTATAAAACCCCTGCCTTCCTTTACTAGCCCAAAGGAGTTACTCACTCAGCTGGGAGCGACATTCTTCGTTTTCTCTTTTCCATTGATATGGAACTTGATTGACTTAAATTCACACCAAGTTTCCGATAGTACTGATTAATTAGACTATTGACTTGTTTCTGTTAGCAGCCAGATTACTGACAGAAAACTGCCTGATACATTGTTAAATATGTCTGCCCCTCTCAATAAGAACAGTAAAAAGATGCCATGAAGTGTATTTGATTCATCCCAAGGGTTAGTAAGTATCAGTAGTGGCATTTTAGTGACTGAATTTTCCCAATGTAATTTGGATGGTATAATTTCATGTCTCCTGTTTCTGGATTCTATTAATTATCAAGAATTGCTTGACTTCATGGCTTGAATCAGAAGCAGATGTATAGATCTGGACAATGTAGAAAACCAGTGCAGTTATCTGGTACACATTCATTCATTCTCCAACATGGGCTGTTCACTATGCACCAGGCTGTAGGCCAGGCACTGGAGCCTGGGTTCCTGTGTTTAGCTGGAAAGACACAGACATAAGTAAGAATTGGAAAGCCACACAGAGATTGGGCTGGTAGAGGCCCAATGGAGGGTCCTGGGGATGGGCACAGGCTGGGCCCCACATCCACACACCTTTCTTCCTCTGCAGTAAATAAGTATGTCTTGCAAGGTATTTGCAAGATGCATTGAGAAGTTTGCTATTTCCCTTTCAGCCAGGAATGGTTCTAGAAGTGTTTCATCTGTACATGCAGATTACTCAACAATTAGTCATTCCCCATGAAGTAACTCTGTCCCTCCACAAGCTCTTCCCATGGTGACTCTGTGCTGCAAGCTCCTGAGTTTCCTTCTTATAGCTGTCTCTGGACTTTAGAACCACTATTCTTCCTGTTCTTGTGGGTTCTGCGTTGTTCACGTTCTTCCTTGATAAGGACTTTGGCTCTAACAAGATCATGCTGTGTCTTACTCTTCTTTATTGATCCATCCTTCTGTGCCATAGAATACTTTTTCGTCAAGCACCATTCTTGGATTCCTATCATCTAGGATAAGCTTGTCCAACCCACAGCCAACAGGCTGCGTGTGGCCCAGGACAGTATTGAATATGGCCCAACACAAATCCGTAAACTTTCTTAAAACATTATGAGATTTTTTTGTATGACTTTTTTTCAGCTCATAAGCTATTGTTGGTGTTAGTATATTTTCTGTGTGGCCCAAGACAAGTCTTCTTCTTCCAGTGTGGCCCAGGGAAGCCAAAAGATGAGATACCCCTGATCTAGGAATTTAGTATGAAATAATGCTGATGTGATTCCCACCTTCACAGAGTTTACAGTTCACCGCCATGTTTCTCAGGAGAAGCACCAGCATCATTGGCAGGAGTGATGTCTTCTTAGAAGGACCTATGCAATGTCACTACAAGCTTTTTTCCCCTATCTTCTACAAGTCTTTTGCTTTCACCCTAAATTCCAAGGAAAGTAATCATTGACCCGATATTATAGTTCTCAGAGGTTTGCTGAGCTGCATGCCATCACTCTTCCTGAAATGAGCTCCTCTCCTCACTCAACTTCACCTACTGAAGTTCTCACTTGGCAAATCTCAGCTCGGAAGTTATCTCCTCTGTGAATCGCCCATGGATCATACTAACCAGAAATGGTGTCTCCGAGCCAACAGACGTTATCAGTGCTGGCCCTATGGTAGCTGTCGTGTGCATAAAAATTGCGCTCATGTATGTAGTCTTTTTCCATGGAGATAAGGAACAATCTTATATGCAATTTTGGAACCCCTTAGTAACTAACTGAGTGCCTTCCTCCTATAAGACATTCAATAAATTCTGGTAATATGAATAAATTGGTTCAATCATGAGTCAGTGATTTGGGTTTTTAAATGTCTACAGAGTCATTTGGGATTATCAGCTCAGCTGCTCAGGTGGTGCATCCTCCACTGTGGGCCCACTCTTCCTTGCCCACTCGCACTGTTAGTATGTCTATGCATCCTTCTCATCCTAGAACCTTATGCTATAGTTAGTAACCAGGTTTTGCCATCTGAAAACTGTTGCATTAAATCCTAAAATTCTCATGCTGAGTTGATTTTGTGTTTCTACCCTTCTAGAAAATAATTTCATGGATATTACCATCATTTTGTCCAGAGACAATACAACTAAATATAACAGTGAGTGGTGGGTTCTCAACCTGACTGGGAACAGAATATACAATCCGGAGTCGCAGGCCCTGGAACTGGTGGTCTTCAATGACAAAGTCAGTCCCCCAAGTCTGGGGTTCCTGGCTGGCTATGGGTAAGGACTCATTGAACAATTCACAGTTACGTGAGTCCACTTCTGTATCATATAAAGTTGAGAGCCTTTTATCATATAAAGTTGGGAAGCCTTTTATCTTCTTAGAATATTCTAATTTTAGAGCTGTAATATTAAAATGCACACATCCTTGGCCCTTCATTTCAAAAAATGAGGCACCAGAGTCCCATAGAGATCAAAATGTCAAGTGTGACTCACACAGCCCAGGCATATGGTTTCTTCACTCTGCATCTTGCTGTTACGGCACAGTTTAATGCAATTCAGTGTTTACATTTAGAAATTGGCATAGAAATAATCACTTTTCTGCTTAGATTTTCTTCTAACCCTTAGCAGATGGATCTATTAGACATCTCAGTTTCGAACTTCTGAACCATCTCGTAATGTTTTGATGCTTAGATCCTAGGACACACGCATCCCCAAAGACACAAATATAAAATGTATTTCTCAAAGTTAGCCTCATAAGAAACTATTTTCACCCTGAATTTTATTATAAAAATTAATCTCTGAGAAAGACAGTACTGCTAAAAGGAAAGAAGATAATTATACATAATTACATTTCTACCAAATATATTATATGGTTTATGCATTTAATATATGCAATAAAACCACCTAAAGTTCATACATGAAACAGTTGGTATTGATTTTTTTCAGAATGTGATATTGTAAAGGACTTTCATTTTTCAAGTCTAATAGTTCTGTAATACACAATTCTATTTTCTTTACAAAGAACATGAATTATCCTTTTAATCATAGAAAAAGTCGATTTTTAACCAAAAGGAAGAAAAGGTAAGATTTGATATGGCTATTTCTTCTATGGAATTTGAGGGAAAATAATGTTATTTTTCCTTTTAGACATGCTTTATAAACCATATTTAACTGCTATATGCAATTTCTACTTGCTGTTTTTTTCAGTATTATGGGATTATATGCTTCAGTTGTCCTTGTGATTGGGAAATTTGTCCGTGAATTCTTCAGTGGGATTTCTCACTCCATCATGTTTGAAGAGCTTCCAAATGTGGATCGAATTTTGAAGTTGTGCACAGATATTTTTTTAGTTCGAGAAACAGGAGAACTGGAACTAGAAGAAGATCTCTATGCCAAATTAATATTCCTGTATCGCTCACCAGAAACAATGATCAAATGGACTAGAGAAAAAACAAATTGAAACCTTAGAACACAGACTGCAAATAATGTTAACATTTGAATTTTTTAAAAAGCACAATATTCTCATAAGAGCTAAGCATTTCTAGTTCGATGGAAATGGTTTGTTTCTCTTCTGACAGGTAGACAAAAGGAGCTGATATCCTTTTACAGTAAAAGCTACCTTGCAAGTTAGGGCACTGTTGAAAATATTATGTGTCACTCCATTTCTCTGAGATCAGGGCTACTTGCTTTATGTTTTAGTCAACAGTGTCTTGCATTCTGATTGATCATGTGAAGGAATCATTTATGGGCCCAGTCCCTGAGAGAAACAAAAGAGAAGTCAGAAGGAAAGATGCTTGCGTTTTCCTCTGCGGGGACTGCACCCTTCCTGGAGAGAGGCTACAATGCAATATACAGCACTCCATCCCACTGGGGAAGCTGCTCTGATGAGACTAGAGGAGCCTTCAACACACTCAGAATATGCAACAGCAATAGGGGGCGGACACTCCTACCCTTGTTTCTAGGGGCAAAAGAGAAGGAACTAATTGCCCATGAAGATGCCAGTGGAATGATCAGCCTCATTCTAAGCAAAAACATAACATTAGTGATTCTCTTACTGCCTTATCTTAACCAAGGACTAATAAGATACCTTTCCATTAAACACCAGTGACTTCTCAGGAAAAAAAAAAAAAAAAAAAAAGCAGAAAAACAAATGATGTGGACACCTGCTTTGTTGGGGTCCAGCCGTGACCGGCTTCAATGAGGACAACTATTCTGGAGGGCTGCTGTCTCCCGTGCAAACGGATGTGAGGCAGAAGAGTAAAAAGGCCAACCCAGTGGGACCTGGAATACTTTGACTTTGTAACTCTTTAATAACTGAGGTCAGGACCGCTCTTCTGCCTTTCCCATCCCTCGACATGCTTTTTCTCATTTCCATGATTTAAGGCAATGGTTTTTCCAGTATGTGACATTTTCCTTCCTGTTTTTCAGGTATATCAAAGAGTTTACATATTCCAATTCACATTTTTACATCTGAGACGGGTTTTTTAAGTTCATAATTATGAAAGAAATATGTATATTGAGCTTGGGGAAATAAAAATGGCCTTTTCTTAAATTATTATTATTGGTAATACAACCTCTTCATTAAATAACAATGTAGCATGAAAAATTTATGATTGAAATGTAGTTTTCATTCCATATTAAGATACAGTTTCTGAGAAGAATCATTGAATGGACTAGAATATGTCAAAAAATTGATCCTGTGTGGTTTGGGTTCAGGGCTGACTTAAAATAAAGCACACCCTGCAAAGTCATTTTAAGAATACTCCTTATTTGGGCTTTTTGCATGACATAGAAAACAGATTGTTTTTGATACAATGTACAGAATTTTTTTTAATCAACTGAAACAAGAATCCACTTCTTGCTGTTCTATTTTGTTTTGTTTTGTTTTTCTCATATAAGCAGGAAACAATAATAAAATAATTTCCAAAAAGGAAACAATTACAGTGAATATGGAGCTTTTTAAAAAGTAGTAGACTTCAAATGATGTCGTGAGTTCTACTGAATGAATTAGTGCATATTTATTCTTGTGCTGTGAAAGCCAGCATGCTTCCCCCTGTGGAGATAAACTGCTTCCAGCATTGCAACAATAAACTCAAATCACTTAGTGGAACTTGCATGACGGTCTGATTTCCCAACAGCAGAAAGAATCATGGGGCATATCTGGTTGCGAGTTCTTTCTTTTTTTAAAAAAAAAAAAAAAAAAGTCAACAGGAATTTCCAGAAGGCAAACTGTAGCTCATTCAGGAAAGATTAGGCATAGGAAAAAGCTCATGAGAAGAAAATGTACAGGCCAGAGGATACCAGAATTGAAATATTCCTCAAGAAAACAATTTCTAGAATGTAAGGCAAAAGCCTCCAGATGCATAAGAGAGGAACATATTTCAGGAAAGAGTGCTGGGCAAAGAGGACATTCCTTTCAGGACTGGGTGTGCTGGACTGGAAATCACACAGAGAGTGCCAAAGCCTGGCTTCTGGTCCTGGCAGACCTGGACAAATGGGTCTCTCACCCTCCCCAAGCCTCCTTTATCTGAGGCCATCAGGGATCATAAGCTCTAAACAACAACATGCTAAGCCTCAAACGGCGCCTACCCGGCCAAGCAGCCTGCTGCTACCTGAGATTGGGTCTTTTAGAGATAAACTCTGAGACAGCGTTACCTGAGGTCATTTTAGGGCAGTGATCACAGATTATACAGGTCAGGGAGGAAGGCAGGACCAGGCAGAGAAGAGCCACAGTTGCAACTGAGCCCTGAAGCCAGGGTGGCCCTTCCTTTATCCCAAGCTAAGCCGGGGGTGTTGGGATCCCACACCAGCAAGCCGTTGTCATAGCCATCCCCTGGGCAAGGACTTAACCTTTCACGAGACAACTCCCTGCAGGCTAGAGGTTTTTGCCTTTGAGGGACAGGGGCAGTCAAGGGCATGTATGTGTCCATAGGGGATCCTAGGAGATCACAGTACCATCACTGTCTACCCTAGAACACTGGCTTCTAGAGTAAGCCTGTGAGATCTTACCTCTCTTGCAAGGGAAGAGCAAAGTGAAAGGAGCTACAGGCCTGCCCGTAGCTGGTTTCACGGTCAAAGTGAGACTCATCACCCAACCCTCCTGCGCCCTGTCAAGATCCCTTCACCCATGGCCAGCAGTCCTGGCGGGATCAGCTAGACCCTAAAGCTGAGGGTCCGAGGTCTTGGTTTCAAGCCCTCCTCAGGTCCTGGCTGCAGCTTTTCCTTTTTGTCATTCAAACTGGGCATCAAGCACCAAAGAGGGTTGATCCCCTGAGCACCAACGTGTTCTTCCTGCCCGGCTGGGTGGCAACAGCCTCTTCGTTCTGCTGACCTGGGTCGATTAGCCTTGTCAGTAAGGTGACCCCTTCCCTGGCCATATCTGTGACATTTGTCCCCTTGCTATCCTTCTGACTGAGCCATCCCTTCTGAAACCATGTTTTACTTTATCATTAATTTCTTCCTGAATTCTGCCTCATTTCTGAGTTTTCTAATTCTGATTTTTATTGTTCTTTCATGTCTTCTATTTTTTATGAATTTACGTTAGTTCATTTTGAAACACTGGATTGTGGTGTGCACCCATTGGTGAGCATATCTTTCTGGCAAACTTTGATATGCTCAAGGCCATGATCCCGCCCCTTATTCTTTTTCACCGGCCACATTTGGTGTTGGATTGACACACAGTCCTTTTCTGTTGCTCCTTTGCGGGAGACATTTGTTTCCCTGACTTTAGGATAGGAAGCTCTTCCAGCTTCACAGCTCTGGAGGCCCCTCTACTGTGGTTTTCACTGGTTCCCAAGTGCGCCCTTCCTTCCTGAGACCTCTGCTCTGTCCCCTTGCCCACTCTGTTGGGGCTGTTTCTTCCCAGTAGCAGCTGGTCTGTGCCACGTGGACTCTCTCCCCAGCAGCTTCTTCTCAGGGCCGATGCAGCACGGGGCCTGATTCTGGGAGGAAGTGTCAACCTGTCACTTTGGAGAGTTTGCAGGCCCAGCCCTGCGCAGCCCCTTGCCCACCAATGAGCATGGGAAAACTGCCCTCCAAGGGTCCAGGGGCTGTCGTTGCGTGGGTGACCTGACCCTGGCTCTGCCAGGCCAGGCTGACCTCGCTCCTCTTTTCTCCTGCCTGTGATGAGCTTATCCTGCAGGCGTCCTGTCATTCCTTGGAGTCCAGCTTTGTCCTGGCCTGGATCTCATCTGCATTTCTTTTGTTTGTTCGTTTGTGGGGGATGTGATAGGGAGCGATTGAGGAAGTGCCAAGCTCTAGGATGCCACTACCTTTACCTGCCCAGAATTCCCCTACGCAGAGTCTGTAAGCACAGTATTGAATGAGGGAAGAATACTTTGAATTTCACAGAGATAACAGTCTGAAATTACATTGACCAAGTTAGATTAAGTATTTAGCATAAAAGCACTTGATACAAACAGTGCACACAAATGATTGGTTCTCAGAGCCTACGTTGTTTTGAATCAAGGGCATTTTTTAAAAATTAAAATATTATTCTTAATCAAAGTGTTATCTTAAGACATAGGTGTCTGTGGTTACATTCCCACACATTTTTATTGAACATTATTGCATATTAGTCTATTTTTTAGGATTTTCAGAGCAGTTAAGTGGTTTTCCCTATTTATTTGCTTTCTAGTTTATAAATCTATTTTTATCTTTTTTTTTTTTTTACTTCTTTGTGTTGTTCTTTATTTTTCTTCTGGCTTTTTAAGATACATAACTGAGTTTTGAGCTATCTACAATGTGTCCCAAATCAGAAATATAAATGCTGCAAACTTACAGAACTCATCATTTGGAAGTTTATTTAACTCTTCCGCATTTCTCCAGCTTTGCAGATTTGAGTATTACATTTCAGCTTTTAGGCTGCATGTAAGACCATGACCAGATGTTCATCCAGACCTGCGGCATGTTCACTATCTCCTTCAGATCTTCTGACACAGGATATTCTTAGGCAACCTTCCCGTGGCTGCTGCTTCTCCATGTTTGCAGTTTGAAAATGGACTAGAGCCACTAGCACAAGACAATGATCATCTTGAATGTCCATAGCGAAGAAATTAGTATCTTAAATGTTTAAATTATTATGCTTTACAATGTTGCCTTTTCTAAGTTAATGGTATTTATACTTCTAACACCGTTACAGCTTAAACCTGCAGTAAGACCTTTGGGAAACCCTGTGTTTTCTTCCACATAAGACTAAGTTCTGTACCTGAGAGCTTCGCAGCAGGGTTGTCACAGACATCCAGAAGCACGGCAGGTGTGGGTAACAAACCAGACTGTGAGGAAGGGGAGAGAAAGGCTCGCAGAGAGAACGTCCTGGAGGGAAGTTCGAGGAGACAGAGGAACTTCGGCAATATGCTAGCCTTGCAGTCCTGACCCCTGCTGGAGCTTCCTTAACGTGTTCAGGGAAAGCCAGATGGAACTGTGCCTGCCTCTCCTATCCAAACACTTACTCCATGTGCAGAGGGCAGAGTAAAATTGCTGGAGATGGCTTCAGGAGCTGATAGACTAATAAGAATATCAGTAATGCTCCAATATTTGCTCTTATGATTATGTATCAAACCCTGTGCTAACAGCATGAGCTGTTGGAAACAGAAAGAGGGTTAGAGACTTGGTGTTGGAACCAGGTGTGTTGGAACCAGGACTTGCCTTGTTTCCCAGAAAGCCAGTCTGCCCTGAAGGCCAGCCCTCCTGCTTCTCCACCAAAGTCTCCTGTGGCCGTCTGGCGAGCACTAGTTAGTGAGCACCCCCACTTGTCAGACCGTGCCTCGCTCATGTGCCTGCTTGGTATGGTCGGTGTGGGGTTGGGTCCTCATGAGCTATTTTCCTCTTCCTACCTCTGGGCCTTCCATGTTATTTATTCCCAGGCTAATGAGCTTCCAACAGGGAAACGTGCAATGATTTTAAACTTGCATCCTTTCCCACACAGAGTATTACTGAATTCCTCAAGTAATGAGGGTGATGGAGCTGACTCACCCCTGCACCTCAACCAGCTCTGCCTCCAGCCCCTCGGCTCTGAGGTCAGAGAGTCAGATGGCTGCAAAAGCTGAGAGTATTCTAAGACTGAGAGGCATGTCGGGTCTAAAGTGCCACCCAGGTCAAACTTGGGCGATTGTACAACCCTCCAAAAACCACTAAGACCTCTGAGGTTTCATACTAAACCACAGAATCAGACTTTTGTACTTGGTGGCCTGGTCTTTCTATATTCCTTGATAATCTCACAAATTAGTTCATATGAATAAAATAATGCTTATAGATACGGGTGATATAGAAAAATATGACTATTATTAAGATCAATGCGTTAACAGATTTGGTTTTGATGTCTTTTCTATCCCAATCAAAATCAGACTTGGGGGACATCATTTGACATTGGCAATTGGTGAAATCTTACCCTGCCCCATTCTTACCAAGTGCCCCATTCTGCTCACACTCACAGTACCCATATGTGCTTCAAAGCTGCCACTGTCGAAGGGAAGGCAGCCCTCCAGCTCCGCCCTGCCCTGGGGAGCTCCCGTGCTCTACTCACCTTGTGGGTAACCCCCCCATATAGGCACTGAGGAAGGAGAGCTAAGCAGAACCCTGGCGCAGTTAGGGCTTGAAGAGGATCTCACTTTATAGTGTTACTACTCAGCTATTTCCTTTTATATAATCCTTTATACAATCATATATTAGTTTATAGAACTGGGCTTGAAGAATCCCTTTATCTAATCCTCTATATATAATCATATAATAGTTGATGGTATGAGTGCCTAAA